TATGGAAAAACTCCAAGAAAGATCAGAATCAGTGAGACTGACATCAGATGACAAAGTGAACCAAGAGGAAGTGCGAGAGGAAGCAAACATTGGAATGTTGCAATTCCTGTGGGTAAGACTCTCTCAACCCAGCCTCTTTTAGAGTTGCTTCTCTGTTCTGTCATCTATATAGACATTGCATGTATTATCAATATCTTTACATATAATCAATCATTCACAGTCATCAGGTGGTGAGCAGGGTTCTAATCATAGCTGATTTTATTTTTATTTTTTGTGCTGTGTTAGGGATCAAACCCAGGGCCTCATGCTAGGTATGTCCTCTACCATGGAACTACATCTTCATCCCCTGAACTCATTTTAATGACCAAGTCACTCAACGATTATTTAAACAAAATCATTGTAATCACATTCACCATCTTGATAAAGTATACAGCTCACACTGTTGGGCAGCTGTCATCCCCATCCATCTCCAGGATACTTTCCACCATCCCAACCAGGAACTCTCTCCTCACTAAGTGAGTCTTCCACTTTCTTCCCAGCCCCTGGAACCCTTGACAACCACTGGTCTCTCTTCTGTCGCTATGACTTTGACTACTACTCTTGGTACCTCATAAAATCAATCAAACAGCATTCAAATACTGTCAAAGGCACAGTACTGTCAACCAACCCTGAGGACATTCTTCTGGGTGGGTCTCCCCTGGTCACTTACTTCAGCTGACCTAGGGTAAACCTCACTGTAAGGAAACTCTCTGGCCTCTGGGACCTGCATGTCAGTTTTCTGAAATAAAAATCACCATTTCTTTCCATGAGAGCAAAATTGAAGAGACAAAGCTAGTATTGAAGTGAAACTTCAAAATAGAATAAGCTGTGGGAGACAATGAGTAGTGAGTTTGGGTTGAGTTGGGAATCAATGATGTGTTTTGAACACTTGGCATGTAAGTTCATGTGTTCAAAAATGAGAAAATTTATCCTAAAAACCACACAGTGAGAAGGGAGCTCTGGATTGTTCATTCTATTTAACAGCAGCATGAAAATTGATTCACTGCTTTTAACCCAGGCTGTATTACCACAGAGGATCTGTCTGTGGCAATTCCTCTGCTTTAGGGCAGGGTTGCTCAACCTGGGCATTACAGACATTTGAGGCAGATGATTCTTTGTTGTAGGTAGCTGTCCTGTATATCTTTGGCCTGTATGCACTAAAATGCTAGTAGCACCCCACATTAAAGTTGTGACAATCAAACATCTCCAGATATTGCCAAATGTCCTTCTGTGAGCAAAATCCACCGCCAGTTGATTCATGAGAAGAAAATATCATGCTTCTTGCTTCACTGAAGTAATCTAAGTCTCCACTCTGACCTAAACTTTGGTAATAATTAATGTTTTCAATTTGGCTTTAAACAAAAACTAGCAAAACTGATTTTTAAGCAACATTTAAAAAAATTTTTTTTAGTTGTAGATGGACACAATACCTTTATTTTTATGTGATGCTGAGGATTGAACCCAGTGTCTCACACATGCTGGGCAAGTGCTCTACCTACTGAGCTACAACCCCAGACCCTGATTTACACTTTCTTAAGGAAAAAGAAATACCATTATATGTCTGATATTAACATTGAGTGAATACAAGGACTGGTCAGGATGGCTGACAAGAAGCAGCATCCCTCGAACTCTCCTGAGTACCAGGTCACTCCCTCCAGCACCAATACTACTGAAGATACATTAATGTATTTCTCCTATTATCAGATTCACAACTACATATTTACAGCATGCAGATTTTAGGGCTGTCAGATGCATAGTGGGTACTCAAATATTTAATAAGTGAATAAAGGAAATCAGAACCAAGTTAGCTGAGGCCAATATGTTTAAAAAAATGTAGCCTAAAATACTTCACTTCTGGGGCTGGGGCTGTAGCTCAGTGGCAGAGTGCTTGCCTAGCATGTGTGAGGCACTGGTTTCAATCCTTAGTACCACATAAAAATAAACAGATAAAATAAAGGCATTCTGTTCATCTATAACTACAAAAAAGAATTTAAAAACTTGAATTTTGAAGTTTTAAGATTATGTGATTTTTTTGGGAGTGGGTGGGTGTGGGGTTAGTACTAGGTATTGAACCCAGGGGCACTTTACATTCCCTCCCTTTTTATTGTTACTATGTAAAACTGAAGTGTTTGTAGCCAGGCATGGTGGTGCATGCCTGTAATTCCAGGGCTCAGGAGGCTGAGGCAGGAGGATCACAAGTTCAAGGCCAGCCTCAGCAACTAAGCAAGGCCCTAAACAACTTAGTGAGACCCTGTTGCAAACTAAAAAACAAAAATGGCTGGGGATGTGGCACAGTGGTGAAAACGGCTCCTGAGTTTAATCCCCAGTACAAAAAAAAAACAAAAACAAAAACAAAAACGATGGGCTTGTATGGCATGTAGTCCCAGCTAGATACTTCGGAGGTTGAAGTGGGAAGCTCACTTAAGTCCAACCGTTCAAGACAAGTCTGGTCAACACAGTGAAACCCCATCTCAACGCGCCCCCCCCCCCAACTCACTCCCCTTTCTCTCAAAAATAGCTGGGTATAGTGATATGGGTTTTTTGAGGCAGGATTGCTTAAGCCCAGGGTTTGAAGGCCAGCCTGGGCAACATGGCAAGACCCTGTCTCAAACAAAGAAAAATCTGCAACAAAAAAGTTAACATGTGTATCCAAGAAAACTTGGGTATAGCATTTCTTCCAGTGGTTTTTATTGGAAGTTTATTAAACTGTTGAATTTGTGTTTTCAAACTGAGCATAGTACTTGGTGTCTCCCCAAGTGGTCGTCATTACACAGATTGGTTTTTATTTTGAAATAGGGTCGTGCTAAGTCACTGAAGCTGGCCTTGAATTTGCAGTCACTTCCAGCCTCCTGAGTCGCTAGGATCACGGGCTTGTGACACTCCGTATGGCCCAACTTGCCTTATTGCACTTAGGAAAACAATGGTTCAAAGAATTCCACTGACAAGTCCTAATGCTTCCGGCTACTTCATACATCACTGCCTTGCTACTTGTTTCCCTTGGCTCTCCCCACTGTACCCCTCAATGTCTTCATGCTAACCACTTTTTCTAGGAAAAGCCTTCAATGATGACTTTATGTGTACCTTTTCTCCCCTCCCATCACAGTCCTCTTTTTCTATCATACCATGGATCACACTGTATTATTTTATACCCTTGAAGGTGTGGACATTGCATGGATGAAAGCAGGAAATTTGAAATACTGAAAATCTGATATAAATAAATCTTGCTTTATTTTCCTGTTCTATTTTAGATTACTATAATAAGAATAGCTTAGAAGCAGCAATTTAAGCAACTAGTACATCTTCAAACAATGGTTTTCTGTATTTAGCAATTTCATATTAAAGACTTCTAAAAAACTGCCTTGTATGAAATAATGGGAGATTTGCCAAAGATATAGCTATTTGCTATAAGAATATTCAGTGACTATCATCCATCCAAGGTTGCTCCATACATACAATGGAAAACTTTGCTGCCATTAGAACAAATGAAGATTATGATATATTCAAAAGTATCAAATACACTCATAAAAGAAACAAAATTTAATGTTTCCTTATAGTTTTCAGTATCAAAATAAAATTCCTATTCACAAAATGACAATAAATATTATCAAGTGGTGATTTTAGAGGTAATTTTTTCTTAAGCTTTTCATTATTTTCCAAATATTCTCCAATAAAGGAAATAACTTTTTATCAGGTGTATTATGGATTTTTTTTTTTAGTTTTAGGTGGATTTAGGTAGATACAACATCTTTATTTTATTCTTTTTATGTGGTGCTGAGGATGAACCCAGTGCCTCATGCATGCCAGGCGAGTGCGCTACCACTTGAGCCACATCCCTAACCCAGGATCTTTTATATAGTTGCAAAACTGGACTAACTACAATAAAATGATCTGAAGTAATATAGAAAGATAAAACAATGTAAGGAAAAAACCCCATGTATTATTGGAATTATATGCTAATTTGCATTTCTATTGATTGTTAATGTTATTCTAAACTAATAAATTATAAGACACACTTGATTTACAAGTAGATCTGGACTGGTAAGATTCTAGTGTTTTATTATATGACCTAATTTGATGTTGTAGTCATTTTGATCTTAAATTTGTAAAAATAAAATACAAAGGGGCACCACAGATTAACTCCAAATTGAAGCCCAGAATAAACAGGTTTCATATTCTGAAATAAATATATATGCGTGTATGTATATATGTGTGTGTGTGTATACATTTTAATTTTTGAGAAGAGTTCTCACTATATTGCCCAGGCTGGCCTCCAAATATTGGGCTCAAGCAATCCTCCTGCCTCAGCTTCCCATGTAATAGCTGGGACTACAGGCACACACCACATGACAGCCTATAATATTCTTTTATTTATTTCTCAGCAGTGCAGTAAATAAATGATGCTGATAATTAGTTTGGAGGAGAAAGCAGGAGAAGAAAGAATTTAAACAGGTGCTTTTTATCACCATTCTTTAATAGCTGACATCTACGCATGTTTCTGGAATGAACAAGTAAAGGTATACTGCATGTAGTGATTTGAATAATCAATAACTTTCTTATAGTCTTATCAACTGGAATTATAGAATTTTATTCATTATTTATTTATTTAGCAGTACTGGGGATCAGACCCAAGGCTTTGTGCAAGTGCTCTATAACTGAGCCACATCCCCAGTCCTGAAATTATAGAGTTTTCAAGTTTATATACATTTACTTTCATTTAGTCACATTAAACCATACTTTTCCATTATGTAGTTCATTAATTTCTTGAGTGCCTGCTGTTAGATGCCAGGTACTTGATCTAATTTTTCAGTTAGTGTTATTATTTAGCTTAAGTCATTCTACTTAATTGTCAACAGTAAAAAGCAATACCCTAAAGCAGAGGTCAAAATTAAATCAATACTCTGATTCAAAATAATATTAAAATATGCCAAAGGTCATGGTACATAAAACACTACTGAGAAGAGTTCAATATTTAAAATGCCTTTTCTTCTTAAAGTAAGCCATAATATATATACACATGTGTAAATAGCTATGTACATTGGATCATGGTTGCTACTTTTCTCCTCAGGTGCACTTACAAAATTCTTGAGAACATCATTAATACAAGACCTTCTAAAATCAGAAAAACTCCACAATCTTTGTGACTTATTACACAATAAGACAGAAAAACAGCTGTTATACATTATTAACTTTTTCAAGTATGTTATGTACAGTTTTATTGCCAGTATATGCACAACAGTAAGCATAGAACTATAAATACACAATGTAATTAACAGTAGAAAACAAAATTGTTACAGGTAAGGGGGAGAGGAGATAGAGAAATTATTTTGTTGCTGCTAAAACAGAAACAAAGGAAGGGAAAAGCCTATGACAAATCATCCATTTAGTTCTCTTGTCTTAAATTCTTTACATATATTTCTACACTTTTTTCATTTAAACAAAGTACAGATAACTGTAACAACAGCAAATTGCTTCCCTAGTAGCCATTTGCTTTTCCAGTCAAATTCACTTTATGTTAGGATTAAAAAAAAAAAAAAAAAGTCAAGATGAAAAATCATTAGTATCCTGGTTCCATATGATCTAATTTGGCCTTTCACCCAAACTGTTAATCTTAGAAAGTTGGCTGCACACGAAAAGAACAGGTTTAGAAAAAGGTGATTAAATTTTTTTTTGTTGTTGTTAAAAAGTAACAGAAAATCACCCTTTAAAAGTCTTCCAAAAGACATTACAGGCAGCAGCTCAGTTAAAGGTATTGGCCCTGAAGAGGTAGAGAATTTGCGCCCATTATACAAGATAGCCTTGGCACCATCTTCTCTCTCATCAGGATCATGTTTTCAAGTAATATAACTGCATGGTCAAAGGAAACCAGGTTCCACCGTTTAGGTGCTGGTCAACTCACATGTCTCAATAATTAGTTTGTTTATTAAATGAGAAACAGAATACAGTCAAAGACACACACGCACTTGATTTTTTTTGTCTGTTTCCATTATCAAGTTTATTCATAAGTGAATTTGATATTAATAAATACAAAAAAGCATCATTCACAACAAAGATAACCAAAAAACCCTGCAATAAAACCTTCTATTTTAATAATATCAAGAAAAAAACCAGGCAGATGATTTGGTGGAGCTTTCTTAAGGGATCATAGAGGGATGTGGTTTTAAATAAAGATGGCAAGATCAATAACCAACAAACATATCAGTTTTACAGAACTGGCTGATTCTGTAACATTTCTCTTTGAGGTCTTAGTTTTAAACTATAGACCACCCCAAAGAAGTTGCAACTAATGACATGTATCACCACCACACCAACAGAGTCTGGCTGAAGTTCAAATTAGTCTTGCTTTGTTTCACATCATTTTCAATATTTCTAGCATACGACATGATACAGAACAAAACTCAAAGAAGCAATAAAAATATTATTCTGCAATTGAATAAAATGTTTTAGACTGTTGAACTTTTAAAGCTTTAAGCATTCCTGTTTAACCAGCATTTAAAAAAATTATACAATCGTAACACTGGCAAAGGTTAATGGGAAGACAAAGAAGTACAAACATGTGAAATGATGAATTAGATTTAAAAATTACTTTGTATTGATCAATTGATGTTAATACTGTTTCTTCTTGAATTTGGAATAACTATCATAAAAGTTACATGCAGATTGAGGATAGCCCTCTGTAACAGAAAATATAAAACAAAACAAAACAAAAAACTAAAACTGGGAAACAATGGTTATGTTTCATAAGGTGTATTTGAGAATTTCCTTTCATTGATGAGGGTAGTCTGTCTGTCCTTTCTTAGAGATTCCTGGTTACTTTGATGAACTTCACTAACTTTGTCCAGAAACATCAGTAGTGGGATCAGCTCCTCCAGAACCTGTTTGTGCACGTTTGATGTAAAGATTCAGTAGCTTCATCTGTGGATGCAAGTCAAAGTATGTCATTTGAGCAAGCAACTCTAAATTATGATATGATGTTCATTAAAATTATTATATACCTACATGTGAGCTTTGAAGGTCAGATTTTAGGATGGGTGTAATCATAATGCTTAATCTATTGCTGATAAAAATGTTGTAGTGATAACACAAAAAACATTTAACTTATAAGAAGTCACTATTAAAAAAAAAGTCACCATTAAAACAAAAACAATTGGGCACAAGCTACATCATGTGCTAGCTGCTTTACATTACCTCTTTATTTTCACATTTTATAGATGAGGCAATCAAGATACAGAATGGATAAGTAAGTGCCTAAGGTCTTAGGGGTGGGTAAGAAGTGGGCCAGGACAGACACCTAGGCATTTGGCTCCAGGACCCAAGATCTCAGGCCACTATGCCACTGACATCCTAACAAGAATGTTTTGATGTCTCAATGTCATTTTGTAGTTTTTACCTATGTGAGATCAGGTTTATGTGAAATTTATAATCAACACATATACAATTCTGTTATACTTTTTTCATCTAAAGTTATTTAAAAATGTTTTCCACCTATCTATTTACTTCATATGCAATATCCTTACTGGTTCTGATCAAGTTCTAAATTTTAATTGTTTAAAGTATGTGTGTATGTGTACCAGGGATTGAACTTCGGGGTGCTTTACAATGAAGCTACATCCCCAGACCTTTATATTTTTTGTTTTGAGATAGGGTTTCACTAAATTGCCAAGGCTGGCCTTGAACTTGTGATGATCCTCTTGCCTCGGCGTCCTGAGTAGGTGGGGTTTACACATGCCACTATGCTTTGCTCCTTTATATGTATTTTCATTCTGCCTTGGTATTAAAAAAAATATGACCATGGCAATGATAATCATTATGATTTTGGAAAACTGTAAATGAAGGTGAATGTATCTTGTTAGCTGGATCAAAACCCATAATTCAACTATCAGGGCTTATGCAGTGGAACAAGCCTATAATACCAGTGACTCAGGAGGCTAAGGCAAGAGAATCACAAGTTTGGTGACAGTCTTGGCAATTTAGTAAGAAACCCTGTCTTAAAAAGAAAAAAAGTGGGAACTGGAATGTAGGTCAGTGGTAGAGCACCCTGGGGTTCAATCTTGAGTACTGCAAAAACGACAAAAACAAAAATAAACAATCATGGTTTATTCTCAACCCCTAGAATTTATTCCAAAGTTCTGGTAGTACCAATAAAATGAGGAAAGCAAGCCTTATTTATTATTTTAAATCTTAAGGACTAATCATAAATTTTTATTTTTAAGATACCAAATCAGAGTTGCACATTAATGGGGTTCATAAGAATAAAGAGAGAAGATCAAATATTTGATTATTACAGTTCTTATGGGCAATTTAGAGAAACATTCAAAGTGTGCCACATTTTGGGAGATACGAAGTAATTCATGATATATAACTACAACAATCTATTTATTCTTAAGTAGTTCTTAGGGAGAAAGATTTTGAGTAAGGGAATAGAAAAGGGGTTGGTTAGTGGTTATGAATAACCAGACTACATTGGCTTTTTCTTTTACAGCAGTCTGTCAACAACCATACCAAACTGCTGACCTTACCTCAGTGACAGATGTTAGGAACAGAAACAGCTATGGGCAATGTGGTACTCAAAGTCGGATTTATTAAAAGCTGAGTAACAAATTTCCCCTTTCACACACATAGAACTGTTTTTTTCTTTTTTTTTTTTTTTTTTTTTTGTGTGTGTGTGGTGGTGCTAGGGATTGAACCCAGGGTCTTGTGCATGCGAGGCAAGTACTATGCCAACTGAGCTAAATCCCCAGCTCCCAGAACTGAATTTTAAAGAATGCACTACCACTACCACTTTAAATCCATGCAGCACCACTTACTTTGCTGCCAGTGAGCTGACTGAGATGTGGTTTCAGTTCATCACCAATTACCGCATGAACAGCTACCAGGCAGAAGACGCAAGCTTTCCGAACACTGCTCTCCGAATTATCATAACCCTAGGGAGAGAGCCCATTGTTAGTACTCCTGAGGGATCTGAGAAAATACCTTTGCAACAGAAGATGCAACTCGAAAATGAGATACCAAGAACACCGAGGCAAGAAAACTGATGACCTAAGTTACTTTTTCAACGTCTGCAGGCACAGATACAACCTTCTCTCCTCCCACTTCACTGTGCTCTACTCTACTCCTAGGTCTCATTATCATTATCTCATTTTTCTTGATAAGCTGCACTTCTCTGATTCTGAGGTTGCTTCTTTGCCACCAAAAGTCTCCAGATGAGCCTTAAAGAACTTAGCTTCAGGGCAGCCAACAGCCTCTCACTATCTAATAAAATATAAATTCCTTGGTTTGGCAGTCAAAGTAGTGTCCTGTGATTCAAGCCTAATTATGTCTTACATCTGTCCCATCCCTTCTCAAATCCAGTTTATGTAAACTAATTCCCTTATGCTTTTTAAAAATTTGTTCTTTTTGGATACACATGTCAGTAGTGTGTTTTGACATAGATGGACATAATACCTTTATTTTATTTATCTTTATGTGGTGCCTTACACACACTTGGCAAGCACTCTACCACTGAGCTACAACTGCAGCCCCAATTTCCCATTCTCTTCGGGAGGGTACTGGGGTTTGAACTCAGGGGCACCCGACCACTGAGCCACATCCATAGCCCTATTTTGTATTCTATTTAGAGACAGGGTCTCACTGAGTTGCTTAGTGCCTTGCTTTTGCCGAGGCTGGCTTTGAACTCATGATCCTCTTGCCTCAGCCTCCTGGGAATGTGACTCAGTGGTTAAGTGACCCCTGGGTTCAATCCTTAGTACCAAAGAACCAAAAACAAAGAAAATCCTCTGCACAGAAAGGTTAAGTGGAGACCTGAGGATAAAAGTAAATTAAGAGTAAGGAAGGTGATAGAGACAGGGAAATATGCAGTGACCTCAAGAGACAGTTCAGTGCTTTCTATGAATGAAAAATTCATTATAGGAGCTCATAAAGTAGGAGGAAAAGTAGGAAGGAGCCAACTAAGAGAACTGCAGCAAGATATAAGGGCTCATTCTGTTCATGGGAATCTCTGAAGGGCTTTAAAGGAAGGGTGTCATGTTAGAGTTAATTCAGAAGGTTGTCGTTTTTTTGAGTACCGGGGATTGAATTTAGGGACAATCAACCACTGAGCCACATCCCCAGCCCTATTTTGTATTTTATTGAGAGACAGGGTCTCACTGAGTTGCTTAGCACCTCACTTTTGCTGAGGCTGGCTTTGAACTTGAAATCCTCCTGCCTCAGTCCCCCAGCTGCTGGAATTATAATTCTGTGCCACCTTGCCTGGCCCTTCATTAACTTTTTGAGAAACGGTCAAACTGCTTTTTATAACAGCTGCACTACTTTTCTTTTCAATCAGCAATTTATGAGGATCCCGATTTCTGCACATTCTCACCAATACTTGTTTATTTTGTTTGATATAGTCATCCCAGTGGGTGTGAAGTCAGATCTCATTATGGTTTTTTTTTTTTTGGGGGGGGGTACTGGGGATTGAACTCAGGGGACATCAGCCACATGCCCAGTTTTTTTTTTTTTTCCTTATATTTTATTTTGAGACAGGGTCTTGCTAAATTGCTAAGGCTTGCTTTGAACTCATGATCCTCCTATCTCAGCCTACTGAGCCACTGGGATTACAGGCATATGGCATCATGGATAGCTCATTATGGCTTTGATGCACATTTCTATAGCGAACATTTTTTTTCATATGCTTGTTAGTAATTTGTCTATCTTTTGATAAAATGTCTATTCAAGTCTTTGCTCATTTAAAAACTGCTGTTTTGTTAAGTTAGAACAGTTCTTTATATTCTGGATAGTAGACCCTTATTAAATACATAATTTGCAAAAATCCTTTCTCCAACTCTATGGGTTGTCTTCCTACTTTACTGATAATGTCCTATGATGCACAAACATTATTATTATTTTTGCAGTGCTTAACATCGAACTCAGGGCCTTGTGCATGCAAGACATCACTCTAATCCCTGAGCTACACTCCCATCCCTAAAATAGTTATTCATTTCAATGAAGTCCAATAGATCTTTTTTTCATTAGTGCCTTGGGTGTCATATCTAAGAATCCACTGCCATACTTAAAGTCAGAAAGATTTAACCCTGCTTTTTCCTAAGAGTTTTATAGTTTTAGACCTTATATTTATATTACTGACTCACTTGAGTTATTTATACATGGTATGTGGTCACTGAAGTCTCTTTGTTATCTCAGCAGTCAGTCAGTAACCTGACAGAGATTTCCTTAAATGCCTAGAGCCAAAACCAAACAAATATTCTCCCAGTTTTTGAAGATTGTCTCTGAGTTGGAGTATACACTCAATGCAAATGACATGATTTTGTACTTCTTTATGACTCAATAATTCTCCATTATGTAAACATACCCCATTTTTTAAATCCATTCATCTGTTGCCAGATACCTGGCTGATTCCATAACTTGGCTATTGTGAATTGTGCCACCATAAACATGGGCGTGCACATATCTCTGAAGTATGCTGATTTTAACTCTTTTGGCTAAATACTGAGGAGTGGTATAGTTGGATCATATGGTAGTTCTATTTTTAGTATTCCCCTGTCCTCTGCCCCCTCATACTGGGGATCAAACCCAGGGGCACTTTGCTAGCAAGCTACATCTCCAGCCCTTTTTATTTTTTATTTTGAGACAGGGTCTCACTAAGTGGCTTAGGGCCTTGCTAAACTGCTGAGGCTGGCCTTGAGCTTGCAATCCTCCTGCCTCAGTATCACAAGTTGCTGGGATTACAGACATGTCCCACCATGCCTATTTTTAGTTTTTTGAGGAATTTCCATACTGATTTCCATAGTGGCTATACCGATTAATATTCCCACCAACAGTATGTTGGTGCACTTCATGTCCCTGCATTCTCACCAGCATTTATTACTTTTTTGTATTCTTGATGATAGTCATTTGGACTGGGGTGAAATGGACTTCCTTCTCTTTTTCCATTTTCACTCTTTAATCAGAACTCAGAGCTAAATTATAGTTTCAGGTTATTAAATGCACAAACTTAGTGATAAAACTATTAACAAAAAGCATTACATGAATTCTGAGAGTAAGTGGTTTTCTAGGTCAGGGGGTAGGAGAGAAAACAGGAACAAGATCTTCTCCAAAGGAGAAGGGAACCACGTTACTCAGTGAGCCAACAAAGGGTTTTGGCTTTAACTCACTAAGGGCAAGAAGGAATGTCAGTCCTGATCTTCACCACAGCAAATCAGGAACTCCAATTTTTCAAACTAATTACAGACAAAAGAGAGAAAATAACTCCAAACTGACTGACTGGTCTGGATGACTAATGAAGTGTCCTATATTCATGAGTTGGTAAAAATCATTGGAGTGACTGTTGGAGAAGGGAGACTTTCATGTATTTTCAGTTGTTATAGTCTGGTAAGTGTTAGTCTTGCCAGACCACCTTGTGCCACCCCTTGAAGACCACTGGTACACTTATACAACATGTCCGTCATGGTCCTGGCTGGTACTGTGTCAAGGTCATATTTTGCACCTCATGTTTTCTCAATAACAACATTAAATGCACTAGAAAGCAGACCCAGAGAACCTAGAGTATTAGCCTAACGTACACATTGCCTAGTTAGTCATCATACATAAAACCTGTACATGGGCTGGGGCTGTAGCTCAGTGGCAGAGCACTTGCCTAGCATGTGTAAGGCACTGGGTTCGATCCTCAGTACCACATAAAAATAAACAAATAAAATAAAGGCATTCTGTTCATCTACAACTAAAAAAACAAAACAAAACAAAACAAAAAAAAAAAAAAAAAAAAAAAAACCTGTACATATCTTGGTTTGGATCGGGCCATGTTCTGGGTTTCTTTCAGTCCTAGTTGAAGACCATTCACTACTCCAAATATAATTCCTGTCATGCAATATCCTTCAATGGTAAGAAAGGCTAGCTCAATTCTGTCCCAGGTCTTATTAGCTCCAGTTGGTAAAACTCATCTATACTGTGAACAAGATATCATGGGTCCACATTTAAAAAAGGAGACAGAGAGTTCATACCAGTTAGCAGAATGCCAGCCAATCTGCATACAAGTAACCTTTGTCACTACTTCTCCTATTGCCTTCCATGGTGTCACAGCAAACTGCCATGGCCTTCCTGCCACCTCCTCAGGTTGAGGTCATATGCTTGGCTACTGCTCCACACTAAGTGTGGAGCATTCTTACTTCTTTTGAGAAGTGTCCGTGCACTTCATGTGCACATTTACTGATTGGGTTGTTTTTTCAGTGTTAAGATTTTGAGTTCTTGATATATTTTGGATATTAATCCTTTGTCAGAAGAATAGTTGGCAAAGAATTTCTCTCATTTTGTAGGCTGTTTCATCACTCTGATTATGATTCCTTTGCTGTAGAGAGGCCTTTTGATGACATTCCATTTGTTGATTATTACTATTATATCCTGAGCTATTGGACACATATTCAGGAAGTCACTGCCTGTGCCTATGTCTTGAAGTGTTTCCCCTAAACTTTCTTCAAGCAGTTTCAAAGTTTTGGATCTTACATTTAGATCTCTGATCCATTTTGAGTTGATTTTTGGTACAGCATCATTTGTTAAGAGGTAGTCTTATCTGTAATGTATGTTTTTGGCACCTCTGTCAAGAACTGGATGGCTCCAGGGCAAGAGGATCCCAAATTCAAGGCCAGCCTTAGCAACTTAGCAGAACTCTGTCCCCAAAACAAACAAACAAACAAACAAAGGACAATGGAATATAGCTCAGTGTTAAAGTACCTAACACCAAGAAAATCGGTGTTCATTTGTTGATATGGCTCTCTTACATATTTTTTAAAATATTTTTTTAGTTGTAGATGGACACAATATCTTTATTTTATTTATTTATTTATTTTTTAAATGTGGTGCTGAGGATCAAACCCAGTGCTTTCTACATCGAGGCAAGCACTCTACCACTGAGCTACAACCCCAGCTCTCTCTTGCATATTTTAAAATTGGGTATTGTGATACCTCCAGCATTATTTTTGTTTGTTTGTTTTTTGAAATAGGGATTGAACCCAGGGGTTCTTTGCCACTGAGCCTTTACCCCCAGCCTTTCTTATATTTTAAAGTTTGAGATAGGGTCTCACTAAATTACTACCCCAGCTTCCCAAGTTGCAGGTACTACAGGCATGCACCATCATTCCTGGTCTCTATTATTACTTTTTGCTCAGGATTGTTTTGGTTATTTGGGGTCTTTCTTGCTTCCATATGAATTTTAAGATTGCTTTTTTCTAGTTCTGAGAAGAACGTCATTGGTATTTAAGTATGAATTTATTAAACCTATAGATTACTTTTATTCACATGGCCATTTTAACAATCATTAATTCTGCTGATCCATGACGTGAGAGGTCCTTTTGTCTAGTGTTTTCTTCAATTTCTTTCTTCATTGGTTTCTAATTTTCACTGCAGAGGTCATTTTCCTCCTTGGTTATCTCTTATCCCTAAGTATTTTAATTTTTTGAACGGTATTGCTTTTCTAATTATTCAATGTTGACTTTGTTTCCTGCTACTTTGCTGGATTTATCAGTTCTAAGTCTTTGGGAAGAATCTGTAGTATTTTTCTAAGTACAGAGTCATATATTTGTAAATAGGGATAATTTGATTTCTTCTTTATCTATGTTATTTGTACCCTGCCCCCTCTTTTTCTTACCCAAAAGTTCTGGCTAAAATTTCAAGGTCTATATTGAATCTAAATGATGAGAGTGGAAACCCTTGTCTTGCTCCTGATTACAGAGAAAATACTTTCAGTTAGTCTTTCCCCAATCAGTATGATGTTGGCTATGGGTCTGTCACATATAGCCTTTATTATGTTGAAATATGATGCTACTGAACCACATCTCCAGACCTTGTTATTTTTTATTTTGATAAAAGGTATTTCTAAGTTGCTTAGGGACTTAGTAAGTTGCTGAGGCTGGCTTTGAACTTGTGATCCTGCTTCAACTTCCCAAGTTGTTGAGACTACAGGCGTGTGCTACCAAGCCTGGACTTATTCATGCTTTTTACTAGCTTTTATTGTTTCCTACATTTACTCCTGTGTTTTCTTAAATTTAGGTTTAGGTTTTTATTTGCCTTGTATCTACATTTTTCTAGTGTACCTATATTTTAGATACCCTACAGGCTACTACTTCCTTCCTTTTTTGAAAGGGAGGCTAAGTACCTTTTTTGTGGGGCCTGACTCCACAACCCTTTCGTTATTTACATGTAAGTGGAATGGGATTATGTATATTCTATATTTTAAGAGAAGTCTTCTATGTAGGGGTTGGAGTGCTGTTATAAAATCTTTTTGTGCATTACTACTGTAGAATTGCCTCTTCTTATTTCCTAAAGGTATTAAAAATATGGCCTTTCTATGAAGCTATATCAGCCATAGTATTGGTATGATACTCAGTTTAGCTTCTACTTCAAGGAGATTTTTTTGTAGGTGAGGAGCTCTTTCTGGAAGATAATTTATTTCTTTTCATTTAAATTCATTTAGTTCTTGTTCTCTCTCTCTCCTTCCTTTGTCTTTCTCTTCCACCCCTTCTTTCTCCCTTTTTTTTCTTTTGGTGATACTGGGGGAATGAACCCAGGGCTCTCTATCACTGAGCTACATTCCCAGTCCTTTTATTTTTAGACAGGGTCTTGCTAAGTTGTTCATGCTGACCTTGAACTTGCAACTTTCCTGCCTCAGCCTGTGAGTACCTGGGATTATAGGTGTGCACCACCATACCCAGCTACTTTGCAAAGTATTTCAAAGAGCCCTGAGGATTCAGAACATCCCAGCATAATCTTCCCTGTCTGCATTTATGCTTCCACCATAACTTTTACTCAGATAGCACTCTGAGAATGGGGACCTCTATTTTAGAGGCAAGAATTTATGTGATTCTCTGGCTCCAGGGTCATAAAAGTTAACTTTTGGATTTTCTTCAGACTCTTCTAAACTATTAGGATCCAGAGGAACCCACCGGTGGTGATGGTTTGGCTCTCCCTGCTTGCTTATATTTTGGGGTTCACTAAGATATCTTTTCCTAATTGTGTCAAAGATGTTTTCATGTTTTTTTATATACAATCCTAGGTCTCAATGAGATGATTTTTTTGGTCAAAAAATTTAGAGACCTTCAGAAACTATATTATTATTGTCTCTTGCCTCTCTTTGTTCTTGCCCTAATACCCAGAAAGCTCAATATTAATGGTTTATGGGAAAAAAAGCTAAAATTTAAATTTATTTGAGTTCTTCTGCTTTTTCAGATAGGTTCCCAATAATCATGTATACTATAAGATTTTTGCACCAAGCTGATCAACAAAAATAAGATATTTACAATCACAGTTACAAGAACCTTTTGCTAGTATTCTCAGTTATTCATCCTATAAATATTTATTCAGTAGTCATAATATTTATGAAATATATATATACTTACATAAACTCTGTGCTTAGTAACAAAACATAGATAAAAAATAAAGAGATCTGAATTTTATTTTATTAAGTAATAAGTTCAGGACAAGGCCACAAATATAATATTATAGATGTACAAAGAAATGAATGATTAATTTTCTTTAGGATTCTTTTTTTTGGTACCAGGGATTGAACCCAGGGGTGTTAACCACGGAGCCACGTCTCCAGCCCTTTAAAATATTTTATTAGAAACAGAGTCTTGCTAAGTTGCTTAGGACCTTGCTAAATTGGTGAGGCTGGGTTTGAACTTGGACTCCTTCTTCCTCAGCCTCCTGAGTCACTGGGATTACAGGCTGAGCCACCGCACCCAGCTTAGGACAGTTTTTAATATACTTTATGTAATACTAGCCAGCAATTAAAATTACATTGTAAAATATTATTCTTTGGGTAGAAAAAGTTCACAATATATAGCTAAGTTAAAGCAGATTATAAAATATTATCCTACTTTTGCTAAAATGCTTATATACATGGGGATGTGTACATACAGACAAAAAGATATAATATCTATGACTGTAAATTAGTATAACTACTTTGGAGAGAAATCGGGCAACATCTAGAAATTCTGTTTTTAGATATACACATGTAAGTAGAAGAAGATATTATGAGGAAGTTCACTGTATATTGATGCTAATAAAAAAAAAGGAAACAATCTAAACAGTCATCAACAGATGGACAGATAAACAAATGTAGTATGTTATTCAGCCATAAAAAGACAGGAAATTCTGATACATATTATAACATGGATGAATCCTGAAAACATGTTAAATGAAAGAAGCCAGAGAGTAAAAAAAAAAAAAAAAAAAAATTAATTTCACATATAAAGAAATCTAGAATAGGTAAATTTTAGAGACAGAAAGTAGAAGAGAGATTACTGTGGGCTTGGAGGGAGGGAGGAATGGGATGTTATTACTTCATGGATATGGTGTTTTGGTTTGGGATGAAGTAGTAGTTCTGAATATGGACAGTACTGGTGGTTATACAAATGTGAGAATGTATTTAATGCCATTAAATCATATATTTAAAAATGGTTGGGCAGTGAATTTCATGTTATGTATATGTTATCACATCCATACCACCCACTTACTGAGACAACCCTAGTTATGGAAAGACTGTCCTGAACATCACAGGCAGCAGGAAGGCTTGGTCATGCCACTAGCGCTGCTTGGAAAGTGCCTCAAATAGCTCACAAATGTACCATACCTTGTTCTTTCAAGCTTTGCTGCTTACCTGTATTAAGCCTGGCATAATCTCTGGCAAAAGTAGGTTAAGAGTTTCCTTGGATACTCTCTCTATCACTTTTGTTTGCATTTTGATTGCAGCCAGATTAATTGGGTAATCTGCAGTCTGGATGATAGGACAAAGCACTTTGATGCACTGCTCTGGACTAATGGAAGTAGCCAATACTGATGCAGCTTCCTCAGCAGATCTCACCACCTAAAACAAAGAGGAAATTAAACCGGGAAGTAATTTTTAAAATCTTGTAATATGCCCCAGAAGTATAAACTTTAGGAATATTTACTAAGTCATGATATTTGAGGTTCACTGTAAAAATACTGTAGTAAACAAACATAAGTGAGGGTAAATATAAACAGAGTAGCAAATGGCAATAACTGTTGAAGCTGGATGACAAATGCACCGGGCTTTATTTCACCATTCTCCCTCCCTCTGTGTCCTTTTACTCTTGGATAAAGCAGTGCTTATTTTTTATCTACTTTTTGAGAAAGAGTCTATGTTACATTGCCCAGGCTGGTCTGGAACTTGAGGGCTCCAATGATCCTCCCACTTCAGCCTCCTGAGCAGCTGGGACTACAGGTGTGTACCACCATGCCTGGCTAGAGTAGTTTTTAAACTGTACTAGTCTTGCTAGGGTGTGGAGGCTCTATTTACCTAGACTGCAATGTGAATGAAGTTCCCTGTATTGGCCACAGTGAGGTCCTACTCATTATTTAATTACCTCAACTGCTGAGTTCTAGAAGTACTTTACACATTACAACTCTTAGTCCCTTATTAGATACATGGTCTGCAAAAATTCTTTTTGGTACCAAGGATTAATTAAACTCAATGGTGCTTGACCACTGAGTCACATCCCCAGCCTCCTTTTTATATTTTATTTAGAGACGGGGTCTTGCTGAGTTGCTAAGTGCTTCGCTAAAATGCTAAGTAGCTTTGAACTCTGATCCTCCTGCCTCAGCCTCCAGAACCAATGGGATTACAGGCATGCACCACCAAGCCTGGCCTGATAGTGTTTTTTGAAGCACTAAAAAGTTTAAATTTTGATAAAATCCAATTTAACTGTTTTTTTTTTCCATTGGTTTCTTCTGCATTTGGCATTATATCTAGAAACTACTGCCTAATCCAATATAACAGAAATTCAGACCTCCACTTTCTCTGAGAATTTTATAGTTTTAACTCTTGCATTTACCTTTGATTCATTAGCTTTGAAAACAAAATCAGATAAAGTACTTCTCAGAACTGTCCCATTTTAGGTGAAAAGGCCATAATATTATCATAATTCATATAATAGAAAAGAATATATGCTTGCATCTTCCCCCAGGGCTGGGGACTGAACCTAAGCTCTTGCACATGATGGGCAAACATTCAACCATTGAGTTATAAGCCTAGCCCATAGGCCTATATCTTAATCATGTATTACTTTGAATATAAAAAGGAAACAATTAATAAGGGTATTTTTAATGCAAAGTTTACATGGTTCATGCAATAAAATGTGAATAAAATCATAATTTAACTGTCAGATAACTTACTTCTTTTATATATATGTATATTTTAGTTATAGATGGACATGATACCTTTATTTTATTTATTTTTATGTGGTGCTGAGGATTGAACCCACTGAGCCATTATCCCAGTCCATAACTTACTTCTTTATGAGGATCTTTGTGTGCTTCCAACGTTTTCATGACAGTCAGTTCTGCATAGTTTTTAAATCTTGCTGGTTGATGCCTTAATATTTCTCTTAAAACCTTTAATGCCAAAGCCCTGATTGTAGGCTAAGAAGAAACATTTAATGTTTTTAATATTTTATGTGATAGTGATAGACAAACTTTAACATTTTTTTTTTGTACTGGGAATTGAACACAAGGGCACTTTACCACTGACCCACATCCCCAACCCTTTTTATATTTTTTATTTAGAGACAGGTTGTTGCTAAGTTGCTCAGGGCCTTGCTAAATTGCTGAGGTTGGCCTCAAACTTATGATTTTCCTATCTCAGCCTCCTGAGTTTCTGGCATTACAGGCATATGCCACCATACCTGGAAACATTTTCAATTTCTACAACTTCCGTACTTAATTTCGGGGAAACAAAATCTGTAGATATTTGCATGAAGTATGTAGCATTTTACATAATTTTAGAATATATAATGGAAAATTCACATCATGCTTTTTATATTTGTAAAAAAATATCATTCTAATATAGGAAATTTTACTTCTGAACAAGTAATTCATATTTGCAAAATTAATCTGTACTTTCTTACAAGAATTCAGTCTGTAATCTTTCATTTTTACTACTGTCAACTGTTCAAAACTGTTGAGCTCCTTGGTTTAGAATAAAAAGTAATTTATGCTAAAAGTTTCACACAGAGGAAGGCAGCCGAATAGACTCATCCTCCCAATTTCTGAACATGTGTAGTATCTGACTAATAGGCAATCTAAAAAGAGACAGGTAGGACAGACAGACAGGTTTATATATTCTGTCACTTACCTCTTTATCACCAAGGGTTTCAAGCAATAAAAGCAATATTGTTTTGAAGTGTTCATCCCAAACACTGAAAGATTCTTCCTGTGTCAGTTTCATGAGTTCATAGAGGGCAATTTTTCTTTCTTCTACACGTTCATTGTGGTTGGAGAGTTCCTTCAACAACTCTGCAACTAGGTCAGAATGGTCTAGGGAAAGATCTATCAAAAGAACATAATATTAATTTTTTAATAGCTCACTTTCACAAGAATGGGGGTGACAATTTTATAATATGAAACCCAGATATAATCAATGTTGGTTGTAAAAAAAAAAAAAACATTAAGTAATTTTCTAACCCTAACCCTAACCCCAAACAACAATGTTATTTAAACACTTTTTATAATAAAAACACTTGAAAGAACAGTGTAATGAACTCCCATATACTCATTATCCAGATTTAATAATTACCATGATTTTACTATTCTTATTTCTTTCTCCCCTCCTTTCTCCTGAAGTAAATCCAAACATGTCTCTTCCTTTTACTTCAGTACGCAAGTCTATATTGTCAGGCCAAGAGGCTTTCTATGTTGGGTATTTTATTTTTAGTGATTCTAATAATGATCACTGGATTTAAATGGTGACAACTTGATCCTATCATTTTAAAGTCCCTCCCCCCCCCATCAACATCAACCTTTTAATGGTCTGCACCTGAGCAACAGTCACTGTGCAGACCATTAATTAAAAGGTTGATGTTGATTGGGGGGGGGGGACTTTAAAATGATGGGGATCAAGTGTCACCATTTAAAATGGTAATTATCTAATCGTAATATTCCTTCCATAGACTAGAATTTCTTCACAGAGAGTAACTTTATTAACTAGAGCTATTTTGATTACAGTGAAATACAATTTGATAGAAAAAAGAATAAATGCTTAATATATTTTTCTTCAAGTTTCAAAGTAAAGAGTTGAAATCAATGATTTCCTAGGAGTTTTGATTTGCTTTTGCTTAAGTATGAACTCATGGATTTCATGAGTATTAAAGTAATCAGAATAGTGCTTTGAATCATTTTTTAAAAATTTTTATTTTATTTTATTTTTTAGTTGTAGATGGGGACACAATACCTTTATTTTGTTTACTTAATTGTATATGGTGCAAAGGATCGAACCCAGTGCCTCACACATGCTAGGCAAGTGCTCTACCACTGAGCCACAACTCCAGCCCCATTTTTTAAGAAAATCTAAAGATTGCACTAGAACACTGGAAAGTACCAGAGTTCCTCCTTAATTACTTTAACTGCAGGACCCAGGCAGTGGCTTGAGCTTATGTCACAGACTCACTTGTTTCCTAACTCCTCTGGAATAAAATCACCACAGAGCATGCCACACACCAATATTACAATACTGCTGACTTAAGAAGAACTACGGCATTAGGATAAATAAACACATTCATAAATCCCACAAAAATCACCCTAGAAACTTTAAGTTATCAGGGCTGGGGATATAGCTCAGTTTGTAGAGTGCCTGCCTTGCATGCACAAGGCCCTAGGTTCAATCCCCAGCACCACCAAAAAAAAAAAAAAAAAGTAAGTTTAAGTTATCAAACTCTCACAGGTGTCAGAGGATTATTAATGCAATTCACAAGAAAATGCTTTTGAAAGGAAGACTTTTCCATGAAAGGATGTTTATAATCGCTCAAAGCAGACTGCTAGAAATTACTTGATATGTAGAAGTCTGGACAGACTATTGAAAGGAAAATAGTTTCCACCAGAGAAACCGCATAAGTTATTTGTTACCAAACTGAACTATTTATATCACACCAAATGCCATAATCTTAAGATAATAAATTTTTTGGCTGGGGTTGTAGCTCAATGGTAGAGTACTTACCCAGCACATGTGAGGCACTGGGTTTGATCCTCAGCACCACATAAAAAAATAAAATAAAATAAAGGTATATAAAAAAGATACTAAATTTTTCCTTTTCTGACACAGTAGGGCACTGGGGTCAAGTGCAAAGAACACAGGTTTTGTGGTTCACCAAACCTCTGCCTCTTACCCTCCAGTATGGGTGGGACACGTAGTTATTTATGTTGAGGATGATTTCTCATTAGTAAAATGGGAAAATAGCATCCACCTCCTGGGGTTAGGGTTAGGAGTTGGGCCTGGAATATAGTAAACATACTAATATTAATTTTCCATGTATTCTTCTGACAGATATTGGCACATCTACAATGCTGGTAGTATTTTTGTGAATAAAATGAAAATATACAATAAATGAAGACAAGCGCTATATGAAGCTTGGAACAACCACTTCTGTGGTTTAACTGAGGGCTTATGCATCTTCAGAAGGTAATTACAGAACTTAAAATGGTGGCCTATGTTTCAGAAGTTAGTAAAGCATTATACTGTGAGTAGTAATGTTCTTGAGATAAGAAAATATCTACCTAATGTTTCAGTTATATAGTTTCCAAAGAAGTCTTTTGACAAATGGAAAATATGATCTTTAGAAACAGACATGAGAATTAGACAATAAGAGGGTAATCTTACTGAGGTATCATAAATTTGGCTTTGTGATGTTTGTGATATAGTGACTTGACATGAGAAGTTGGACATGATTCCCCAACTTCATTAGTGATCAAGGAAATACAAATGAAGAAAAAACAAATAAAGATTTTTTTATTAATCAAAATTATAAACCACCAGGCATGAAGTCATAGATTCCTGAGCAGAGTAAGGATAAAGTACAGGTTTGCAGAGCCCAAGTAGTTAAGAAGCTCGTTGTGCATATGGAGTGGCAATTTGGTGTGAGTTGTTGGAGCCCAAGTGTAATGACACTGGCATCCACGGCTTTGGGTGAGGGTAGAATGGCAGAGGCCAGAAGGATGAGGAGTTCATCTGCATAAGTGAGGATGTGTATTGGAGATGAAGACTGGGTACATACAGGAGGACTGACCAAACCATATTTACTTAAAGATAACGGAAGCTAGGTTTCTTCCTGTCAGAAAAGGGGCTATCAGTATGGAAAAGAAAGAAATTAGAATTCATACCATAATGCTACAATGGAACTGAAGCTCTTGGCGTAAACATATGGCTGTTGATAGATATTCCAAGAAACAGAGAAGTTAATGTATATATATATGTTCCCTAGGTATGGCCACTGAGAGGTTTGGAGAATAGTGATGTCCCATTAGCAGAGGGTATACTAGTACTCAGACCCTAGACTTTAAACATTGCTTTTCATTAAAAGCAACAATGTATCTTCTGAGAAATGACTGATTCCAGATTAAAGCTGTAGCAATACAACATTTGTTATGACAGAATGCAAGGATGGGGACATGTGAACAAAGAACACCAAAAGCCATCTTAAATGGGGTCTTGCTGCTCATATCAAGGACCAATTGAACATCAAAATAAATAACAACAGTTACAAATTAAAACCTACTGAGGGGCTGGGATTGTGGCTCAGAGGAAGAGCACTTGCCTCGCATGCGCGACTCACTGGGTTTGATCCTCAGCACCACATAAAAATAAAGAAATTGTGTCCACCTATAACTAAAAAATAATTCTTAAAAAAACCTCTACCAAATATAACAGGAAACTCTAAGTACATATAGTAATCAATAAGTACACCCAAAATTCTTTTATTTATTTATTTATTTTTGGTGGGGATGGGGATTGAACCCAGGGCCTCATGCATGCCAAAAAAAAATTCCTTTTTTTCTTTCTTTCTTTTCTTGCTACTGGGGATTGAATTCAGGGGAACTCAAAACACTGTGCCACATCCCCAGTCCTATTTTGTATTTTATTTACAGATAGGGTCTTATTGAGTTGCTTAGTGCCTCGCTTTTGCTGAGGTTGGCTTTAAACTTGTGATCCTCTTGCATTAGCCTCCCCTGCTGTTGGGATTACAGGCGTGAGCCACTGCACCCAGCTCAGGCAAAGGTTCTTAAATAAATAAAATTTTAATTTAATGAAGTGCAGGGATATTTACATTGAGTATTTTCTGATAAAACAGCTCTTGATTAAAAGAGAAAAAGTAACTTCACAGTGAAGAAGCCTGTTAAACACCGCTGTAACCAAGTGACCAAAGTTAATATCACCAGTTGTGAAATTATGTTATTTGGTAGGGTGCAATGAAAAGAATACACAATCGCTTCTATGATACTGATGCAAGAATGCATAACCTGATTCTAAACAATAGAAAACAGGTGGGTGCGGTCCCACATGCATATAATCCCAACCAATCAGGAGGCTGAGGCAGGAGGATCACAAGTTCAAGGCCAGCCTTAGCAACTTAGCAAGACCCTATCTCAAAATAAAAAGGATTGGGGGATATGATTCAGTGGTCAAGCATCTCTGGGTTCAATCCTCAATACTAGAATAACAACAACAAAAAATAAGAAACCCAAAACCCCCCCAAACCACCACTACCAACAAGAAAACATTAGACATATGTAAACTGAATGAACTACTACAATGAAATACTACAAAATAACTGGTTTCTGACCTCCAGAGGTGCCTTGGTCATGAAAGCCAAGGAAAGATTGAACACTGAAGAACAGAAACATGATGGCTGAAAGCAATGTGTGATTCTGAATGGGATCTTTGAGCTATAAGATATTATTGGGGGATTCTGGAAAGATAACAGAGCAGGAAGCACCCAGAATCTGTCTTCTCATCTAGAGAACAATTGCAATGGCAGTCTATCTGGTTTAACTACTTTGGAGACCAATGAAGGCTTTCAACTTGCAGGTAATGGTTTGGATGGTAAAGTTTGATTAATTCCAACTCTTCTCACAGTAGCAACTACCCATCCTCCACTCTTAGCTTCCCAGCAAGCAGTTGTAGAGCATTCTGTGCACAGATTGTGAAGCAAGGGTAGGCAAAAAGGATCTTGTCTTCCAAACAGTGAGGCTTTGTGTTCTCATCACTGTTGTTACAGATCACAGAGGTGCAGACAAAGGTTGACAGCCATTGCTATTTCAGCTCTCCCCATTATTGCAATCCCCTCACCCTAAGGCTGAAGTGACTTTCAGAGGACTTAAAGGACTAGCACTCTTAGCCACCTTCACTCATTTTCCTTTTTTCACTTTTTGGGAGTCAAATATTAAAGACAAGGACAGTAAAAGAAAACAAAGGTACATCAAGAAAAAGTTAAAAAGTGACACAGAATGCTCAGGGAAAAGCTTAGACTCAGAAAAGATCTGAAAAGATCTTAAGTTTACACCTGAGCCTAATTCTTAGCACAAAGACAATCTATAATAATCAATAAAATAAAAAATGATAAACAAAAGCAACAAAAACAGCAAACCCTAGGGTAGGGAAGAATCTGATTTCCAGAGTTACCCCATAATTAGATTCAAATGTCCTATTCTTGACATTAAAAAAAAACAACACACACAAGACATATAAAGAAACTGGAAAGTACAGCAAATATATGAAGCAAAATCTGATAGAATTAAAGGAGAAATAGACAATCCCATAATAATAAGTTGAACTCTTACTCCTGGATTCTCGTTCTCAATAATGGATAAGGAAACAGAGGATTTTAATAGCTCAATAAACCAACTTGATCTAACAGACAAATATAGAACACTCTAACCAACAAAAACATACACATTGATTTCAAGTGCACACAAGACATTTCTCAGGATAAACCATATGTTAGGACACAAGTTAAGTCTCAACAGATTTTAAAACGTGGATAACATCATAGAAGTTATCTTCTCTCACCACACCACGATAAAGTCAGAAATCAAAGACAAAAGTAAAAGTGGAAAATCCACAACTTTGTGGAAATTAAGAAATCATAAGTAGAAACTCTACTACACTTAGAGACAATTAAAAACCCCAAACATGGGGCTGGGGCTCAGCGGTAGAGTGCTTGCCTCACACATGTGAGGCACTGGGTTCCATCCTCACCACCACATAAAAATAAATAAAGAAAGAAAGAAAGGTATTAAACAAACAAACAAACAAAAAAACCCCCAAAACATAAGGTACTAAAACTTAGCTGGGGGCTGAAGTTGTAGCTCTGTGGTGGAGCGCTTGCCTAACATAAGGTACTGGGTTTGATCCTCAGCACCACATAAAAATAAACAAATAAAATAAAGGTATTGTATCCATCTACAACAAAAAACAAAAGCTTGGCACAGTGGTTTATGCCTGTAATCCTAGAGACTTGGCATGCTATGGCAAGAGCATCATCAAATTTGAGGCCAGCCTGGGTAACTTTAACTTCATTAGAATGACAGTTTTTCGTATATTTGGTCCTTAAATGTTTCTTATTAATAAAAGTTTATTTATTTACACTTAAAGGTTTATAATAAAGAATGTGTAGGTAGTTCATCAAAAGGTTTTGTCACTGTGGTATAAAAATCTGACTGAATGCACTAAATTTATGAGTTACAATTAGTTTGAATTGTTTATTGGAGGATATTCCTCCAATTTTCTTGATTGTGAGGATAATCTCAAGATACCCCCTGTTTCTTATTCTAGGGAAGAAAACTATCAAAACCATTAGGAATGTGCTCCTAAAAGACAGGAGAAAACATTCCCATTCCAAAGATCCTTATGTTTTAGGAAGTTACAATAAAAATTTGGAGGGCTGATTATCAGCCCTCCAAAACAACACAGTGTAGTAGCAGCATGACCCAGAACATACCATCAGGAAACTGGTCAGCATCATCATCAAACATGGCTTCCTTGAGGGCAGACTTGTTGAAGGGACTGATGCTATCTGAATAGTTATAGGGATTATAGTCTCGAGAGCGTGGAGAGGAGTGAACTGGCATCGAGTGGAGCAACGAAGCTTTATTATCAAGAGCTGTTTGGCTTGAGTCAGTAGCATCACCTCCTGCTCTTGGGTCTGACATCCCGGGACCACCACACATCTATTGACAGGAAGGGGAAGGCATAGTAAATTGACTTAATTTAAAATATCTCTATAACATTATAAAAAGAGGTTTTCCTACTGTTTAAAAGGCTATTTAAGAAAGTAATAATAATCAGCTGAAATAAATTAATGAAAATCAATATAATTTAAAACATATTAGAAATGACAAAGCTTAAGATGAAATGACAAAGCTTAAGCCACAACTGTGAGGGCAAATAAGAAACTATGAAAGAATGCTGCCTCTAATGATTGTTATATTTCCTTTGCCAATGATTCAACCAAATAATACGTACAATGTCATTAGTAATAGCTTCTCTATGCTAGCTAAAAGTGTGAAAGGACTTCATCACAATACAGAACTAGCTGCCAAATGCTATTGTCAAGGTAGTAAATTATGCAATGAAAAGTATGTCAACAAAGCATAAGAAAAACATACTTTAAAAAGGCCTCCTTTAAAAAAAATTCTTTTTAAAGAAGGACTTAAAAGTCCTACTTAACTTTTGGAAGGATGCCAATAGAGTTGGGCTACATAATCACACTTGCCAAAATATCAATAATAATAATGATACAGATACTAGTATCAAAATCTTTATTGCCGTAAGTATCATCATCACTACCATCTACTGAGCAACTATGTACAAAGCCATTTTCCAAACATTCTTCACATATTTAGTGTGTAGCTACTATGCGCCAGGCATTGTTCCTGACATTGGAACTAGATTAGTGAATCAAAGATAAAATGATGTTTATACTCATGGAGTTACATTCCAGTGGAGAGTCATAAACAATAAAACAAAAAACAAACAAACAAAAAAAGCACTTAATGAGTAAAGTATATAGTATGGTAAAAGGTGATTAGTGATTGAAAAAAAAGAACAGAAGCGTGGTATTAAAGGATCATGAGTGCTGAGGTGGAAGAACAGGGTTGCAGATTAACTAGAAGTGAGTAGGGTCCACTGAGAAGCCATTAGAGTGAAGCCCGGAAAAATGTGAAGGAATTATCCAGGCGACTATCTGGAAGAGTGTTTCAGGCAGAGATAATAGTCAATGTAAGAACCCTGAGGCAGGAACATGCCCAATAAGTTCAAGGAATAGCAAGGAGACCTGTGTAGCAGGAATTGAGTGAACAAAGAGAAAAGTAGCAGGAGATGAGATAATAGCAAGAGGAGCTTATTATATAAGACTGTGGCTTTTACTTTGTGACAGGAACCTTCTATTGAGTTGTGAAAAGAGGAGTAAAAAGAGTACAGAAGGTCCAAGGGGAATCAAAGAGGCCAATTAGATGCCTATTTTAATAACCTAGTAGAGAGAACTGATGGTGATAGCTTGAACCAGATAGGCAGTGGTAAGAAGTGGGTATATTCTAAGGTAGACTCACCAAGTTTCCTGACTCGGTATGGAAGATGAGAAAAGGGAGGATTTAAAGACAACTCTTTGTCTCAGGTTTTTGCTGAGCAACTAGTGTTGCCATCAACTAAGATAGGGAATAGCAGTTTCAGGGAGAAAATCAGGACTTGAAATGGGTAGTTAAAAGTTTGAATGTGAATTGAAATGCATTCTGCTCTCATGTACAACTAAGTGGAACAAATAAAAACATAATATTTTTTTAAAAGCAAAACATTCAATTAAACTAAGAAAAATGTTAAAAAAAAGAAAGTATGAATGTGGACCTCAGGAGAGAGATCTTGACTCAAAAGAGCCACATGATGTTTCACATTTGCAACAACTTTTAAGGTACATAGCAATATTTCTATTTACCTAGGGAAGACCCCGAGGCTTAGAAATAATCCTTTCATTACCCAACAACTGCTGGAATCTGGGATTTGAACTCACTTTTATCACATCAACTACCTGAATTCCCCACCTTATACCATGAGAAAACAAGATGAGCCTGAGTGTCAAATCAACCATCTCTCTTACTGACCTGTTGTTGCACAACGTGTAACTTTTAGGATAGGGAGTCTTGAATATGAATGCTAAATTGGCTTTTTGCAGCCAGTTTATTCGGCCTAGTACAAGCTACCTCTCTGCTATAGACACAGGAGAAAAACAACAGTGGGAAAGGAATCAGGAAAGCAGACAAGAGCCCTCTATAGAGATGTGCCAAAATACTATAATGTTCTGCAACTTTGTAAACATTGAGAAACAATGAATTCCATAGGAAATGGCAAGATGGTTGTTTTAAAAAGAAAAGTTGAAGCCGCCAGAGTAAAGTCTAAGAAGCAGCAAAGTAAAAAATAATTACCCTGCTGGGTACGGAGGTGAACACCTGTAATCCCAGCAGCTTTGGAGGCTGGGGGAGGAGGATGGCGAGTTCAAAGCCAACCTCAGCAACTTGGTGAAGCTCTAAGCAACTTAGTAAGACCCTGTATTTAATAAAATACAGGGTGTGGCCCAGTGGTAAAGCACACTGGTACTAATAAAATGAAATAAAATAAATTAAAATAAATAAATAAACCCCTCGGGCTGAGGTTCTGGCTCAGTGGTAGAGCGTTTGCCTAGCACATGCGAGGCCCTGGCTTCGATCCTCAGCATCACATAAAAATAAATAAGTAAAATAAACGTATTGTGTCCAATTACCCAAATAAATAAATAAATAAATCCCCAATTACCCTTTTATACTGGGACAGGCAATCAATTAAATAATATTCATATATGTTAAGAAAGATAGGTCATAGGGCTGGGGTTGTGGCTCGGCTGTAGAGCACTTGCCTAGCATGTGCACGGCTCTGAGTTCGATCCTCAGCACCACATAAAAATAAACAAATAAAATAAGGGTATTGTGTCCAACTACAACTAAAAAATAAATATTTTAAAAAAAAGATAGGTCATAACAGTCTTAATGGGAGCCATATAACCTGATGGAGCAAATCATTATTAATTACTATAGTTAACATGAGAAAAAATAATTTTAAATTCCTTATTTTATCTTATAAGACTCATGTGCTATGGCCCATGTTCCACTCCCTCTTTCATTCATAATTCTACAACTACACTGGATTTCTTCAAAGGCTTCAAGTTTGCTCCTGTCACTGCAAATGTTAATTCTGTCATGGAATTCTCCTCTACATTTTCTGTGGCTTTATTTAAATTAAATGCAAATGTGATCTCCTGAAAGATGCCTTCCTCAACCCACACTAAAACAAATTCATTTTCTTCCAAGGACATTTTAAACTAAAACTCCATAATAATCAACTCTACACCAATGTCTAAAACGAACCGAGCATGATGGCACTCTCCTGTAATCCCAGTGGCTTGGAAGGCTGAGGCAGGAAAATCACAAGTTCAAAGTCAGCCTCAGCAACTTAGCAAGACCTTGTTCAAAATAAAAAGTTAAAAAAGGGCTGGGGATGTGGCTCAGTGGTTAAGTGCCCTTGGTAATCTCTGATACCAATGAATGAATAAATAAACAAACAAACAAATGAACTCGGGGGCAGCTACTTGTCTTGTAACTCTAATGCATAAAAAAGTGCCTGACAAACGGTAGACACAGTAAATAACTGAAGAGGAACAGATCCCTAGAAAATTGTTTGAAATGCTACAAAGCAAAGTAAAACAAAAAAGCAGACAAAAACAAAATCTAAATGGAAACTAAATAGTCTGCAAAATAAGAATATTCAGATACTCACTGAATCACCATCATCCTTTTTAGAATCCCTTTTCAATGGCTCATTCATGTCTTCTTGACTACGGAAGCTGAAATTTTGGATTGCTTCAGTGACACCTCTAAGAGAGCTATAAATATCTTCAGAGTTCATATTTTCTGTGTCATAATCAAATGCACTATGAAAAAGATAACACTAACTTTTATTTCTCTATAGTTTTACAATACAAACACATATGAGGAGATTATGTAGGATAAAGACAGAATTAGAGAATGCATAGCCCCAAAACATCATTAACAAAATAAAATGTGGCAGCTATAAATGGTTAAAGTACATATCCTACTGTTCCTCACCAAGGACTGCTTACAATGACTCTGGATTGTACAGCTTTTAACAACTAGTTTGTCTATCTTCAAAAATGTTCTGTTTAATATTGGCCAAATTATATTGTGTTCATGTTATGAATATGAAACAACAACAAAAAAATCCTATTACTATGTAAAACTATAATGCACCAATAAAAAAATGTGGAAAGAGAAAAAGAATGTTCTGGGCTGGGGGGTGTGGCTCAGTGGTATAGTGCTGGCTTAGCATGCACGAGGAGCTGAGTTTGATCCTCAGCACCACACAAATATACAATAAAGATATTGTATCCACATAAAACTAATAAATAAATATTAAAAAAAGAATGTTCTAATTAACCTGGGATCAGTAAACTATGGATGGCTTGTAAGCTAAGACTATTTTTTACGTTTTAAATGGCTGGAAAAAAAATCAAAAGAATGTCTTATGACACATGAAAAGTATATAAAATTTAAATTTCAGTGTAGATAAGTAAGATTTTGTTGGAACACAGCCATATTTACTTATTTAGGTATTGTCTATGATTGTTTTTGTACTGTAATAGCTGAGTTAAATTGTGGCCACCAAGATTACATGTCTTAAAAAGCCTAAAATATTTACCCCTTGTCCTTTATAAAAACTCTTCAAATTCTCACAATTGACTCATGAGAATGGTACTATATTTGAAAAGAAAATAAGTGTATTTATATAAGTTTATAAGAAGTTAGAGAACTTTAAACACTAAACATAAATGTTAATGACACTAATTCTACAATCAAAACCCAAAATTCAACTGAGGCTTGAATTTAGCTACAAATTGTCTCATATGTATGTATAATATGGAAGAAATGAGCTAGATAATGTTTGTGATATGTTTTTCTTTCTTAGATGCTGATATTATATCCTACAATTTAAATGAATAAGCTGATAAAGCAAGTTATGTATATATGGCTAACAACAAAATTGAGCTAATAATTATAAGCATGAACTACTGTGAAAATCCTTTTTTGAAAGGTCAGGAAAAGGGAAAAAATAATAGTCCACTAATGAATTCATATTTTAATCTGAAATACTGACCATTTTTGAGCTTCACAGTGTGTAAAAATTATACATCTTTTAAAAATATTTTTTTCTTTTTAGCTGTAGATGAGCACAATACCTTTATTTATTTTTATGTGGTGGTAAGGATCAACCCAGTGTGTCACACATGCTAGGCAAGTGCTCTACCACTGAGCTACAACCCTAGTCCTCCAAATTATAATCTTATATTCTATATTAAGGATTAATCTCTCAATCACATGTTCTTTCTCAGAAGTATATATAATGCCATCATAAGGTCTTTATATATTTAATATTCTTCTTTTTATGCTTTATCTACAAGTTTAAATCCCCTGCCTCCTACTTTTTAGAGGTGGTTGGTCAATATTAGATCTAAATATCTATTATTTTAATTGACCTCATCATTTATATTGAGTGACAGGATGTAAAGCAAAGATACAATTTGCTGGGTTTACATATTATCTCTGATAAATACAACTATGTGATTTAACAAGACAAAAGCTCTATCAGTAGATTTTCTTTTCCTTTCAAAAACTTCTATATCTGGGCTGGGATTGTAGCTCGGTGGTAGAGTGCGTGCCTAGCACGTGGGAGATCCTGGGTTTGATCCTCAGCACCACATTAAAAATAAATAAATAAAATAAAGGTATTGTATACAACTAAAAACAACAACAACAACAACAAAAACCCAAAACTTCTATATTCAATACATTATCTTTGTTGTTGGTGGTGGTGGTACTGGAGAATTGAACCCAGAGGCGCTAACCACTGAGCCACATCCCTAGCCCTATTTTTATTTACAGACAGGGTCTCACTGAGTTGCTCAGAGCCTCACCGTTGCTGAGGCTGGCTTTGAACTTTCTGCCTCAGCCTCCCAAGTTACTGGGATTACAGGTGTTATTTTTATTTTGAGACAGGGTCTTGATAATTTGTTCAGAACCTTACTTAGGTACTGAGGCGGTTTTGAACTTATGATCCTCCCAAGTTGCTGGGATTATAGGCATGAGCCACCATACCTGGCAAAACATTCTCTTTTAAAAGGCTAGTTTTCGAATAAACTTAAAATTGCCTTTTTCCCCCTTCTTTTCATTTTTGGCAATATTGGGAATTGAACCTACGGGTGCTCTACCATTAAGCTACATTTCTAGCCCTTTAAATTTTGGGACAGGGTCTTGCTAAGTTGCTGAGGCTGACCTTGACCTTGTGATCCACCTGCCTCAGCCTCCTGTGTAGCAGGGATTATAGGCATGCATCATCACACCTGGCCCTGTTTATACTATTTTAAGACCTTTCAAATCAAGATGGGGATATAGCTCAGTTGGTAGACTGCATGCCTTGCATGCACAAGGCCCTGGGTATGCTCCCCAGCACCCCGCCCCCCCCAAAAAAGAAAGCCCTTTTATTAATACTTTACTAAGAGCGAGAATTTGCAAATACAAAATATGATGAAAAGTTATCCTTTTATTACCTTGGCGATAAAGTATTTTGTGATGTATTGGTAGGAGAAGTAAGAGGACTGGACCAGTTGGCTGGTGATCGTGGAGTTGGTCTTGTCAAAGGACTCCCCATGGAACTCTGATGAAGGGAGTCAAATAAATATTAACATATAATAGGTAAGTAAAAGGCTCTTAAGGAAACAATACAATTGTGAGATAGGAACACATGAAATAGCCACAGTTATTGGTCAATATTTTAAATATTCATATACTTATATCTGGTTTCTGGGAGGAAAGTTTTTCTCCTCACTCAGAAATCTAACTCTTTAGTGTTTTTATCTTTTCTCCTTACTTGCTTGCTTGTCTCAAATATTATCAACATCCTTTCCCTCAAGAATTCAACAGGATCCTAAACTAAGAATTTTAAATGGGCTTTGTATTCTGAGATAATTATCCACTTCCAACAATTACTAATGATAAAATTTTATTCTCTTAGTTTGCTTTACAAATGATTTTCATAAAGACGCCAATGGAGTAAAATGTGGCCATGTTATTAATCTGTATCTCTTACAATCTAGTGAAATAATCCCTCTAATTCACACAAAAAAATTATTCTCAGATTATTTTTCAACCTCAGACTTTGCCTTAAGCCTCTCATCAAGTGCATCTACATTTTTTATATCTGTTATCAAAAACTCCCTAAAATTTTAGTCCAGTTCTTCAAGTTACTAAATAAAATTTATTTATATATAGATTTATATCTTATTGTAATGTTTCATTTACTCCCACCTTACTTCCTCAAAATAAAATCCAAGCACAGGTGAACTGACAAGCCTATGATTACTATGTACTATCTATCCTCTCCAACCTTATTTGTTAACCCTGCAATAAGTCATCTCTGCTAATAGTGAAATAAGGATTGGTTCATCGGAAGAACATGTCCTAATGTTCTAATGGCTTCCAAAGCTGGTGCCTTCATACATATTCTGTTCACATTTGGCTTTCATTATTCGTAATTAGCCAGTATTCACCAGTGCCCTAATGTATACAAATTATAATATAAACACGGCAAGCCTAAGGCCTCTGTTGTTTCCAAGACAATATATAGTTTTACTCAGGAAACTCTGGCAAGTACAGAAATCATATATGAGGCTCAAGTTTATTTCATGTAAAGGAAAATAATTACTGTTAAACCAACCATAAGATTATACAGCAGCCAAGAAAGTAAGCAAGAAATACCTGGGTTCCATTGCCGGTGTTTCGAAGGTGATTATGAAGAAGTTTGGTAGCACCATCTTGAAAAGTTTTTGGTAAAGCTCCTAGTAACATTGTAAACTCTGGGGTATTGAGTTCAAATAAAGAAATCAGCACTGATTGTGCTGCCTTAAAAAAAAAAAAAAAAAAAAAAAAAAAACACAGTAAATTCAATAAATGCATTTTGGTTATGCAAAGATGACTGTCTTCTTTTACATTTCTATTAAACATCAGGAGGTTTAACTATTTTTCCCAGGGCAAAGAAAAATGTTCTTATTTCAATTATTATTATTATTTTTTTTGGAAGGAGGGGTTGGTTAGAGCATTTGTCTAGCATATTCAAGGTTCTGGGTTTGATCCAGTACTGAACAATAAAAAACAAAACACACTTCTTTTATGGGAAAGATAGAAACATTCTACTACTGAGCTACATCCATAGCCCTAGGAAGGGATTAAAAAAATATATGACCTACCATTTATTTTTGGAAATTAAAAGAGAATACAAAAAGTTTAACAAATAGAACAGAAGCAAAAGATAACCAGACCCTTTCTTCCTAGGCCTGCAATCCTACCTACTCAAGAGGCTAAGGTAGAAGGATTGCAAATTCAAGTAGTTTAGTGAAGCCCTGTCTTAAAATAAAAAAGGAATGGGGGTGGTATTCAGTGGTAAAACACCCTTGGGTTCAATTCCCATTACAAAAGAAGAAAAAAAAAAAAAGTTAACCAGATACTTTCTCTGTCAACATGTTACTACTTCAGTTTTCCTAATAAATGATTATAAGGAGCAAAAAATTTCAAATTCTACTTTCTCAATATATGTAAATCTCGAATAAATCAACAGTATCTAGACTCTCAAATAGCTAATCTAACAAATCTACAATCTGAAGAAGCTAAACTATAGCTAATATTTTGTGGAAATGGGAACAATAACAAGAAAAAAGCCTACTCAGATTTGTAAGAAATCTTACACATTTCTTCTCCTATAGTAATCAATTGAGTTATTAAAAGACAAATACTGAAATTCATATTTATAGAAACTTAAGTTCTGGAACTGTTCTGACCTAATTCTATAAAAACCTAAGTGTTTCTATGTTTATAGCATCTGAATATACAACAACAGGGGAATGGCTAAATTATGTTATATTGAAACCATGAAATATTACACAATAGTTATAGAAGATAATGTAGGTCTATTTATGCAGAAATGAAGATTGGTCTGTTATATACTGCTGAAGGAGAAATACATAAAAAAACAGTGATAACACAAGTTCATTTTATTAAAAACGACAAAGCATGTATCGTATGGGAGTATGCTTCAACACATTAGTTAATTTTGTCTTAACAAATTCATTATTAAACATACTTTACTCCATCTATAGTTTATTTTGGTTTAGAGATTAACGTTTCATCATCTCTTATAGATAGCTCAACGGTTCCCAAATCATTTACTGAAGAGTACACCCTTTCTACATGATTTTAAGCAGACGAATATTCTACATAAATCTGTGTTTCTGGACCATTCTTTATTACCCATTGATCTATTTCTGTTCTAACATCACATAATTTAAATTGCTACAGCTTTAGTATATTTTGATCAAGATGTTTATTTCTGTTACTTTTAAATTTTTTTGGTCACATGTTTTACTAGATACATTTTACATTTAAAATAAATTTTCAGGTCTTTAGCCAGATGTGGTGGCACACATCTGTAATCCCAGTGACACAGGAGGCTGACACAGAAGTATCATAAGTTTGAGGACAACCTCAGCAACTTAGCAAGACCTTGTCTCAAAAAAAAAAATAAAAAGGTCTAGGGATATATATAGCTTAGTGGCAAAGAGTCCCTGGAATCAATCCCCAGTAACAACAGAAAGAAAAAAAATTCAGGTCTTTAAATTAAAGTAATATACACATAAGAATTTACAGAAACCAATGTTATAGAGAAGGTTTTGTATTTCTCAATTTCTCTTTGCAATGCTTGTTTTAACTGTTGGGCATTCATAGGTTTATATACTAATTTCTTATTAGCTTGAGATAGACTCTAACATAAGTTCTCACATAGGATATTATTGTTCAATATCCTATGTGAGAACTTATGCTCTTTTTAATACTAGTCTACCCTTTCCACTCTTTTCCCCTTTATATAAAACAGCACAAAACTCTCAATTAAAATTGTGCCAATGGTTTCCTCTTCTCTGTGTGTGTGGTACTGGGGATTGAACCCAGGGCCTCACACATGTAGACAAGCACTTTACCAGCTGAGTCACATCCCCAACTCCTAAGATGAGCCAATAGTTTCTATAAGTCGTTTTCTCTTGGTCAACCAAGCTAGAGGTTTGGCAATTTTGTTGATTTCTCCAAAGAACCAACTTTTGGTTTCACTGATATTCTCTAATATTTTCCTATCTTCGTTTTGATTAACTTTTTAAAAAATCTTCTATTGGCTTCAGATTTGCTCTGCACCTTTTTCTAGTGCCTTAAGATAGTGCGTTGGGTTACTAATTTGAGATCTTTCTTTTTTTGGTATAAACATCAACAGCTATAGTTTTCTTTAAGCACTGCTTTAGATGCATCCCATGTTTTGTTAGGTCATGTCTTTATTTCATTATCTCAACGCATATTCTAATTTCCCTTTTAATTTCTTCTCTGAATTAATGGTTATTTAAGAGTAAGTTGTTCAATATCATTTATTTGAGAGTTTTCCAAGTTTCTTTCTATTATTGATTTTTAATTTTATTCCACTGTGGTCAGAGAACACACTTTGTGTTATTTCTATTGTTTGAAACTATTGAGGTTTGTTTCATGACCCAGCATGCAGAATTTTACACATATATTTGAGAAAAATGCACTCTCTGTTCTTAGTAGGTGCAGTGTTTATAATTGTTAATGAAGGTCACAAAATTTATATTCTGGATACTCCTCTGCAACAGTGAAGGAAAAGATTCACAAAGAATGATTCACAAGGAAGATGTGTACAGAAGGCTTAGGGGAGAGAATATCCAAACTGGTGAAGAGAAGAGGTCTAAGAAGGAGTTCTCCAGAAAATAAATAACCTCTTTTGGAGTAAAAAAAATATTAGCTATAATTATGTGACAGAGATGTTGAAAATATTAACAAGTATTTCAAAAACATTTTAAAAAGCTCAGGCAAATGAAAAACAAGGCAAATTATTAACTCCAAGACAAAGTTTCTATAAGAAAGGAGACAGCAGCAAACCACTTGGCACAAGTGTATGTGCATATCCAAATGTAAATCTTTTCTACTGACTACCAACAATTCAGTCATAAAGTATTTTGAAGATTATGGGGAAGGATATAGGAAAGTTATGTGGGAAAGATAGGGGAAAGCTAAATCCTAACAAAGATAGATCAGTATGTCTATATTTATCAATAGATCAATAAATAATGCCTAAAATGGATAAACCAAGAAACAGCATCTGTTCTTTTTTGGAATACATAGGTAAATGCAAGGAGAATAATTTGGAATATTTTGTGCTTGAGGCTGGGAGGATTGTAGCAAGGACAGCTATTTTTGATTCCAATTTTGAAAATTATGCTCAATTAACTGGACCAAATTTAAGATAATTTAAAAGAATTATTATTTTTTTTAAAAAGTCCTTCATAATTAATTGCTAACTGGTAGAATTCTAAAATATTCTTCCTTCACTGGCAATCCAAAACTACTGACTTGCTTTTCCAACTGATATTTTTTTTGTTTTTGGGTGGTAGGTATTGAACCCAGGGCCTTACATATGCTAGTCAAGGGTCTAACACTGAGCTACAATCCCAATCCTCCAATTGATCTTCTAAACCTTATGTGAAAACACACCTTCCGAACATCAGAACTTTTGGGTTCTGTTGTCCAAGTGATGACCCTAGACACTGCCAGGCGAGTTTCACTGGAATTTATAAAATCTCCTGGATCCATTTGTTTGGCCAGAGTTTCTATGTATTTAAGGATGGCAACCTTTACCTGCAGAGATAAGCAGAATGAGACAGGAAGATAAGATGGTCATTGTGAGGCACTAGAGTAAGCTTCAGAAATAATTACATGACTATTTTTGACAAGAAAACGAACAATATAAACAATAAAAGAGATAATATAACCACCTACCAACTTCAGGTCCAAGTATATGATAAGGTGATGATTTTTGTTTTCATACATATTAAAGCTTTTAGGTCCCAGGCATTTTATTCCCCAAGTATGAAAACTGTGGCAAACTTTCTTAAGATAATAAACTTTGTCTTGTATCTACCGTTGCATTGCAGCTGATTCTTAGCTAGCCCCAGAGGAAGTGAGTCTTATCAACTCAGTCATTTCATTTTGGGGGGAAATTAACCAAAGTATTTGAAAATTAGGAATGGTAAATCCAGTCTATCAAGGCTGCAATAATGGTGGGCAATATAGTTTGTTATTGTTTTTTTTTTTTTTTTTTTTTGAGGGGATGGTATCAAACAGGATTAAAACTGACAAAATGAGATCAGATTCATCAACTGTTATAACTGCGTTAAATGAAGAGTCTCAAAAATATTAAACAAGTATCACTGGAGAAAAGATAATATTCATTTGTAAAAAGAAGTTAACATATAGGTGTAAAAAGTCTCATTCTTGATATGTGGGTGCATGAAACAGACGTGTAGTGGGATGAAGACTATGCTAAGGTGATAAAAAGGTTTGAGAATCACTGTTTTTAAAGTCATGTATTCCAACATTCTAGGATTTCCATTTGTTTTAAAATATTTATTTTTTAGTTGTAGTTGGACACAATACCTTTATTTCACTTATTTATTTTTATGTGGTACTGAGGATCGAACCCAGGGTCTTGCAGGTGCGAGGCGAGAACTCTACCGCTGAGCCACAACTCCAGCCCCTAGGATTTCTTAATGGTTTTCTCCGACGTTACCTGTTTATACTTTATTTTTTTAAAAAACTAATTTATTCTTTTTGTGTATGTGGTGCTAGGTATTGAACCCAAGACCTTATGCATGTCAGGCAAGCACTCTACTAGTGAGCTACACCCCTAGCCCAATTTATTCTTTCAACTGACAAACAACAATTGGATATATTGGGTATATAATATGATATTTTGAAGTAAGTATACATTGTAGAATGGTTAAATTGAGCTAATAACATTTGCATTACTTCACATACTCATTTTTTGTGGGTAGAACACTTAAAATCTATTCTCAATTACTTTTAAAATGTTTTTATTGTATATATTTAAGGTATACAAGATGATGCTTTGATACACATATACATAGTGAAATGATTTCTACAGTCAAGCAATGAATAAATCCCTCATCTTACAGGGTTACCCATTTGGTCTACATGTGGCAAGAACACCTAAAATCAACTCTTTTAGCAAAAATCTCTTTAATTATAGTCCTCATATTGTAAATTAGATATCTAAACTTATTCATCCTACATTATGCACAACTTGATATTCTTTCATCTGTATCTTCCCATACCCCCTCACTCTGTTAGTATTTTCCAGCTGTGTACAATGTTATTTATCACTACATTATACCAGTGGCCACTTTAGAAATAACATGTGATATAGTAGTGTATAATCCTTGGATTCAGCAGATGCTAAACACACAGTAAAGGCTGATTTACTGACTCAGGAAAAGTAAAGTTTAAATGCACGATTAAAACAACTTGAGCCAGGCACCAGTAATCCCAGCTGCTCAGGAGGCTGAGGAAGAGGATTGCAAGTTCAGGGCCACCCTGGCAATGTAGTGAGACACTGTCTCTAAAACAAAAATAAGCCGTGCCCACCTGTAATCCCAGTGACTTGGGAGACTGAGGCAGGAGGATCACAAGTTCAAGGCCAGCCTCAGCAATTCAGCAAGACCCTGTCTCAAAATAAAAAGTAAAAGAACTGGGGATGTAGCTCAGTGGTAAAGTGCCCCTGGGTTCAATCCCCAGTACCAAAAAAATAAAAGAAATAAAAAATCCCAAACCCTAGCAAGTTGAGATACTGTCCAGGTTAATGTAATTAGTCTCTCTATGTTCTTTCTTCCCTTATGGATTTAAATGTCATTTTTATCACTCAGGCCAAGTATCTATGGGAAATCTCTCTGGGTAGTGTTATGCCAAATTAACAGATAGGAAGGAAAATATTGAAATAAAGTTCTGCCTCTTATACATTTTCCCCTTCCTGCTCCTAGTACCAAAAAAAGGGGGATATCAAATTATGTTCTTCTTTCATAAGAAATAAATATTTAGATTTATAATTTTACACAGCTTACAAAAATAAAAATAGCAAATGGGAGTACATTAAACTAAAAAGATTCTTTTATGCAGCAAACAAACAACAGAGCAAAGGGACAACCTATAGAATGGAAGAATATCTTATAAAGCACACATCCGATAAGGAATGAGCATCCAAATATGTAAAGAAATCAACCTAAACAAACAAACAAACCGAAAAACCCTAAATAACCTGATTAAAAAATTACCAAAGAACCTGAATAGACATTGCTCCAAGGAAAACACCCAAATGTACAATATAAAAATGAAAATGCTCAACATCAATAATCATCATGTAAATGCAAATTAAAACCATAATGAGAGATCACTTACTTCACTAAATGGCTACTATATAAAAGACAAAAGGTTGCTGGTGAAGATGTAGAGAAAGGGAACCATTTGCACACCACTGGTGTGAATGTAAAGTAGTACAGCCATTGTGGAAAACAGTATGAAGTTTCTCCAAAAAATTAAAATAGAATACCATATGATCCAGTAGTCCCAGTAGGGAGTAACTATCTCAAAGACAATGAAAATTAGTATGTTGAACAACTCGTACCCCCATGTACTATGGCAACGTTATTCATAATAGCCAAGATATAAATCAATTTAAGTGTCCTTCAATGGTTGAGTATGGTATATATACACAATGAAATACTATTTAGCTTTAAAAAAGGAAACCCTGGGTGGGGGCTATAGCTCAGTGGTAGAGCACTTGCCTAGCATGTATGAGGCCCTGGGTTTGATCCTTAGCACAGCAAATAAATAAATAAATAGATAGATAGATAGATAGATAGATAGATTAGAAAACCCTGTCGTTTGTGACAACATGGATGAACCTGTAGGACAATATATTATGTGAAACAGGCCATGTAAAGAAAGACAACTATTAAATGATCTCACTTATATGTGGAGCATGATGAAGTCAAACCCAGAAACACAGAGTAAAGTGGTAGTTACCTGGGGCTGGGGGATTAGGGAAAGACTGGTTGAAGGACATAAAATTTCAGTTAGAAAAGAATAATAATTTCAAGAGGACAATGTACATCACAGTATCTTACAGTTAATAACAATATACTTGTTTTTTTTTTTTTTTTGCAGTACTAGGAAATTAATGCAGTGTTGCTCTATCACTGAAATATGTTCCCAGTAAGGGTCTTGATAAGTTGCCCAAGCTAGCTTCCAGCTTGTGATCTTTCTGCCTCAAGCTCCTGAATAGCTGGATGTGCATCACATGCTTGGTCACCATGTACATATTAAATATTTGAAACTGCTGAGATTGGATTTTAAGTTTTCTCACCAAACACACACACACACACACACACACACACACACACACAAAGTATGTGAGGTAATGCAAAAGTAATTTGACTCAGTCATTCCATAATTTCTCTCTTTCTCTCTCTCCACATACACACACACACACACACACACCAAAACATGTTGTATACTCTAAATATATACAAGTTTTACTTATTATTTAAAAAGTGAATTATAACTTTTAATATAAGATGTGGTTAGTTTTGTAGTAGCAGGCCTACCTAAATTATAGGATAGCACATAATATTCTGGATTCTTGAAGCCATGTACCTTCTATCAGTGTGAATAGCTGAAAGATGACTATGTTAAGTCAATAAATGAACAATGTATTCTTTTTAAGTTACCAACACTAATAACTGTATATATTCCTGAGCATAGTAGTAGATGTTGGTATTCCTAGCTACTTAGGACACTGAGGCAAATTCAAGGTGAACCTGGGCAATTTAGTGAGACTTAGAATCAAAATAAAATAAAAAGGGCTAGATGCGGTGATGCATGCCTATAATTCCAGTGACTCAGGAGGGTGAGGCAGGAGGATTACAACTCTGAGGCCAGTCTGGGCAATTCCTCAAGACTCTATCTCAAAATAAAAAATAAAAAGGGCTGGGAATGTAGCTCAGTGGTACAGCATATGACTAGCATACACAAGACCCTGAGTTCAATTCCCAGTAGATTAGGGGGAAAAAAAAGCAAGCATTTATTTGCCCTCTGTGACATTCAGTTGGTGCAGTGTCTTGACAATTTATAGTCATGCAAAATTTTAAAAAGGTGTCTCAGAATAGGCATATTTAATAATAGGTAAAATAATCACACACATATAATAATTTGAATGTTTTTAGTAGGGTACTGTATGAGGTTACATACATTCTAGAATTTCAATTATGCAAATATATACTCTTTCAAAGAAGGAAAAACAATTCGATTGCTAAGTGTGTGTAATTCTTCAATGTTTGTGAAAGCCAGAGTTCAGCAAAATTACATTTATTTAAAAACATTAGTAATTCAAATTAAAATTCCTGATTTTATACTGTTATTTCCCTCACTGATCACATGATAATACATGAGAGATATCACATTTTATGTAAACATCCTTTTTTTTTTTTAATCTGAAAGATCATTTCTCAATAAAGATATTTTCCCTCGGTCTTTTTGCTAGATCTAGAACAAGTTATCTGTGTTTTTCCATAGCCTGTTAAGATTTTAAAACTTAACCCTGTCACCCACCTGAAAGTTATTTATATTTTTGCAGAAAAACATAACATTTTCCTGCTATCCTAAAATATCTACTTAAGAGTTGAAGAGTGATTCCCCATATGGCTTTGCTACTGAAACTATACTTCTATGTATATTTATAAATAATTTAGGCTTTTAAAGAAACAGTTTGTGGTGCCAGTCTCCAGTACAATGTTTTCCAAAAGGAAAGCCCATTTTAATTTGTCTGTTTCCCATTTCACTATTCCCTTTAATTGTTTTCTTCAGCAACTTTATACTCTACCTCAAGTCACCTCTTATCCTTATTTCTTAAGCTGGTGATCTTCTTTTGCACTGGCCCATGAAACATCTCTATATACATTTTCTTTTTATAATATTTATTTTTTAGTTTTTGGTGGACACAACATCTTTATTTTTTATTTGTATGTGGTGCTGAGGATCGAACCCAGCATCCCGCGCATGCTAGGTGAGCACGCTACCGCTTGAGCCACATCCCCAGCCCCTCTATATACATTTTCAACAGTACTGGAATATCTACCACAGGTAGATGTAATTTATAGGTTATCATGTATTATAGAAAACAGTGATCTAATTATAAGTTTTATATTCCCAGGAACACTGAGCACAACGCCTTGGATACGAGTTCAAAAAACATTTCTCACTAATATCAAGTAAACTGTTTTTCTGCAGGTCACTTTTCAAAGTAAACAGATGGAATCCCTTTCATGAAGTAGTTTTGAGAAAATAACATTATGTTGAATGTATATCCACCCTGGTAAGAAACATAATTGTGATTTTCAGACACAACTGCATTCAGAAATGTAGGGGAAAACCAATCCTGGGCAGTAATGCTCATGGAAATATACTCGTGCAGAATAGAGCAGAAGATAAAAGACTTATGTAAGCATATATGCTTGTTATTTCCCTGACTTTAATCTCATTTGATACAGCTCACTAAAAAAACATCTTTGGCAAAGCATTCAGGAGGATCTTCTTTAATATTATATCACTTTTTCTTTTATATTAAATTGCATCATTTAAAATTACAAATTAGAATCCACCTACTTTTCACATAAATTATCTGGAAAATGTGTGCAAATAAAAACTGAGAAAGTTAATCTTAATTACAAATTTGGTGCACGTCAGAAACATCACATTGCAAAAATAGTTACTATTTTGGTTAAGGAAAATGGTACTGATATTAAGATTTGTTTGTTTACTAAAATATGTACTTAGGCAAAACTGGTATTTTGTCCAAAATGCCCATTAAAACTCCTAAGATTACAAATAAGAAAAAAAAGTATTGGGAAATCACAAACATAAAATTAGATAAGATTTTATAAAGCAAGTTTGCAATACCAGCTTAGTGTTAGATGGCCATATTGTGATGCCTTCTAAATGTATATCCCCAGTAAGCGTTCTCCAAAGGAGGAAGGACATTTGAGAAACATTTGAAATCAAATATGTGCATGCGTAAAAGGCTTACAAAGGTTAGTACTCGAATATAGATGCATACAAACATTATCTGAAACACTGCAGAGAGAGTTAAGAAAAGAAATAATGCAGATTAAAACAAAACAAAACAAAAAAACCTTGGAGCTCCAAAAAGAGTGAAGATGGTCCCGAAGTGCTGGCTTGACTGTCTGTAAGTTCATAAAAACAAAACCCACTGATTGAACTGTTTCTCATGTGACAGAAATACAAATACTGACATAACTTTATCAATAAAATACTTCAATTTTTTACAATGTTTGCAAAAAACCTCAGTTTTTTACCTTCAGGCTTGGTGTCTGAGTCTGATCAACTGTAAATCTCATTAGAATATTAAACTGGAGATCATTTGGGAAAGATTCTCTGAAATAAGAACAAAGCAAACAAAAAAATTAAGTAAACAAGTATGCATTTAACAAATTTCATGCAAAAAAACTGCTTAATGCCAAAACATAATGTCATATGAAGTAGTATATATCTGTAGTACAGGCTACAATAAAAGCATTCTCAGAAGAATACAAACATTTGAATTTATGACCAGTATTGGGTTAAGAAGCAACATTATAATAAATAATAGTCTATCTTGCCTCAATAATAGATTTAAGAAGAAAAATGTACTCAATAGAAAGTTCAATAGTTTCAGACATTTCCCCCACACCTAAAATCTAAATTCCAGTTTCATTTCAACTCAGAAAATGGACATTTTGAAACAGTCACACATAGGAAAGTAGAAACATACCAATGGTTCAAAATCTTCTGAAGAGAGATTCTGAATATCTAAATGTATACTATGTTTTATTAACACTTAGGAAATACTTTCATATTTACATTAGATAAAATTAATCTTCAACCCTACTTTGCAGATATATCTTCAGTTGATCTTTAGTCAAAACTCCATGATGCAACTACAAATATCTTTTTTTTTTTTTTGGGGGCGGGGGGTGGTGGTACTAGAGACTTAACCCAGGGGCGCTTAACCACTGAGTCACATCTCTAGCCCTTTTTTATTTTTTATTTTGAGACAGGGTCTCATTAAGTTGCTTAGGTCCTTGCTTAGTTGCTGACACTGGCCTCAAACTTGTGATCTTCCTGCCTCAGCCTCCTCAACTGCTGGGATTACAGACAGTGTCACCATATCCAGCTTTTTCTTCTTTATTTGAGATGGGATCTCACTATGTTGCTCAGGCTGGTCTTGAACTCCTGGGCTCAAATAATCCTCCTGCCTCAGCATTCCCAGTTGCTGGGACTACAGGTGCATATAATATGCCTAGTTCTAGATTAATCCTAATTAAGATAAAATACAATCTTGAATTACTTGAACCAATAAAATTTTTACAAAATAAATAAAAGGTTTGATCTAAGAAACAATGTTGTATTAAATATACCATGTAATTGGTGAAAATTAACAATTTTCAGAGGTGTTTCTACAGAATAAATTATTTGAAAGATCTCAGAAATTAAATTTTAACATAAAGATTAAATATTACTTATTATTAGGTAAACTTGAAATACATGCAAAAAATATTACCTTGTAACATCTAGGGCTTTCTGAACTTTTGCCTGAACAGACCCAAGCAAATCAGCACCCATTTTTTTAAGTAGTTGTGTCAGCAGTACAAATAACCAATCTTGAAGATCATCTTTGTGGACTTGTATAAAATCTACTAGAGTCTCCAAAAACATGCTGAATACCTATAATAGATAAAGGGGAGAGGTGGGAAGAAAAACGAGGAAATATTGATCTCTATGCTCAGTTCAAAACTGAAAATAGAAGGGAATACAGGAATCAGAGGCACAGCGATTGGCAGCCAAGCGGAAAAACAATCTCTCTTGCTTTTCATTGGACTCTGTGATACAAGAGTACATTTGAATCGTTATCCAACTTCTGCAGAAGTTCAACAATTAGCTATTCCATGCAGCATCACTTGGTAAAGAAATTTGGCCATAATGGCTGGCACACCTAATGTAATCAATGATGCCACAGCTTAAGCTACTTAAACTAAAAATCTATTTTATACAAAATATAGGGGAAGGATCTATAGTCTCACTAACTCTCAGCTTTTTGCAAGCGTGGCATTGAGTTAATTAGAGAATGACTATACTAACAGCTACCTAAGGTATAAAATTTACATAACATAATGAATTTACATAACATAAGAGAATCCTCAGATTTCTCAAAATGACAATTGTCACAAACTTTCTGGCATGAAATCTGTTATTTACTAAAACTGCCCCAAAAGTAATTTTAAATGACCTGTGATAAATAAAACTGTACTTAAAGTCAAATAAATTCAAGATAAAAGCCTACATCTAAATTTTAGTGGATTTTTTAAAAGGTCCTAGATGGCATGCCATCAGTCTTCATTTATGCTGTGTGTGGTGGGGAGGGCTTTATAAGTGGTTCTAACATTAATCTATCTGTTTAAAAAAATTTTTAAGTGAAAAAATTTTAAGGTGCAGAGAAACTACTATCAATACATGATGTATCTCACTGAAGTACGTATGAAAAGCAATCCATCACAAGGTTTTATCTGTTTACAAGAAATCCAATATCATACTAAAAAAATTATTTCAAGGTAAAGAGGAAAACACTGTTAAGACTCTTAGTCATGATGACTTGAGACAAATTATAATCAAAACAGATGATTAAAACTATGGTTTTTAAAATACTCAATATCCAAAGTAACTATACTAATTTGAGAATTAAGAGTTTGAAGGATTTTCTCTATTAGAACTATAAGCTTTAACATTCGAATCTTAGTATTCAGGAATTTTGTGAAATGTTTGGTAGCTTGAAAGCAGCTGCTTTCAAATAGGAGTCATCTACACTTCAGACACTGGCAAACACTACAAATCAAGGTTTCTTCCTCCCCGCCAAAGCTAGTTTACCAATATGTAACTGTTTTTTATTCTGTGGATCACTTTTACTCTTGTTTAAATTCTTCCCTATTTTCTTAAGGATTCCAACCTGAAACTTTTCCATATGAAAACCCATTTAGAAAGTCATAAGATAGAAAAATGCCTAAGTCGACTCTCCCATTTTATGTATAAGGAAACAGAGAACTAGAAAATGTGAGTTACCCAGTTTCACAGCTAGTCAATGGGTCAAGACTTAGCTAGGTCACTTGGTTTTCAGTTGTATTTTATCTACTCTATTAATTAAACTCTAGTGGCTTTTCCCTCAATTTGATTTCCTCTAACCCTAATGTTCTAATAATCATTTCTCCAAGGAAGAGTCAATTTTATTCCCTTTTAAGTCTAATTTTTCAGTTCCATATTTTTGCTCTCTAACGTGTACTCTCCTCTATTTACTCTTTCATTTTTTACCTAGATCCTTTACTGCCACATGCAGAAGACACCATTCCAGGAGCTCCTCTTTCAGCTTCCACCCTATTGCTCCCACTAATTATCTTCTAATTGTGGTATGCAATAGCTTTCTCCTAGGTAAAGTATGGTTGGCCATTCTGTAGCTTGACATTTCTTGCCTCTTAGTATTTCCCTTCTTTTTCTTTTTGCAGGCATTGTCCTTTTGCATCCTAAATGTCTTCATTCTGATTTGTTCTTCATCCCAAGTGTGACCTCCTTGACTGGGCCTCTCTGATTCTATGAGGCTCCAGATCTCTAGAACTGCTCTCTTTTGGTCTTCCCCAAATCTGTTTATCATAGCACTGTTGTAGGCACCAAGCACTTCTGATTTTATGTCTGGATTATTGCAGTAGCCCGACTCTAGCCTTCATATTTTCTATATATCAAGGGTCATCAAATCATTTCTGTAACAGGCCACACATATTTGAGGCTTTACAAGCCATAGGGTCTTGCAACTACTCAACTCCATTGTAGCACAGCCACAGTTGTGTTCCAATAGAACTTTCAAAAGTAGGCAGCACGAGAGGTTTGGCCTGCAGGCTGTGTTTTTCAATGCATGCTTCTTTCTTACCATCAGATTATGACAGTTTGTAATAGAAACAAAATTCTTAAACATCTCCCATTGTCTATAGGATAATATCTCAAACCCTTATATAAAATTGTCTACAGGATAATGTCTCAAACCCTTATATAAAGTTCTAACTCTCTAAACTGGACTATCCAGTAAAATAAGACCCTTTATTCCTCCACTTTCATTCACATCTCACATGACTCCAATTTTCTCCTATTCCTGTTCATACCTCCAGCTTGCTTACATATAGTATGTGATTCCCTACTCAAGCTCCAGCCAAGAAGCTTCTTAGGCTACTTTAGATAAGAGCCACTGATCCTTCCTACTTGGAATTCATAGTGGGATTAGCTATTTTTGATGCTATTTAACTTTTTGTCTATATTATCATCCCATCTGGAATATATATTATTATAGAATAAAGACTATACTTTTATACAGTCCTATATCATCAATGGAACCAAGTCCAAAGTTACCTAAAAAGTTTTCAATGAAAATAAGTATTTTCTCTTAAGCAAAATTTACCCTGTAATTAGTATAGTAAAGACCTGTTCCTCCTAGAATCAAGACTTTCCATTCATTCTAGTGAAGATTAACTTGTTTTTCTTTCCTATAAACTTTCTGGCACTACCCACTTTCTTCATTGGACTCATGCTAGCCATTCCTGGAAGGCTCTTTCTTCTCATGCTGACATAGCCAAGGTTTATGTTTCCATCAAGATCTTAACTGTTATTTCCTTCAAGAAGACTTCTCTAAGTGTCTGAATAGAAATTTCTTTTGGTTAGATATAACGTGAGTAGCCCAATAAAAATGTAGACATGGTATTTACAGCACTTTATATATAGAATTTTACCATAACCTTTCAAAAATATTTATATCCTATAACAGTTCTTAATAAATGATCATATATACACATACATATGCACATATATCCATATGCATAATATATTGGAAATTATACACAAATTTTTTTCTTCGATTTCCCTAACACAAAGAGTTTCTCTCAGGTGTTGATATTCTTCCATATCCTTGCCTAGAATTAAAGGAGAAAATGGATATGCTAATGTAACAGTAGGAATAAAAATTTCAAAAGAGAAAGCTGAGAATCAATGCTCCATAAATTGCTGTTTGCTTTTATGCAATGACATTAACAGACTATTAGGAAGTACATATGGGGACTCAGGGCCCAATTTTTTTTTTTTAAATAATTATGAAACTGGGGAATTATTTTTAAACTTTCAATGGAATCAATTTATAATCCTACATATCTCACATCTGTAATTTGTTCAGAAAGAATTAAATATCTGAGCTATTACAATTGAGGCAGTATTTTCCTAAACTCACTTATATCTTAGGTGTGCCAGTCAAAAAAAGAACAGAAGAACATGATCAAATTAGATTAATTAGTAGATTAAAAAAGCACATCTCCAAACAGAATGACAGTTTGCATATAGCATTTCGTGGATTGCAAAGGGTCCAACACTGCATGAACTCTTTGGGAGAGAAAACAGAGAAAAAGGGTTAATTTCACAGTCATGCAGTAAAGTTAGGTTTCCAACAAATATTGAACCAACTTACTCTCTATTGAGAGTTCCAACACAGGGGACAGCATGCAAAAAGAAAAAAAGAAAAAAAAGAAAAACACACAAATTAGTCGCCATCAATGCAAAGTTCCTGTATGGAAGAAAAACACTTAGAAAATAAAAATGACAAATGTTTTTCAAAGTTTTATGATAAACTCAAAATAGTTTTGAAAACAAAGAGTTAAATGAATTACATGGGAGAAGAACATGATTTTCCTGTGTTTCTCTTTAACCTCCTGGCAAAGGAAATTTAAAAAAAAAGAGACAAAAGCTTTTCTTTTGTACATCGTACTATCCTTGAGGTTCAACAACTGGGAAAGAACCCGAGAATCACAAAACTCATTCCCAATTCTGAAAAGTGTCAGAATTGGGAATGAGTTTTCGTTTCTTATCCCCTTTTCCCCCAGAAGAAGTATTTTCACAAATTAAATAATTTCTGTAAGGACCTGGAACAATTACTATTCTTTGGAGGTTAAAAAAAAAAGTAACTGTTTATACTATCAATTTTTTAATTCTTCAGGTAAGATGTGTGACAGTCTCCTGCTCCAAGGACTATGAGAGCAGCTGTAGCTGCCTAAAATATTTATCAAAAGACCAGATGTCACTTTCTACATAAGGTACTCAACTGTGCCCCAAGTTAGTAGTAAAATTAAATTTCCTAGCAACCCAAGACTCAAAGGCATGATTCCAGAGGCAGAATCACAAAGACCATAAAAATCTAATTCATACTTTGGTGAAAGTGGCTCTTTTTGAAGAGCTACTTCAGTCAAATGCAAAAACCATATAGGATAACTTTTAGTATCTGATAATGCTTACACTTAAGGGGGAAAAAAATGTGTCCAGAGCAGTCAAAATAAAAATCTGCTCTGAATGCCTTAATTTTTAAAACTACTATACTGGTATATTCTAAGGGCTTTATATGTATTAACTCATTTAATCATCACCACAACATTATGAGGCATATATTACTATATATTCTGTTTTACAGATTAAGAAACCAAGGCACACACTGCTAATAAGTCCTAGAGACAGAATATGAACCCAAGCCATCTTGCTCCATATTCATACTTGTTATGTGTTGCACTGCCTCTCTTATAAAAACACTAAGAGGCTTTAAATAACATAATTTGCTACTTTGTGGTCTGTTACTATCCTACATATTTCATTGGTTAGATCACTTATCTTCTTATCTGCAGGCCCTCTTTATCTGCAGGTTCTGCATCAGTGGATTCAACTAACCACGGACTGAAAATACTTGGTGGAAAAAAAACTATATCTGTACTGAAGGTGTACATTTTTTCCCCTTGTCATTATTCTCCAAACAATAGAGTGTAACAACTATTTGCACAGCATTTACATGTATTTGTTATTATAAGTAAGCTAGAGATAATTTACAGTGTTTGGGAGGATGTATGTAGATTATATGCAAACATTGTGTTGCTTTATATAAGAGACTTAAGCATTTGCATATTTTGCAATCTGCTGAGTGTCCTGGAACCAATCCCCTACAGATACTGGGGGACAGCGATATGTAAAGTAAAAAGTTAATTTATCAAATTACAGAAATCAAAAAATTTCAACTTGCTAACTATATTTACTTTATTCATATTATTCCTGTTCCAGGAAATATCCTTCCTCTGTATTTAGAAACAATTCTTTTCCAGGCCTTCTTTTCTGGCATTTCTGTACTATATATTAGATACATCAAATATTTTGGTTGGATACAGACCTTTGGTTGGATACAAAAAGGGAAATATTATGGTGGCTGGAGCAGGTGGTCCTAGCTAAAAGGATAAGAACTGCTGCTCACAACTTGGTTCTTTAAGCATCCTGTTTCTGTTGGGCAAATGTGAGAACAACTTTTATTTTTTGGAGGAAGCCTGCAACTCCCTAAAACCTGCTAACATAAAGAGTGAAATGCCATTTCTTTTTTTTTTTCTTTTCCCCATGGTATAAGGCATCTCCCAAACACACATAAAGGTCCATTCTAGGGGTAAGGCTTTATAAAGTTTCTGCCCCGTGAGCTTTGGTGATGGTTGAAGTTATAGAGAAGCAATTCTATCTAGTTCAGAGTGGTGATCTAATACAGACTTGAAGAAGATGTGCTATCTAAGCAGAGTCCTAAGAATGCTGCGTTGGGGAAGAAAGGAAAATATCCTCGATAGTGTGTTTCAAGTGAAAAGGAAAAGTACAAGGCACATTTGGGGAAATAAACAGTTTGGGCTGGGTTGACAGCAAAGAGGGAATACAAGCCAAAATGATAAGCTTTGGCTATTTCTTTAAGGATTTTTAAGATAGTAGAAAGGTTACTAGGGCACGCAGTATGGAGGATAATTTAGGGATGGAAGTGGGAGAGGTGGTGCAAATGGCAAAATATGAGCATGCCCCTGATTAGCAGTGAGAGTGGAGAGATATTCAGAGATGAATCAACAGGATCTAGTGGAAGTTCTAGAATAATGATCAATTCCTCACTTGAGTAATGGTGGTATCAGATAATCAGATAAAGCAATGCAGGAGGAAGAGTAGTATTGAGGCTGAAGATATAGTTGGTCTTCTGTGTTTTTGGATTCAGCATCCAAGGATTCAACAAACAAAGGATTGAAAAATATTTGGACAAAAACTGCTTCTGTACCCAACATGTACAGACATTTTTTTCTTGTCATTCCATAAATAATAAAGTATAACAACTATTTACCATATTGAATTGTAATCTGGGGATGTGAAATATAATGGGAGGACTGTATAGGTCATATACAAATACAATTCCATTTTATATCAATGCCTTGAGCATATGTGAATTTTGATATTCAAGGGGGTGGTGTGGGTGTGGAGTTGGTCCTGAAACCAATATTATAAAAAAACTGAGGGATAAATGAAGCCAATAGATATGTAATTAAATAAGTATAGGAGAAAAAACATGGGCTGGAAATATATTACACATCTGGAAGCTATTATGAAAGCAGGTAACAGAAGCTTCATATAAGGCAGAGAATGAAAGAAGAGGGCAAAATTCTACATGACACAAACATCACAGGACAAAAAGGAGAAAGAACCTCCTTCCATCTCAAAAGGAGGAAAGGTAGAAAGAATGGGCTGATGGTGAAGCTTGTTGGCTGGAGGCAAGAAATGGGAGTTTTGGCTAGATGGCTTCTATTTTCTTGGTAAGTTAAGAGGCAGGATACATGCTGGGGCATGGGATGTGTGAGGAGGTAAAGAGAGCTAAGAATTTTAGGAGAGAAAGTATCTGTCAGTCTACATGGAGGACAGAGGAAAAAACTGAGATGTAGAAGACTATCAGGCAATCACAGATCTGATATGAAGACTGCAGGAAAAGGCAGGGAGGTGTGCTTTCACTTAACCGGGCCAGCATACCATTATCCCTTCAGTAGTCCTGATTTTCAGCAAGGGACATGTGCTGCAAGAGCACAGGTTCCTGAATATATTTTTCTATTTTAGTGTCAATGACAATGAGTGAATCATATAGAACAGGGGTCAGCAAATTATGGACTTCAAGATAAGAATGATTTTTATAATTTTAAATGGCTTAAAATACAAGACCATTTAGTGACACATGAAAATTATATGAACACTCAAGTTTCAATGTTCATAAGTAAAGTTTTATGGCAACCCAGTTATATTCATCTGTTTACACACTATCATAAATACCTTCATGCTAAAAAGGCAGACTTAAATAACTGTGGGACAGAGGCTATAATGGCCTGAAAAGTCACAGACATTTACAGAAATTAACATCTGATCCCTAATAAGAATCAACAATGTATTTTGAAAGAAAAGGGTTTTTTGTTTGTTTTGTTTTTTTAAGTTTCTAGATCCTGAAAGATCAAACTGGTAGTACTTTATTGGCAGAATTAATCATGAACAATCATCAAAGAAAAACTAAACAAAAACAAAAATTTTTCCATTTCTTCACTGAACGGAATAAAAAAAACCCAACTCCTGGGCTGGGATTGTGGCTCAGTGGCAGAGCTCACATGTTATGAGGAGGCACTGGGTTCGATCCTCACACCACGTAAAAACAAATAAATAAAATAAAGGTACTATGTCTATCAAAATTTTAAAAAATTGAAAAAAAAATAAAAACAAAAAAACCCCCTACAAAAATCCAACCCCAAATAAACATACAAACAAAACCAGATGGGTCAGTCAATAAGAGAAAATTCTTTTTTTTTTTTTTTTTTTAAAGATCAAATAGGAAAGCTAAGTTTGTTTCTCTTTATCGCTGCACAGACACTGGCATCCAATTAACTTGCATTATTACCATTAAAAAATGGTCAAAAATTATGACCAAGAAATAAATTCAGCCTTGGTCTTATACTTTCCAGTAGCAACAAATTATACCATTTAGTGAAGATAGTTAACTAAATCTTCAAAGTTGAATAAATTGTCAATTAAAATGTTCCTTAAGGAAAAAGGCTCCTCCAGATAATTATCTCCCCTTTTGGCTTACCGTGCCAACTACTGACCAAAAGTTAATCTGTTTAGAATTTATAGAAATTTTTAGATTAAAGCAAGACCTACAACTGTAATTAGTGGTGGTGATATCAATATAAAATGGTAGAATTATCTACAGTTTGAAAATTACAAATTTTAAAACATTTTGGCCGACAAAGTGCTTGTTAAACATATTTTCATTTTTGCTTTTTAATGGGATCTTTTATTTTCAGATAAAATAAATATACCCCTGACAAAGGAGAATCTTTGGAAAATATTGTTTTAAAGTGTAAGCAATTTATTTAAATAAGTATATGCCCAATAGGATTTAATCTTTAGTTAGATTTTAGTTTATGTATAAAGTGGGATTTTATATCTTTAAGGAGTGACATAAATAATAAAAATAGAAAAATAGAAAAAACCAAAATGATGTGTACAAAAATGAAGTGAAGATAATTAGAAAAAAAATAAAGTAGAATTCATTACTATTTTTCTTATAACTTCTTTGCTACATCTCTCATTAAGGTTAGACATACACCTGCATTTGACATCCTAAAGGAAGATACTTAAGTTTTACCACAGTCAAACACATTTCTGGAAACAAAATAACAACACATTTTTATAACATTATTATTTATTAAGATAAACCAAAATTTCATAGTGAACATGCCAATTATGCTTAAGTACTTAATCCAATATAGTTAAATCAACATTAAAGAGTGAACAAAGTTCTGAAAATTATGATTTTTATTCAATATGTAAAATGTTTCATTTTTATGTTACTATCAAACTACGGCTATAATCATATTTTGTGCTTTTCTGTTACTTAATGGCAATTCTTTTTTATAAAAACAGTTCTTTCAAGAAAAGAATATGTTTAAATTATGGTTGTAATAATCATAGAAGAAAATTGAATAAAATGTCAGCAACTTTCTTAAACTTACCCCAATTATATTCTTCACAAATAGTGAAATATTCTTAATAATACAAAATATACTCACCCTGGCTAAATTATTATCTTACTCTCAATCTCTCTTCGGAGAAGCACAAATGATTACCAAAGAACAATTTCTAAATTATATATGATATTAAAAATTATGTTTAAAAATAATCACTACCCATTTTGGGGTAATAATAAAACAAAAGTGGTTACAGTTTTCTGCTATTTTACTTCTTTTTTGGGCACATATGAGTAAATAATCTTAAATACTAAAACATACCTTGCCATGAGGATCAGCAAACATTCTTGTAAAAATTTCACACAATCTTTTCAGTTCAACTCGACTGTAAAAGTAATAAAGTTGGGTAATTAATATCTTTCCATAAAATGAACTCATTTTAAAGTAACCTTTCATATAATTAAATTTCTTAACAACAATAAAAAGGTTAAGAGACATAACTCTCAAAAATTTGAAGTTTGGGATTTACAAGTCAGGGCTAAATACAAAGTTATAAAATGTGGCATTTTGCTATAACCTACACTAGCTTTAGGGTGGAAGTCACAAAAAGAAGTACACATTTATTTCATATTGTGGCAGGAAAAATAATACATGTGACATTCCTAATACATAATTTTAGTCACTCAGGAGCCAAAATCTTTCTAAACTCCGCTTACTCTTTTGCCACGTAAAAGAACATGCTGAACCTAATATTAAACTAATCCTGATGGGCCTGGGAATAATATTATGCTGATTTACTTCATGAAGTTGGATATAGGTAAATGAAACTGCATTAGGTAATACACAAATATTTACTTAAAATCATACAGGTTTAATAGGTCCTAAAATAAATACTCAACAGATATATCAAATCCTGATTTCACAGGTATCAAGTCAGAAGGTAGCCCACACTCAGAACCTATATAATTATCTGAAGACAGGGCTTTTTTTTTTGGTACCGGAGATTGAACTTAGGGGCACTCAACCACCAAGGCACCTCCTCAGCCCTATTTTGTATTTACAGACTAGGTCTCACTGAGTTGCTTAGCACCTTGCTTTTGCTAAAGGTGGCTTTGAACTCCCAATTCTCTTGACTTAGCCTCCCAAGCAGCTGGGATTACAGGTCTGCGTCATGGTGCCAGGTCCTTTTGATTTCTCGAGACAGGTTCTCGCAAGTTTCTTAGGGCCTTACTGAGTTGCTGAGGCTGGGTTTAAACTAAGCATCTGCCTACCTCAGCCTCCTGAGCCACTGGGCTTAAGATAGGTTTTTAAAGGGCCGAACTATAAATATTTAAAACATTATATGGACAAAGACAATGAAGGATATGGGGAGGGGGTGGGGGAAGCAAGACAAATCCAATGGGAAAGGAATGAAAATCCTAAAACCCATAGTCAAAATAAACTTCTGTCCTAAAAGAAATTCATTCCAGGGCTGGTGTTGCGGCTCAGCGGTAGAGTGCTCACCTAGTGCATGAGAGGTGCTGGGTTCGATCCTCTGCACCACATAAAAATAAATAAATAAAATAAATGTATTGTGTCTACAACTAAAAGAATAAATACTTTAAAAATAAATGTTTAGGGCTGGGGATATAGCTCAGTTGGTAGAGTGCTTGCCTCACATGCACAAGGCCCTGGGTTCAATCCCAGCACCAAAAAAAAAAAAAAAAAAAAAAAGAAAGAAATTCACTCCAATTTCGTTTTATATTCTAGATCATAATACACAGCGTCACACTTACATGAACACTAAGAATATATCTTCATTTCTGAATAAGCATAAGTATTCTTTCCTCTCATTGAAAGTTTATCAGGAAGAAATTTTGATATACCAGTCAACTTTATTATTATACACATTTTGCTATTTGTTCATTCTTTTTCTTTCACAGTTTTGGGGATCAAACAAACCCAGGGCTTTACATACACTAGGCAAGTAAGTGCCCACTAATCTACACCCTCAGGACTAATTTTTTAGTTTCTAAAATTGATAATTTTCATTTAATTTCTATTTGTGAATAAAGTTTCCTTTAAAATGCTTCACTAAACAGAGAAAACAAAATAATTTTTTTTTTTAGTAAATTATAATACAGATGGTTCTAAAGGACTGAGGCTTTGGAAAGACACTTTGATGCAAACTCTGAATTCAGGAAGCCTGTTGCTAAACTAGTATTTTTTAAGTGTTATTAAAAAAAAAAAAAAAGTAGACCACTATTGTTGCTGCGGAGCCTGGACGTCTCTTCTTTGGGTGCAGCCATGGTTACCTGGGACACGAATTCCCACTGCCTCTAAACCAGAAGTTTCCTGTCAATCAACTGCCTCCTGTACTGCTACTGCCATTGCTGCTGCCAGCCTGGGATTGCCTGGAGGTCTTCTTTCTTAGTGCTGCTACCACAAAAGAAACCTCTGCCCTGGATACAACTGAAGCCTACACCGCTGGGGACCCCCTGGTGACGCTGCCCCTGAAGCCTCTGTTACTGCTGACCAACAACCACCATCACTACTGCTGAGACCACGGCCTAGAGTACTGTGATGGCAGTGACTACAGGTTTGGTTGCACGTGGATGCACCCATTTTGGGACACCAGCTAGGGCCTCGGGCCTGGGTGCCATTGGGTTTACCACCACAAGAGTCTGGGGACTCTGGGCTGGGGATGTGGCTCAAGCGGTAGCGTGCTCGCCTGGCATGCGTGCGGCCCGGGTTCGATCCTCAGCACCACATACAAACAAAGATGTTGTGTCCGCCGAAAACTAAAAAAAAAATAAATATTAAAATTCTCTCTCTTAAAAAAAAAAAAAAAAAAGAGTCTGGGGACTCCAGATGGAAGTTGCAGGTCCAATGTGAGGGTTTAGAGGAGACTGGGGTCTTCCTGCTGAGAGTGCTGGTGGCCCTTGTCTTGATGCTGCAGCATCTTGGGAGTTGGGGTTACTCCTTTGAATAGGTGTATCTGGGGTGGCCTCTCTGCAAATAGGAGCAGCATTGAGATCTTGGGACTACAGCATGGCCGAGCCTGATGTATCTGAAGCCCAGATCGGTGGGGCAGAGACTAGGTTTGCGAGGGCTGATCTGGGTTTGGTGATCCTGAGAGATGTCAGAGATTGGGCTGAGAAACTATAAAACAATGACAGAGACAGTGTGACTTTCCAGAAAGGTTTCTTTTCTTTTCTATTTTGATTCACTAATCTCTCCACCATACTTGGAACAGGATGTTTTTTATGCATCAGTGTGTGGACGACAATGATATATGAATGGGGTTTTACATTTTTGTTGTATTCTTATGTCTTTAATTTTTTTCTCTTTGTTCATATTTTTCTTCTTTCTTGTCTACTTTCTTGGATTTTCTTTCCAACTTTTCTGCAACCAGCAGCCAACCTCTGTCGGCTCCTCTTCCACTTTTCCTGTGAATTTTTACTTCTAGCTTCTCTCTTCCTCTCTCGTGAATACTGCATACTGTACTACCTCTGTTCTCTCACCTACCATTTGAAACTGTAAATCGTTTTAACAAATATTCTGTTTGTACTATAGGTTGTTATTGAACTCTTCATTTTGGTTTAATATGAGAAAGCAGTAGATGCCTTAGTGGGAGATATTAGGTTTAAGGCTATATATTGTGTACACTGGGTGCTGTTGATACTGGTCTCACCAGTAAAGGGGGAAGCACTGAAAACCTTCAGGGACACTACAGGTCAACAGGGTAGAATTTATCCTGCCTTAGATCTGTACTTTTAAATGGGAAAACACAGTAACAACATGAAAAAAAAGGGAAAAAAGTGCCACCAAAAAACCAAGATGCTTCAATAACAGAAGCCACTGATAACACAGAAGAAGTATCCAAGAAGGAGTTCAGATTGTATATAGTTAAATTGATATATGAAGTAAAGGATAGTATAAGGTATAATCAAAGAAAAAATACAGGAAGTAAAAGACCACTTCAATAAAGAGAGACTGTGGAAAAACAAACCAAGCAAAAATCCTCGAAATGAAGCAATCAGTAAACCAAATTATAAATTCCATAGAAAGCATCATCAACAGACTAGACCACTTGGAAGACAGAACCTCAGACAATGAAGACAAAATATATAATATTGAAAGTAGAGTTGATCATGTGGAGAGATGGTAAGAAACCATGAACAGAATATACAAGAACTATGAGATAACATGAAAAGACCAAATATAAGAGTTATTGAAATAGATGAAGGATCAGAGACACAAACCAAAGGAATGCACGATCTTTTCAATGATATAATATCAGAAAATGTCCCAAACCTAAAGAGTGGAATGAAAAATCAAATACAAGACACTTACAGGACCCTAAATGTACAAAATTACAGCAGACCCACACCAAGACACGTTATAATGAAAATGACTAACACACAGAATAAAGATAAAATCTTAAAGGCTGTGAGAGAAAAAAAATCAAACTACATATAGGAGGAAATCAACTTGGATCTCAACTGATTTTTCAACTCAGATCCTCAAAGCTAGGAGGTCCTGAAATAATATATTTCAAGATTTGAAAGAAAACAGATGCCAACCAAGAATTTTATATCCAGCAAAATTAAGTTTCATAATTGAAGATGAAATTATAACATGATTAAAAAAATTATAAGAATTCATAACTAGGGGCTGGGGATGTGGCTCAAGCGGTAGCGAGCTCGTCTGGCATGCGTGCAGCCCGGGTTTGATCCTCAGCACCACATACAAACAAAGATGTTGTGTCTGCCGAAAACTAAAAAATAAATATTAAAATTCTCTCTCTCTCTCCCTCTCTCTTTTAAAAAAAAAAAAAAAAGAATTCATAACTAGAAAGCCTACATTAGAGAGCATTCTCAACAAAATATTCCATGAAGATGAAGCCAGAAAAAAGGTGAAAACCAGCAAACGGAGGAGCTACACTAAAGGGACATTCAATCAACTAAGAAACAAAGACAAATCAAAAACCAGAAATAAATCAACATGACAGGGAATAAAAATCATGTGTCAATTATATCCTTTAATGTTAACTGCCTAAACTTATAACCAAAAGACAAAGACTGGTAGATTGGATTGAAAAGCAAGACCCAACAATATGCTGTCCTTTCAAGAGACTCACCTCATGGGCAAAGACATCCACAGGCTGAAGGTGAAAGGATGGGAAAAAACTTATCATGGGTATGAATTATGTAAACAAGCAGGGGTTTCCATTCTCATTTCAGATAAAGTAGACTTCAAACCAAAGTTAATCAGAGGAGACAAAGAAGGACATTTCATATTTCTTAAGGGAAGTATATATAAACAGGACATAATAATTATAAATATTTATGCCCCAACAATGGAGCATCTATGTACATCAACAAACCCTTCTCAATTACAAGAGTCAAATAGACCACAATACAATAAAACTACGTGACTTTAGCACACCACTCTCACTACTGAACAGATCTTCCAAACAGAACTAAAAATACAATCAATAACTTAGACTTAACAGACATATATAGAATATTTCATCCATCAACAAGCAAATATACTTTCTTCTCAGCAGCACATGGCTCCTTCTCTAAAATAGACCATATCTTATGCCACAAAGGGACTCTTAGTAAATACCAAAAAATCAGAGATAATACCCTGCATTCTATCAGACCACAATGGAATGAAATTAGTAACCAATGATAAAATAAAAAATAGAAACTACTGTAACAAATGGAGCTAAATAATACACAATTGAATGATGAGTGGATAGTAGAAGAAATCAATGATGAAATAAAATTCTTAGAAGTAAATGAGGACACTGATACAAAATATCAAAATCTCTGGGACACTATGAAGGTAGTACTAAGAGGAAAGTTTACTGTATTGAATGCATTCATTACAAAAATAAAAAGTCAACAATAGATGACCTAATACTACATCTCAAAGTCCTAGAAAAAGAAGAATAAATCAACACCAAAAGCAGTGGAATACAGGAAATATTAAAATCAGAGCTGAAATTAATGAAAACAAAAGAAAAGAAACAATTGAAAAAACTGACAAAACAAAAAGTTGGTTCTTTGAAAAAATAAATAAAATAGATAAACCCATGGCCATGCTAACAAAGAGAAAAAGAAAACTCAAATTACTAAAATACAAGATGAAGAAGGAAATATCACAATGAATATGTCTGAAATACAGCAGAAAAATTAGAAACTATTTTGAAAATTTATACTCTAATAAAATAGAAAATATCAAAGAAATCGATAAATTTCAAGAGACATATGACCTACCCAAACTGAATGAGGAGGTCATACATGATTTAAACAGTTCAGTTTCAAGTAATAAAATAGAAAATGCTATCAAAAGCCTACCAACCAAGAAAAGCCCAGGACCAGATAGATTCTCAGCTGAGTTCTACAACACTTTCAAAGTAGAATTAACACTAATATTCCTCAAAGTATTCCATTAAATAGAAAAGGAGAGAACCCTTCCACATTAGTTCTATGAGGCTAATATCACCCGGATACCAAAAATCAGACAAAGACACATCAAGGAAAGAAAACTTCAGACCAATATCTCTAATGAACATAGATTCAAAATCTTCAATAAAATTCTGGCAAATTTCATACAAAAACATATTAAAAAGATAGTGCACCATGATCAAGTGGGGTTCATCCCAAGGATGCAGAGTTGGTTCAACATATAGAGAAAAATTGAAAGCATTCCCGCTAAAAACTGGAACAAGATAAGGATGTCCTCTTTACCACTTCTATTCAGCATCATTCTTGAAATTCTAGACAGAGCAAAATAAAGAAATTAAAGGGGTAGAAATAGGCAAAGAAGAACTCAAACTGTCACTATTTGCTAATGACATGATTCTATATCTAGAAGATCCAAAAAATTCCACCAGAAAACTTCCAGAACTAATAAATGAATTCAGCAAAGTAGCAGGATATAAAATCAACACCCATATATCAAACACATTACTGTAAATCAGCAAAGAATTCACTGAAAGAGAAATTAGGAAAACTACTCCATTCACAATAGCCTCAAAAAACAAACAAATAAAAAAAAACAACTTGGGAATCAATCTAACGAAATAGGTTAAAGAACTCTATAATGAAAACTACAGAACACTAAAGAAAGAAATTAAAGAAAACATCAGAAGATGGAAAGATATCCCATGCTCCTGGATAGGCAAAATTAATATTGTCAAAAAGGCCATACTACCAAAAGGCTTACACAGATTTAATTCAGTTCCTATTAAAATCCCAATGACATTCTTCATAGAAATAGAAAAAGCAATCATGAAATTTATTTGGAAAAAATAAGAGATGCAGAATGGCTAAAGCAATCCTTAGCAAGAAAAGTGAAGCAGGAGGCATCATAATACCAGACCTTAAACTAGACTACAGAGCTATAGTAACAAAAATGGCATGGTATTGACACCAAAATAGACTTGTAGCCAATGGTACAGAATAGAGGACACAGAGACAAATGCACATAAGCATAGTTATCTTATACTAGACAAGTGTGCCAAAAATATTCATTGGAGGGCCAGGTTTGTGGCTCAGCGGTAGAGTGCTTGTCTCGCATGTGAGAGACCTTGGGTTGGATCCTCAGCAACACATAAAAATAAATAATAAATAAAATAAAGGTATTGTGTAAAAGAAAAAAAAATCACTGGATTCAACATATGGTGCTGGCAAAATTAGAACTCCATATGTAACAAAGTGAAATTAAATCTCTCTCTCTCACCCTGCACAAAAATCAACTCAAAGTGGATCAAAGACTTAAGCACTAGAACAGAGACCCTCCACTTAACAGAAGAAATAATAGGCCCAAATTTTCACCATGTCAGCCTAGAATGACTTCCTTAACAAGACTTGTAAAGCACAAGAAGTAAAATCAAGAATCAATAAACTGGATGGATTAAAATTAAAAAGCTTCTTCTCAGCAAAGGAAACAATAATGTGAGGAAAGAGCCTATAGATTGGGAGAAAATCTTTACCACATGCACTGATAAAGCATTAATTCTAGGATATATAAAGAACTCAAAAAACTTAACACCCCAAAAAAACAAATAACCCGATCCACAAAGGGCTAAGGAACTGAACAGACACTTAACAGAAGAAATACAACTGATCAACAAATACAGAAAAAAGTGTTTAACATCTCTATCAATTACAGAAATTCAAATCAAAACTAGTCTAAGATTTTATCTCATTCCTGTCAGAATGGCAATCATTAAGGATACAGGCAACAGGGGCTGGGGTTGTGGCTTAGCAGTAGAGTCCTCGCCTAGCATGTGCGAGATGCTGGGTTCGATCTTCAGCACCACATAAAAATAAATAAAATAAAGGTATTATGTCCAGCTACAACTAGAAAAATATTTTAAAAAATACAGGCAACAATAAATATTGGCGAGGATGTGGTGAAAAAGGTACACTCATACATTGCTGGTGGACTGCAATTGGTGCAACCACTATGAAAAGCAGTATGGAGATTCCTCAGAAACTGGAATGGAACCACCATTTGACCCAGCTATCCCACTCCTTGGTTTATACACAAAGGACTTCAAATCATCATACTATAATGATGCAGCCACATCAATGTTTATAGCAGCTCAATTCACAATAGCTAGACTATGGAACCAACCTAGGTGTCCCTCAATAGATGAATGGATGAAGAAAATGTGGTATATATACTCAATGAAATATTACTCGGCTTTAAAGAAGAGTGAAATTATGGCATTTGCCAGTTAATGGTTTGAGCTTGACAATATCATATTAAGTGAAATAAGCCAATCCCACAAAACCAAAGGCTGAATGTTTTCTCTAATATGCGGATGCTAATTCACAGTAAGGCAGGGGATACTAGGGAAGAATAGCATTACCTTAGATTAGGTAGAGGGAAATGAGGGGAGGGGAGGGGAGGAGAGGAGAAGGGATATGGGGATAGGAAAGATAGTAGAATGAAACAGACATTATTACTGTAACTACATGACCAATATGATTCTGCAACATGTACACTCAGAAAAATGAGAAATTATATCCCATCTTTGTATGATATATCAAAGTGCATAAATATATTCTATTGTCGTATATAATTAAAACAAATTATAAAATTAAAAAAAAGTAAAGACAAAAAGTATGAACTTCACACAATATAATTATATTTTAATACAACTCATCTCACCTTAGTGTTCTCTGATTTTTTAATAAGTTCTGCAGACCCAGGAGGCCTTCCTTCCGTTCTGACCAATTGGAACTAGCACATCTATTGAGGACTTCTGCCACATCTTCTGTCTGCCTCATATATGTAGGAATACTACCATTTCGAGAACTGTAGGAACGTTCTGAACAAGCACTAGAAGCATCACTGTTGGCATCATCATCTGAATGCATTCCATATGATTCATATCTTCTTCGAGCAGGTTTTTTCTGTTATATATAAAGAATCTTATTAGCAGTAACTAAAAAATATATTGATACTTCATAATATCTACTGAGCACAAAAGGATTGATTTCAGTCTTAAAATCAGTGCAAAGCATGCTGCTAAACAGTGTAATAAACTAATGTCAGTACTTAAGTTTTTGTTTAGGAAACATGTTTTATAAGTTAGCAGAAAGTGAAATATTCTTTTAACTATGGGAAGTGGTAGAAGCAGAATAAGACCATATGAAAGTTCAGATATGTAAAGTGAGAAGTGTTCAAAAATGTGGGTTTTCCTCATATATCGTTTTCACAGAAAACCAACAACTACTAAAATGTAAATTAACAGAAACTGTTCTAGAAATTCAAATTGGTAAGAAGAAAAGATGACCTTTTTAGAGTAGGAGTACAATGGATCAGAAAATGCATGATTTCCCCTATGCAAAATCCCATTTTTCCCTGTCTCTACACCTTCTCTTTGCTATTCTCCTTTTACCTCCACTACCACTTTCCTTGCCACTCTTCCTTCCCTTGTATCCAACTCTCATGTTTCCTAGAAAAGTAAAATACAGACAAAAATATGATGAGAAACTGTTTTACTCACTATTGTTTTTAGGAGGAAACATCCTTAAGGGCCCTCCACATTTTTCTCAATATATCTGTACTATTTCAATAAATAAGAAACATCATGTATGGATTGTTTGGATATCTTTACTTCTACGGTTTATAATTTAATGTATGTAACTGGCAATTAAACCTTGCATATCAGAAATGATATCAGGGAGAATAAATAGCTAATTTAAAATTTCCCTGGAAGAATTAGAAACAAATCTATGCAATCTGATGTTTGGATTTGAGCTGGTAAGTGGTGAAGATATTTCTATGAAATATTAAGGACAATAATTTAAAATAGTTCCAAGTAGCTGTAAGTTCTCTATTCTAAAATCTACAAGAAATATAATTTGAGCTTAAATTAAATTAGCTTTAAAATGATGTTTCTGTCACTGACCTCATATTAATCTAGAGATACCAAGTCAATTTAGAAATGTTTCCTATGTTGGGCTCCAGGATCAGTCTTATTATAGAAATTAGTATAAATGACCTCATCTCATTGGTACGAAGTAGGTGGGCTAAAAAAACTAATACCCCCACACAAGACAACCTATTCAAGGAGTATCTCCTTCTTGATAATCACAGAAAAACAGATGTATGTCTAAGAATTTTATTACTTCCACTTTAATTTGTTATAGATGAACATCATCTATTAAATTGATGAAGCAAAGAAAAAAGTTATGGTATCATAAGATGTCAGAAAATAGCAATGTTTATACCTTAGTCCGTATGTCTCCTAAGAGCTGAGAGCAGTAGATTTTTAAAGAGAAAAATTGAAAATAATGAAGAACATTTTGCTAAATGGCACAGCGAAGTAGGCATTAACAATGCCCATGATCAGAAACATTAAGTTTTTTTTTAACATACAGATACAAAAGAATTGCTTACTAGCAGGCTATATCGTTAGTCTTGTCAATGTCCTTTAGTTCACAGAGAAACAGCTAAGCTACAAAAATATTCCCATAGCCAGTTTTCCCAAAGAATCTCAAATATTTTTCCTATTTGCATCCTTTTGCCATTTCCAAACATAACTGTATTTCTCTGATTTTCCCTGGGTCCAAATTACACTTAATAGTTGGAATTTTTTTCCCTAACAACTGAGAGTAGCAAATGGGAGTTATCTGTGCACTATGCAAATAATGGAAATAGAATCATATCATTGGGACTCATATTTTAGTCCTCATGGTTAAATATTCCTATAAAATTCAAGCACATCATCTTAGTATTATAAGCAATAGTTCAAGAATAACCCAGTCAATTAATAAAATTTATATAAGCAGAATTTAACTAGTGAATCATCCAATTAAAAAATATAAAATATGATTTATAAAATATAGTGATAAGGAATAGTAAACTAAAAAACACCAAACTGATTAAATAGCCAACATAAAAAGATCTGATCTTCATCATAAAAAGATCTGATCAATATATCTCAGACCCAAGAGAAATAAGCCTCTTAGTTATATTAAATACATTTATAAAAAATGGCTGAGGTAAAGGGAAAATTCAGCACAGACTGTTAAAGCAGTACTACATAGGTGATGCTATCCAATAAATTAAAGCTATTACTAATGAACATTCTTAAAAACTTGTCTTTCAAATCTACTGCAAAAATTATATTGTGTCAACTTGTTAAGACGTGATCTACATTTTTAGGGACACTATATATATGTATTTATATATAAATATTTATTTATTTACTTCAAAATAAAGATGAGACCTTTTGTAAATTCTAGGTAAGGAAATGAGTAAATCTGCATGCAGTTCTGTTTTCAATCCCTAACACCCTCACCCACTAAAAATTGAGTAAATGCTTCACAGACAAGATTAATATTATAATTCATATTTTGATAGAGGAAGTATCATACTAGATTGACTTGGGAAATTAGCAAAATCATCCACATCATTTCAAAAGAATCTTCTTTCATAATTTGAGAAAAATAATAGTGATATATATACAGCACTCTTCTGACAAAATACTAAGAATCTGTAGGATGTTTTCAAACTTGTTTTATGTATTAGGCACAAAGAACCAGGATCTTAATTATAATTTGTCTTGAGACTGTACTTTCTCTCAGCTCAAAAAATAAAAATAGTTAGAAGAGTAAAAATCCAACTAAAACAACCCCTATTCTCTCAAGGTTAAGCCAGGCTTGAAATTACATGCTCATAAGTATACATACTTACATACCAATCTATCTGCCCTTACATTCAATGTACTACAGTGCATAAAATACAATGATAAAACACATTACTATATTAAAGACAATAAAATTTTTGTTCCTGACACCCTATCAGTACTATTGGCCCTGGCTTAAAATTCTGAATACTAAATAAGGCTCAAGAATTAATTATTCTGCTCTGCTTTTTTACATTGTCCACATTTTGTCTTCCTAGATTTAATCCAGAATTTTCCCATCTCCTTTCCTACACAGGTGGACTAGCTCACACATACATTAGTTTCATAATGGGAACATTAATAATGACAAGGAAATGGAGCAGAGTACCAAGGCATCTGCTACTGCCTCCTCCACGTCAGAACCTGTGTTCAGGACTCGCATGGCACTGACAGAAGATGACAGTCGACTTGATTGGCTGATCCCATAACCTGGACCTAATTCACCAAAAGAAGGAAAACAGTTTTGAGAAAGTCATAAATATAACAGTATCAGGTTGGAAAACTTTTAAGACCCTTGGGGGTGGGGTAGGAGCAAAAAAACCAATGGGGCAAAGCATTTTAAAAGCAATATTGTACTTCTGGGCACGCTGAGTTTTTTGGTCAGATAATAGGATAAAAACAAAATTATTAATAAAGTGTGGAAAACAAATTTAAAGAACAGCAGTATTATTCTTTATTTATAACAAGATCAAAGAAAGCATAGCTGGTAAACTAAGGGCTTGGACATCTATAGCCCTGTAATCCATTCATCCAGCTCTGTCAGTTCATGCAAGTCTCTCTATATGGTGAACCACAAAGTAAACCAGAACAAAGATCTATCCTCAACCAATAATGGTTAGGGAGATCAATGAAGCCACACCAGGATTTCACTAGGACGAAAAGTTCCAATTATAATCTATCCTTCAAGATAAGTTAATTTTATTCTATAACTAAGACAGATCATTCAATGTCTGTTAAGTGGCTACTATGTGCCCAACATTCTGAGATAGGTGAAAACAAACCACAGATGAATTTTCCCCCTCAACTGCTTTGAATACCATCATTTTTTAAAAGCAATTTATATTTTATTTAATTTTTTTACCATCATTTACAATTAAAACACTTCATCCACCATTTTGGTTTTTTTTTTAAACATATACAAAGATGGAGTACAGAACTGAGAACATAAAACAACTCTATATTTCAAAATGATATAACGGGTTTAAAAGAAAAACATCCATCTGCTAGTGAGGAAAATGTTCAGTAAGGTTAAAGGAAAAAGTTATTTGGGGGAAAAGGAAGAAACTACAAGTGATTTATTCTCCAGTAAATAAAATTTAAAATAAAAACAAACCAATTAAAAAATGAATAATATTCAGTGAAAACTGTAAAGAACAAAAACTGAAATGAATACACAGATGATAGTGAAAAGGTACTCATCCTTCACCTGAGGCCCCATACACATCGGGGGCGTAGAGGGCACCAGTAGATCTGGAATGGTGTCTGGAGGCTGGAATAACAGGACCATACAAACCTCATCTATTACCACAGAAACAAGGAATAGTGGCAGCACTACTGTCAGGCAAGGAGAGTTAGTTAACGCTGGTGTTACTCTTAATAGTTAATGATCAGAATATGGCCAGATATGGCACTTGAACATTAACACTGAAAGATCATCCCTGACACACGAATACAACTTACACCTAAGTGGATGGACATAGGCCTACAGGAGACAAAAGAAAAAAAGCAAGTACTCAAATGGAAGGAAATGTCAAAAATACAAGCATGAAAACAAACAAACAAACAAACAAAAAAACCAAACACTGTTGTTAAAAAAAAACCACTATGGTAACTAGTAACTAATAATAATTTTACTTTCTTTAATCTTGGCACTCAAAAAGGCAGCTATTACTATTCAATTTTATAGGTCTAAATATTTGTTAACCGCCCACCCTCATATGTTTAAATCCTAGCTCCAAGGTGATGGTATCAGGTGGTAGGAAGGGCCTTTGGAAGGCAACAAAGTCAAGATGAATCCTTCATGATTGGGATTAGTGTACTTAATATAAAGGAAACTCCAGAGAGCCAGGTAGCTAGCTCCTTCTAACATGTAAGGACACAGCCACAATCATCTATCAACCAGGATACCAAATCAGACACCATTATCTGCTGGTGTCTTGATCTTGGACTTCATAGACTCTTAAATGTGAGAAATAAATTTCTGTCATTTTTAACTTTGTTACAGTAGCCTGAAAGGATAAAGATAGATGAGGAAATTAGTGCACAAAGAAAGCTTAATTTATATGACCAAAGCTAGACTACTAGAAAGTGGTAAACCTCAGTAATTGTACTCTTTCAGGGCCTCTGCTCTAAAGGATCACACATACCACCTTAACACTGTTCAAAAGACAATATACCTTATTTTTGTTACCATAAACATCTTTCATAATGGCTCACAAAATATAAATTTTACATTCAATAGTAATTATGTAAATATCAAAGCACATTTGAATATCAAAAGTATCAATAATCTAAACAAAAAAACCCTAAAAATTTGTGACATGTCTCTCTATATATTGCTCTAGAATCTGAATTTGTCAGATGTTGCATTTTAGATCTTAAAATTTTGATTTTTCATAACACCATAAAATCTATCTTTCTTACATATAAAAATAAATTGCCAGGGAAAATGTATTTTAATAAATATTATTATATGATTTAAAAGTCTTCCATTTTAATATATATTATTATATGATTTAAAAGTCTTCCTCACATATATTAATTAGAACAGTTAAAATACTAGATAAATGCTTCCTTTGCTACAGGACAACCTTAATGAATAGGAAAATAATCAAAAAGCTTGAGGCAAAGAAGGATTTAAACAGAGAGAATGACGTTCAAATAGTCAAGTCCTGAAAGGTGATAAGTATCATTAACAAAATATACTAATACGTAGTTTTAATTTTATCTAAGGGAAATTATTTATTTATTTTAAATTAAAAATAATAATTTCTAAGTGAGAAAGACTTGAGCAAATCTGGAAATGCCTAGTGGATGAAAATTTTTAAAAAACTAAGGACTCAATTGCTACCTGTGGTTGGAGATAACAAGTAAGAGGCATCAGCCATGTGTTTGTCATGAAGTAAGACTTTTTTTGAATTTTATTTCCAGAAATAAATGGAAGCTTAAGGGTATAAGTTCCAGAGAAGTTTAATTTTGCTCAGTTCTGATTTCTTTCTAATGCTTCAGGGCCATCAGACTATTCTTGTGATACAAGCAGATGTATCACGTGTTATAGTATTCATGTCTAAAACACTAATATTCAAAGTCAAAGGTGATACAAAGATTCCATTAAGTAAAGAGATACAGTAAAGCCTGGAGTTTGCAGGCAAATGTAGCAGAAAATGGGAATGGTGACGACAACTTAATCTCTGGAAATGCCATTCTCCACTCTTGTGAAACACACCAGGCTAACCTACTACCTTTGCTATGCAATATCCTATGTAAATAAAAGAACCATAAAAAAAAACAAAACAAAACAACTCCAGCAAATTTACAAGGGGTTGAAAAAAACTTCAGTTTTTCTAACACTACATGATTAAAAGGTTAATCATCTTTACCCTAATAAGAAATTCTATGAGAAAACTGCTTCCATGACTTAATAATAAAATTTAAATAATTTAAATTGTCAAATGGAAGCTTTGAAATGAATTTAGAAAATTAATGGATAGGTGATGTCTCTCTTTAAAAACTGGCCTATTAACAACGCTTACTTTTTAAGTAACTAGTAGTTGACTGTAAATTCCCAACTATTACACAGGTTTAAAAGGTAGAGAAACATTTTGGTTTCTTTTTGGTATGTTTTCTAATTATAATCTATAGTATTAGCAATATATAAATGCTGATGTATGCCATTAAAAAAAAACACATGACATCCTTGTTGTTAAAGCCTGGGGCTCGGGGGAAGAGCACCAGCATGGATGGCAATGATAATGATCATATGACCAGGGCAATTAAATGTTCATTGCACCAAGCACAGTCCTGAGGAATTTTTTTGTTTTGATGTATTTTTCTCTTTTTTTCTTTGCAGTGCTGAGGACTCTACCACTGAGCTACATTCCTGGCCCTCATGTATTTTCTCATTGATAGAGTCAAAGAATCCTAAGATGTATGTGTTACTATTATCCTTGTTTTACAGATAAGAAAACCCAGGCATAGAAAGATTACAGAACTGAACCATCTGACCCCAGAACGTATGTTCTTAAGCTATCACATGTGCACTCTACTTCTTTAAACTCTTCAACATGACATGCTTATTTCATATAAATGTAGAAGTTCTTTCTTCATAAACATATCTATGAAGATGCACCATGTGTTTGTGTGTATATATGCATATTTTCCTGGCAGTGCATATACAGAAATTCTATAGACTAAATCTATTTTATATGAACTAAAAACATCTGTGGCAAAGTATCAGCCACTTAGCCTTAGTGATGCAGAAGAGTTCTTTCTATCTTGGTACCTTCCTACAGGGGAAAGAGAAAGTGAGAAACTCTTTGGCACCTAAGGCTAGAACATGAACAAGGGCTGAGGATTTTCCTATATATCCCTAGCTAATGGAGTTTCCCAGATCATTACAGGTCAGCTCAGGGATATATTGTAATCAAAGGGATCCACAGAATTATAAATTAATCCCTAGAAAGTCTATATTAACATGACTAAGGAAATAAAAAGTCTAACAGACAACCAGTAGATCTGAATTCTACTTAAATCATTCCAAACTCCTGAAGAACAGCTCTCTTAGTACTACCGTTTACTACACATGTCAAAGGAAAAAATATGAAATGCTGTAGGAATGTGCATACAAACGAAGTACCAGGTGCATGGTGCATGCCTGTAACCCAGCCACTCAGGAGGCTGAGCTGAGGTAGGAGGATTGCAAGTTGGAGGCTACCCTCAGCAACTTAGTGAGACGCTGTATTAAAATTTAAAAATAAATAAATAAAAATAAACTAAAAAAAAAGAAAAGGGGGCTAGGAATGTACCTCACTGGTAAAATGTCCCTGGGTTCAGGTACAAATATGAGAAAAAAGGAAAATAACAATAACAACAACAAAAAAGCTAAAGAATCATGAAGATATTCTAAAATTCTCAATGAAAAAATTATGCCTCTACAGTTTTACAAAAAATACTAAAGCTTTAAAAAATTAACATTTTTATAATTGAGGTAAGTATGGTATTATAATCAAGATTACAATACAATCTCTATTCTCAGGAACAAAAAGGTTTTATAGCAGTGACAAGACATGGGCTAATAAATGGGAAATGACTATTAAAATATAAAATATTATAAAAATTTAGTCCCTCCCACTGATAATAGGTCATTGATCTAAGTTGAAAAGTCAGTATTTCTACTGAAAAGAACAAAATGTACCAAACCAAACAGTTCATATTGCACTTGTGGTTATTTAAATATTGTCTTTAAATTCTGTAGGTTTACTTATTAAGAAATACATTGAATTCAATATTCTGAGGTTTAGATTTATGCTACAGTTACTTGGTTATGAAAGCAATTTGTTTACACAATGACTGACTTACTCATTTAAGATAAGTCAATAAGGTCAAAGGCATTTCCCAAACATATAATTTTTCTTCCGACTCTTTCCTCAAAATGACAGAAAAGATATAGGGGCAAAGACACAGCTAAACTCCAGGTATGCTGGGTCATCAAATGGTGATAACACAAGGAGAAGGCAATGTACCTCACATTTGCCCAAATGCTTACCGAGGGGCTGAAAAGAGCGAACCGGACTAGTGTCCCTGCTACTTTCCCGACTAGCTTCCCGGCTGCATCCTTGACTCACGCTTGGTCGAGGAATACGACTGCTTCGAGCTGGCAGAAAGAAATAGGCATGGCAAGGGAGAAAACAGAAGAAGTTTAGCAGATTTTAAAATTTTGGTTTTATTTTTCTTTTGGAACTGACCAATAACTTATTTTTTTTAATATTTATTTTTTAGTTTTAGGTGGACACAATATCTTTATTTTATTTTTATGTGGTGCTGAGGATCGAACCCAGTGCCTCATGCATTCTAGGTGAGCAATCTACTACTGAGCCACAACCCCAGCCAATAACTTACCTAAAAATAAAAAAATTCTCTCTCTCTCTCTTAAAAAAAAAAAAAAAAGATATTGATTGGATGAAGTATTACCAGAAATACAGTTAAGTTTCTTGAACTGTAGTCAGTCTGTTGGGGATTAAAAGGTTGCAAGTAAAAATAAGACTTAAATATCATATAACATAAACAATAAGACAATTTTTCTCTTAACTATAGACTTCTATCACCTTTGGTACTTTAGACCCAAATCTTACTTAAAAAAAAAATACATGATAAACATTAACCTAAAGTACAATCCTGATTCTTTAGTTCTCAATGCAAAATATAGGGGAAAAAAAATAAGCCAATGCTTTCAATTTCCATGCCTTTTCTCACTCCTCCTAAACAAAAACACAAATAAATACACAAGCAACAGAAAATCTAGGAGTGAGGTTGGGCATGATGGCCTGTAATACCAATGACTTGGGAGGCTGAGGCAGGGGGATAGTAAATTCAAGGCCATCCTCAGCTGCTTAGTGAGACTCTCAGCAACTTAATGAGACTCTGTCTCAAAAAGTAACAAAGGATTGGGAAGGCAGCTCAGTGGTAAAAGCCCCCCTTGGGTTCAATCTCTAGTATCCCACTGCAATATTATATATATGAGTGAGTGAGTGAGGACTGATTAAAAGTGAAGTAGAGGGGCTGGGATTGTGGCTCAGAGGTAGTGCGCTTGCCTAGCATGCGTGAGGCACTGGGTTCAATCCTTAGTACCACATGAATATAAAATAAAGACATTGTGTCCACCTAAAACTTAAAAAAAATTTAAAAAAATAAAAGTGAAGTAGAGAATTTAAAATGATGTCTAGAAAATAAAAACAAGTGAATCAGCCTATATGATAACTCCGGAGGCTTTGGGCCAAATAACAGGCACACAGTAAGTAAAAAATGCTGCTAAGGACATAAATTCAAAATCTGTAGGCCTAAAAGAAATCTGTGACACCTATTGAATGAAGACATTCTCAAACAAGTAAGGCTTCAAAAAGCTTGACTCCTACATAAAATTTCTTTTCTTTCTACTACTTTTTATTGGTGCATTATAGTTGAACATAATTATGGGATTTGTTGTTACATATTTGTACATGCACACAATATCACAATATAGTGTTGCCAATATCACTCTGCAGCACATCCTCCTCCTTTCCCACCTCCTGTTCCCTCCTACACACAATTTCTAAGGAATTTATTTGAGAATATGTATGGGGCCAAGCAAAAGAATAAATTAAAAAAACAAGAGAGAGGATCCAGGAAGGAGTGCATTCAATCCAGGGAAGAAGTAAATCAGACTTTCAAGATGACAGCTGATCAAGATGCCCAGATTGCAACCAATCCACAGAGTACTGAAAAGAATGTCCTCAAAAAATAACAAACTCCATACAACAGTATCATTGAGAAGACTGCAATACTAGGGGATAAGAGAAAAAGTTATGCTGTGCTTCCATATAGAAAGCAACCAAAATGTGGCACAATCTTAAGTAACTGACAGGACTAGAGAATTCAATTCTGTATCACAAGAACATTCAAGTGGTCCATAACACTTAACACTCAGTGTTCACTTGGGAAGAAATGAGGCCATAGTACACTATGTGTCTTGGCAGCAAACAACTTTATTTCTTCATAACATAGTAAATATTCTTTATAGTTTTTCAATTTTTAAAGTCAACTTAGGGAGCAAGTACATAAGACTGGCTTATGAGGGGCTGGGGTTGTGGCTCAGCGGTAGAGCGCTCACCTCACACATGCGAGACCCTGGGTTTGATCCTCAGCACCACATACAAAAATAAACAAGTGAAATAAAGGTGTTGTGTCCAACTACAACAAAAAAAAAAATTAAAAAAAAAAAAAAAAAAAAAAACCACTGGCTTGTGAATGCAAAAGAGAATGTATATGTAAACTTTAATAATGTAAAAAATAAAGCTGGTTACTAAAAGAACAGAAAGTGAAGGGAAAGGTAATTGGAGTTGAGATACTGGTTGAAGCTAATGAATCAAAAAACAGAAACAGGATAATATTCTTTAAAGTTATACAGGTAGTCTAGGAAATACTTAAAAACAATGGACAAATGATTAAATAAAAGTTGGGGTAATGAGGGGAATTTCTGACTTGGGATCAAGTACCAGGTATCCTAGAGACAAAGTCACTGACAGAGCAGAAAGGATGGGAAAATATACAGACAGATTGGTTGATCAATCAACCCCTGGATCAATCAACTCTGAGGTCTGCACAGCCTCCAAACATTTCAGCTAAAGGGCCAAGAAATCCCTCTTTCCTGTTTAAGCTTGCTCCAATTATAATTTCTCCTATCTATATGCACTTTTTTAAAAAATATTTATTATTTAGTTCTCGGCGGACACAACATCTTTGTTTGTATGTGGTGCTGAGGATCGAACCTGGGCTGCACGATGCCAGGCAAGCACGCTACCGCTTGAGCCACATCCCCAGCCCCTAATTTCTCCTATCTAAAACTGGAAGTATCCTAGTCAACACACAGAGAAAATAAAAGCTTATTAGAATTCAAATGTGGCTGACCTACAATACAGCTAGTATATATACGTATATATTTATGTACATATATACATATACATATATGACAAATGTTAATTCTATAATAATCTTGTGCTTTTGAATAGTAGCTATATTTTTCAAAATTCCTATGAATTATAATATCAAAATTCAATTTATAACGTTTTACTTTAATTCTCTTTGATTTTTTTTTTTTTTGCGGCAGGGGGAGGGGCGGAGGGGCATACCAGGGATTGAACTCAGGGGCACTTGACCACTGAGCCACATCCCCAGTCCTATTCTGTATTTTATTTAGAGACAGGGTCTCACTGAGTTGTTTAGCGCCTCGCTTTTGCTGAGGCATCTTGAACTTGCGATCCTCCCATCTCAGCCTCCCAAGCCGCTGGGATTAAAGGCATGCACAACTGTTCCTGGTTCTCCTTGAATTTTTAAGTTGTTTTCCTCTAATTTTTAAGAGCCTTATTATTTCCTCAAGTGTTCAGTGCTACCAAAGTCTGAAATACAAAAGAAATAAATGATCAGCAATTCTCACATATAGAAAATCTTACCCACTGAAAGCCTAGATGGACTAGCCTCTCTGCTACAGCCCTGGCTCCTTGGTATCTTGCTTCTTTTCTGTGTGGATGCTGAATTGACCAGGACTCTTTGAACACCAGAGCTCACAGTAGAGAGGGCTGTTGTGGTCAAAACTCTTCCTGGAGACCCAGATCGGCTGCCAGCTAAACACCAAACACATACACAAATATTAAGATGTGAATACTAAGAAAATTTGCTGACAGGATAAAAATTCAAGAAACACATCTGAGAAAACTATTGTAGTATGACAGGTTCTAAGTTTAAAGAAAATGGACCAAGGAAGATTTATACATAATTATAACCTGGGAGGAAAAGGTATACCATATATAACTAGCACTGAATGCTAAATCATCTAAAACATATTTTCAGTTTGGGGGAGTATACTATATTTGATAATGACAATACTATTATTATTTTTAGAACGCAAATAGTAAAAAAGATTTCTAAAGCCAGCATATATCTGAAAGTATATTTCACGTGGTTAATATGGTCTGTGTGAAACAGTTATATACTTAAAAGGGAAAAAAATCCTTGATTCCATTACTGCGATTATTTTTTTAAGTATACAATAATGGTAATTTGCTTTATCTTCACATAGTTTGCCTGAGATTCTCTGAACAAGTATATAGCAAAGTTATCTATTTTGCTACTATGTATGTATTTTCAAATTTTACAAAATTAAAAATTTAAATATTGACAAGTTTGGGCCTAGTGAAAAAGAAAATTTATTTTTGCTATTTGCAAAGGACTCTTTGGGTGGCCATATTCTGGGGTATACAAGTACTCATGGTAGAACAGGACTATGGGACAAATTTATGTATATATATGAAAGAGAGATCAGGGAGACAGAGAAGGAGAACTGGACAAAAATTTTGTCAGAGACTGGGGTAAAACAAGTTACAAAATATGGTTTTAAACTAGAAATGCCTGGATTAACTTCTATGGGAATGAGTTCCTTTGTCAATGAAAGCACTTTATGTTTACTTTATGAATAGGGCATGGGCTAGATAACTCCAAGATAAAATCTAACTCTAAATTCTGAATGATAACATTATGAAAAAATTAAACTTACACTTAAGTAAATCAATCTTTGTGATATAAACTTCTCCCTTTGCTGGGTACCATTTCTACCCAGTAGGAGAGTCACTATTCAAGCTGTTCAATCTTATCCAATTATGTTTCATTTCCATAGGGCAGATTAAAAATTAAAATGCCAATGGGAACAAGCAGAGAATGTCAAAAAACGGAAAACTGAATACAGAGTAGGGAGTGTGCTAAGAGGACTGTGATCAAGAGGAGAGTGTTTACCCTTTCCTAAGAGAGAGGTGACTTTTTAGTTCTACCCAGCTCTGTCTTGAAGTGATACTGACTAGGTCCTGTGATTTTTTGAAATTTCCTTTTTTTTTTTTCCAGTCATGTTCTACAGGTCAAATAATACATGAATGAAACAGGCTGGATGTGGCCCAAGAGCTGCTGATCTGTGGCCCCTGCTATTACTTTTCTTGGCACCATCTTGCTGAATAAAATTCATACTCCTGCTTAATTCTTCATCAGCAAAGTAAAATTTATTTTTGACTGGTGATTGAGATACTGTAAAACAAAGTAGCTTTTCCATAAAATTAATAATTTACCATTTGAGTAGAAGGAATTCTAAATTATAGTAGGGAAATTATTCAAGTCTACTTTAAAATGACTGCTTATTTGAAAGCTTCCCGATGTTTCAGGTGAAGAATCTTCAAGTCCGGTTTCTTTCAGTTGTAACCTTAAGGATGGTTATAAGGCACCTGTTTTCTCCATGCAGTATCTAAACTAAACATACACACCAAAACATCCAAACACTCAACATGCCACAAACTCACAATGCAAGAGAGGCTAATGAAGTATTTTATGGGAAAACTCGCAATAGTATAAAAGGTATAAATAATGAGCTGAGCACATACAATATGGTATTCTATTAAAACCAATATAAACTGTGGAGGTAGAGGTGTCGGCAAGAAAAACTGGAGAAATTTTTTGAAATCTGGGTCTATTCAGCAGATAGGAAACACGAAGTTTAGAAGCAGAGTAACTGTTTTTTTGTCTTAGATTATTTAATTTATTAGTTATGCAAACTCGCTCTCTGTATTTAAATTTATTCATGCCCTCTCCTAAGAAATAAAATGGCACTGTTCACTTCAATCACTACCCTTTGTTCTCCATTACCCCTCTGGTATCCACTAAGACTGTGATAATTCCAGCACCTGTGACTCATTTGGAATTGTTTATGTTTAGAAGAAAATACCAAGGCTCTTTCCCTAGCAAAGAGCCACCAAGGTTAATTATTTCCTTTAGAAAACCACAGAGTTAATGAAAAAGGGCATGATATAACCAGGGAAGAGCAAGTTAAACAGAAAAAACCCTATGGCAAAATTTGAAATTAAATACACATTTTTCTTGTGCCACCTATAAGCTACCATTTTATACTTTTTATGGCATTTCAAAGGATTACTAAAGCTCCTTTTGACTGTTTATATACGGTCAGCTTGGATAATTTTTAAAATGCAGGGTTTGGTAATATAATAAAGACAGCCCAAAGAAAAATCATAATTGGTAATTTTTACCCCAATATGATTATAGAATGATGGAATATTAGATGTTCTGCTGAATAGAACCCATTTCTGGTAATGAAAATAGGTGATCAAACAATAGATGCATACATAAAGTCTATAGATTCTTACCACCAATGGTATTAGCAGATTGTGATCCTGAACAAGTGTAAAGGCAGAATTAGGGTAAGGGTTATAATAATCCATGAAGAGGGGAGAAGCAGTTTTTAAATGGATGGCAGATGAAAACAAGAAAGCTTTAGTCAGTTCTCCGGGGAAAAAAATTCTCTAACTCGAAAACAAAAACAAAAAACAAACAAACAACAACAACAACAAAAAAAAAAACACTTTAAAAACTCCCAAAGCACAGATGTCTTTAACAAAACAGTACATTTAGTAGTTTTATAGCTGAAAAACAGAAATCAGACACTCATGTACAAAGCAGATGAAATGAAGCTGCAAAGTTTAATGTAAATTCTTCAGCTTTTCTATTACTGGTAATCCAAAATTTAATAATTAAATGTTTAAGTTTTTATTATTTAAACATTTAATTTAAAACTAGATGTACAGAATAACTACAACATCTTGTTGCTGAAGAAAAATCAGATGAAAAAGCTACAAATTGCATCTTTATTGGATTCACAGAAAAAATAAAATAAGAGGTGAGAGGAGGGGAGACAGTTTCTGACAGGCTGTACAATCATCTGTATACAACCAGTCACTACCAACTAAAAAAGAACACAATTCCTTCAGTGTAAATCTAAAAGTCTCTCCGCTGGGTCTACTTTCATTTACTTTGATTAGCCATCTTAGGACACCTGCTTTGATCCAAGAGATTTTTCTAAAAGATGATACAAAAACACGGAAGACCATGCAAACCCTAATGAATTACTTTACAACAAAGCAAAGATGGAGATCACGGTAATATTTGTGTGTAGATATGTTGTAAAGAAACTTGCATAAAAATTACGTCTCTATACAAAAGACTTTGGAATGGAACATAATCATTCAAATAAATAAGCAAGCAAACAAACAAAAACTTTCCAATATGATTTACAATCTAAGTGACTTTATGGTAGGAAAGTCTTTTGATCTTAAAGTCTTCCTTGGTCTAGCCAATTTTACTGTGTTTTCACATTTTAGGGAAGTACGGAGTACTGCAGATTGGATTTCAAAGTAAAAACCAAATGCACAAAAATTATTCTGTTCTCTCCTGAAGTGATCTGAAGTTATAATGATCTAAAAAGCAGGTCCTTTAAGGAACATAAAAAGAAGGAAAAACAAAACAAAACAAAACAAAAACAAAACAAACAAAAAACTTCTGAAATCTTTACTCTGAGGTTAACCTTGGTATTTTTTAAAAGACAACTAATAAAGCCAGGTGCGGGGTGGCACACGCCTGTAATCCCAATGGCTTGGGAGGCTGAGGCAGGAGGATTGCGAGTTCAAAACTAGCCTCAGCAACATAGCAAGGCCCTAAGCAACTTGGTGAGACCCTGTCTCTAAATAAAATATAAAAAAAGGTTGGGGATGTGGCTCATTCATTGAGAGCCCCTGGGTTCAATCCCCTGTACAAAAAAAAAAAAAAAAAAAAAAAAAAAAAAAATTCTCATGATTAAATTTTATCCTAAGATCCTAGACATGAACAGTTTCTCGTTGTTTTTAATTTTCTTTATGCATTAAACTTCTTATCTTCACGAATACTTATTTCAGTTTCCTAAAGGCAATAAGAATAACAAGGTGTAGAAATACACAACAGTGGTATAAAATTCAGTTGCCATTTGATTAATGATAATAATGAGGAAAATTTTATCAGCTAACATACATAGGGCTTACTCTTGGCCAGGCAATGTTTTAAATGTATTAAATATACTACATCATTTCATCCTCATGGCAACCTTATGAGGAAGATACTGGTAATGTCTTCATTTTATAAGTGATATATAAATACAGTAACTTCGACCCAGAACAACCAGGATTCAAACCTGGGCATTATGGTTCCAAAGCTCATGACCTAAATTCTATTATGACCTTAAACTCTATTATGGCACAAATCACTTGGTGATCTTGCTTAAGATCAGATCTGATAAATCTGTGATGGTACATAAGATTCTGCTTTTCCAAGTAGCTCCCACATGATGCTAATGCTGGTCTAGGCAGCATGAATGGAGGAGTGAGGTTCCAACTACTACTATGCTACATCACTGAAGACTAATGTACTCTAAAAAATCACTCCAAAATACACAGAATCAGGGAAGAATATGACCTGATAGAATATGATCTAATCTTGACTTAAGTTGAGAAGAAAGCTCTTGCCTAGAGGACATCTATCTTTTTTTATTATTTGTAAATAACCTTCAGTTTGAAAAACAACTGTACTGAGTATTTTTGCTTATTTTTAGGACTCTTGTTGAGTCTCCACTGTTATTCTGTCTGGATATTCTTACTCTGCAAAGAGGAGAATTTGTCAGGCCTGACTTATGTAATCACCACCTGGTCCCTCCAAGCCTTGTTCTTTCCCAATTCCAAGATTCAGGTATCAGGTTATAAAAACAAATAGGATATCCAAATATTAATAAATCACCTAAATAACAACATAAGACCCTTAAATATCTTTCCAAAATAGTCAGGCATACAGAATAACCCTGATTTTAGAGTTTAATGCTAATGAAAATCTCTTGGTAAAGAAGAAGTAGGAATAAATGCTTCAATTAATAATGCCATAAATGTATATGTTATTATTCTGGTACACATAAAAAGAGATCATTTATTGTACTTAGACCTTAAAGTTGTGCTTTTAGTAAATGTCTTTGCTAGGATTTCAGCTTCTAAGGAAATAGCAAAAACATAAATCTTTAACAAGAACACAACAGAATTGGTCATTTCAGTTTATTTATCCTTGCTATAAATCAGCATATGCCTGCCAAAACTGCTAACTGCCCCCCTACAAAACAATACTATGATATATTTGGGAAGAGTAAGAAGATACCATTTATCCACGTTTGAATGGCATTAGCCAGAAGCAACCAGATTTTGATGTTAATATATGGCAAGTATATTTTCCATATTTGCAAGTTTCTGAGTAGAATGTGAAAACCTTAAACTAAGGATTTGTGCTATTTAAAATATTTCCATGCAAACATTTGTATAGCAGATGAAATTTTTCTTTCTAAGTGGCAGATACCAATGATGCAGCCCTAGTAACACAAAGACAAGACAGCACCCACTCAAAAAATTCCAAAACATGCACAACAACTGACCCAAAACATTGAAAAAAAAAAAATACCTTCATTTTTGTCAGGTGATGATGAACCTAAAGTACAGAACAAGAACTCAGTATATGGCTTGTCTTTTTTGAAATCAGCTTTGTCTTTATCCACTGGTCAATCTCCTAATACAGTAATATACAAGGAACACACTTATTCTAACATTGGCAAATAGAGGAGGCCTGATAAGCAGTACGTACGCTGTGACTGAGACACCATTTTTGTTCGACTTCTTCCTCTAGAATCTGTCTTGGCATTTCCCATGCCAGCAAGTGGTGCTGAAAGCTTTGCTCTCACTCGGCCTGAGGAATAAAATATTTGTATCATTAAACATTTTTCTACAATAATATAGAAATAACATAGTAGTAAGGGGAAAAGTCTTACTATTTTCAAGTATTATTAAATTCTGTAATAATGTATCCATCACTTACAGGTTATAGTCTCTTATATTTTTAAAAACTCATACTTTTCTTTTTTTAAATTTTAATTGTTTTGCTTTGCTTTCTTTTTTGAGATGAGATCCCAAACTCCTGGATTCCAGAGAGCCTCCTGTCTCAGTCTCCTGAGTAGCTGGACTATAGGCTCATGCCATATACATAGCTTCATTTTTTTTTTTTTTTTTAATGTGCTGTACTCTATGCTAACTTTCCTTAAAAGCTAAGGATAAAGTCAAACTAGAAAACTTTCATTCTTAAAAGTTGGATATCATTAGTCCAATAGTTATAATTAAAATAATTACTATGGTCATGCCACTTATCTCTTAATTGGTAGTTTTAATTCTAAAATTTCAGTTTCTAGAAAATTTAGATTATTCTCTAATCCACTCCATAGTTTAAAATATAAGCCCAAATAATCCTTTTGATTGAAAATGTACTTCTCAACTGATTTGCAGGAAGAGATATTATTGGCAAAATATTTAATCTTTTATGTATCAGATTATAACACATGTATATGGATATGTTCACTGCTTTCTTTCCTAACCAACCAATTTTATTGAGAAAATGATTTGAGGAACTATATGTCACATAAGGATTGGCACATTTAAAAAATATTTCTTTTCTCCCTCCCAGTTGCATTCTTTTCTCCTCTATCACTGCCTCATTCCCCATTACAAAATATTCTCACACTATTTTCCAGAGCTCTTGAACTCAAGGAAATATGTTTGTCAAAGTGCTTACATAAAATGCCATCAGCAAAAACAAGTAATAATAAATATATCACCAGCTAGTATTTTGGTTTTCTCCAGCTATCGTTTCAACCAAATCAGAACCAATATCAGACATACTGAAAAATAGGGCTCAGAATCCTTTTTAATTAAAAGGTAAACTTTGTAGGGAATACAAAAAATTTTGGCTAGTCCAATATGGCCACATTAATTAGGAAAAAACACTGAAGAGCAGGGATAAATTTTTAAAAGTTAGAAATCATCAAGGGAAGATAAGAGAATGATAAGAAAGTGGAATAAAATAGAGGCAAAATTGGTGGAATCCTAACATTCTAACAACTTCAAGCCCCTAATGAGCTATACTTCACAAAGGCTTTTACAGAGTCTATTTTGAGCAGAATATTATGTTCTCACGACTAACAAGTAAAACTAAAACACCCCATTTAAATTACAAATTCAATTTGAATCACAGACCAATTCCTCAAGTACTGATTCAAAAATAAGATGAATCTCAAAATGGACTACATAAAAGCATTTTAAAAGCATTTAAACTTCAATGACAAAGCAAATGCAATTGCATGCTCCCACAAAGTGGAAATAAATTAAAAAACAAAATACAAAGAAAAGCATTTTAATATCAATCCAGGAAAAAAAATTATGTACTAAATCTATACTAGATATTATTAAACATGTTAAGCAATTATGTTTTTTAGCAAGAAATGGTCCAAGATACAAAGCAAAACTGTAGGATAAAGAATTAAAAAAAAAAAAAAATCCACACATATAACCAACACAATCAAATGTAGAAGCTGGGAAATGATTTGCAAATAAATTAACCTATCATTTTAGTTTTAACATGTAATTCCTAACAATGAAAATATTAATTTAAAGGCATTGTGTTACTAACAAAATGTATAATTCTTACCATCTTCAGATGCTGTTCCTAAATAAGAGAAATAAAACAATATTTCAACAAATACTGCCAATGCTGCTATCTCACAGCTCCCACCCAAGACTAAAATGCAAAGGTGAAAACAAAAAGTAACTTAGTCTAATAGATTAAATTTAAATTTGACAAGGTTCATTTTCAGGAAAATAAAACTGGAGATAACAATATTCACAACTCACAAAAAAGTTGAAAGTAGTCAAGTGAAAACTGAAAAATTCTTCTACATTTCAAAATTTTGAAGTGATTTTTAAAAAATAATCACTCAAAAAAATGTAATTAACAATTTTTGCAAATGAAGATTTTTACTGACTTTGGCTCCAGAGTAGTAATATTTTTCTATGTATTTTCAAAAGGTAGCCCAGAGAAGAATGTGAAAGTCAAATCCACAACATAGGCTTCATTTGCCCACATAAGATCAAATATTAGTGGGAGTAACACATGATGTAACAGAGGTGACTCTTCAAATAAAAGGCCAATAAGCTTGTTTGCGTGTATATGCGTACATGCGCATGCACACACTCCTGCACTGCTCTACCACTGAGCTATCCCCTTCTTGCTGAAGGTCAAAGTTGCCCAGGCTGGCTTTGAATTTGTGATCCTCCTGCCTCAGTCTCCTAAGTACTTGTGATGATAGGTATGTGCCACCACACTATGCCAAGAAAAGATTTTGTTTAGAAAGTAATAAAAAAAAATTGTTTAAAGGTTCCAGGAATATTAATGTTAGAAAGGATAACCACAGGTTTGATGTATACAAACCATCTCTTTTTTGATGGTATGAAGGAGTACTGGGGATTGAACCTAGGGGCACTCTACTTCTAAGCTACATCCCCAGTCCTTTTTATTTTTATTTTGAGGTAGGATCTTGTCAAGTTGCTGAGGCTATCCTCAAGCTTGAGATCCTCCTGCCTCAGCCTCCCAAATTGCTGTGATTATAGGCATATGCCACCAAGTCCAACAGAAAACATTTCTTGATGGCTGTCATTTCAGGCATACATACAAAAAGGGAGAAGCTAATGTAATTAAAACTCATGTATTCAACTAAAGAGTTTCATTTCATTAAAACAAAAGATACATTATAGATCAATTTTTAGAGTTTGTGATGAATGCTCAAAAAAAATATAAAAGTGTCTCAAGTTTTCCTAGATTTCAAGTAACTCACGATTGCATTATTTTATTATGAGTTATTTTAAAAAGCTCATACTTCGAGATAACATGGGATCTGATAAAAACGAAAGGAAAGTATAAATAATATGCTGACAAGTATCATAAAAAATATATAGGCTTGCTGCTGAATCCAGCAACTTTATTTATTTTTAAAAAATCTTTTAGTTGTAGCTGGACACAATCCTTTCATTTATTTTTATGTGATGCTGAGGATTGAACCCAGGGCCCCGCATGTGCTAGGCGAGCTCTCTACCTCTGAGCCACAACCCCAGCCCCTCCAGCAACTTTAGATAAACTGTAACAATTTGGATATAGAAATTTAAAAAGCAAAGCTTAATTTAAGTTCAGTTTTGATAAAATCTTGGTTTAAAATTCACTGTGAAAAAGTATCTGTAATTTGTATTTCATTTTCATAAATAATCATTTGAACCTATGAAATAAGTCTCTCTATATATATACCAAAGTTAGTAAACTAAAGTGCTGAATCAAATAAATTTGGAGATTCCTTTCCATCCTTCTTAACCCAACATTGTAAAGGAAGACAAGAACTTCAACATACTCGGAGGCATATTTCTAAAAGCTCAGGTAAAATGTTTAAAATAATAATGGATTTAAGTTACAACAAATAGTAACCTACTATTTGAGTAGAACAGAAAATCTGAAAATGTTTATACCTAATCTAAAATTTGACCAAATAATTATGTAGCCATTTTCACATTAAGATCCTTATTAATTAAGTAGGATATATTTAGAAATTTAAGGAAGAATGAATAAGGATATAATGTAGAACCCAAGAACCATAAATATGTGTAGTAGAATTATAAAAGCAAGTTCTTACCATCCATCTTGTCAGAAGTATCCTCTTTGATGAAAGAGCAAGCAAAGAACAGAGGAAAACTTAGTGTATTAGAAAAAAATAATTTTATGATCCCTAAAAACTTTTAAAGAAGACAGAAGTCACTGCACAAGTATACTTTACTGCTGCACTATAACCTCACCTTTGGATAAATTTAACAACTCACTTTCTCGATTCCACTACTTGATAGAGAAGACCACACTGAAATGTATTTATACATACTGGCACTAGTAAAGATGTGGCCTTTGGTGCCTATGCAGGCAGAGCTGACATGGCAGGATTAATGCTGCTTTTAGGAGGTTTTGTTTGTGAGTCTGGCTTCTGGTAACTTGGTTTTGAATACCCTCTGTGTTGATAAAGTAATTCTAAGTGAGGGTGGGGGTCCCAGACTCTGCTGTACATCTGCTTAAACTGTTTTTGCAAACTGTGATTTACAGTGAACACCTGCTTTCTTTTTGAGAGTTTGGAGTCTGATGATTGTGGTTGACACAGTGCCTATGTGACTATTCTGCACTCCCCACACCACCTTGGACTAAGTCTTAAGCAAGTTTCCCAGGGAAGAAAAATTGTGCACATGTTTCTGTACTTCACTGCAGGGGGAAGGAGCAGGCCCCTAACCTTACCTGTAGGAGGGAGAACTTTGAAAGTCTATAAATTTCTTTTGCTATTTCTGTTATGTATTCTTTTGCTTCAGTCATGAGTACAGCTGATTCTGATTCCTAGAGTTCTTTTAGCAAGTCCCCAAATGTGGGGGTGGTTTGGGAGGCCCAAAGTGTACCACTCTCTCTGTGCCCCTTCAATGTATGTTCTAAACTTCAAGTCTCAAGTCACCTCTTGGCACAGGATCCTGACTATGAATCCTCAGGACAAAGATCACAACCTCCCTGATCTCACTCTTAGCAACCACTCCCCATAAATACCACAACCAAATCTACCACATCCAAGGCTAACTCCCGAGCTAGGCTCTTTATATCCCATTCTTCATGCCTTCCATGGGAATTTTGCCATGAAGTATCTCCTCACATTCTTGCACTTCTTTCTTTCTCTACTGACTTACTACTTTAGTATATAAGCATACCGAATTCCTTGAGTCTTAAAAAACAGTAACTTCGTTTCACCCCTTTCCTTGACCATCAAGCACAAAAATAATTCAGATTCTCCTTTTTAAAAAAATATTTATTTATTTATTTACTTTTAGTTTTAGGTGGACACAATATCTTTATTTTACATTTATGTGGTGCTGAGGATTGAACCCAGTGCCTCATGCATGCTGGGTGAGTGCTCTACCACTGAGCCCCAGCCCCTCAGATTCTCCTTTTCAACTTCTTCCTCAACCAACTGAAATTTGTCTTCTGTCTATGACATCATTGAAACTGTCCATTTTCTTTTCTATTCAAGGAGTTACATTGAGAACACTTGTAAATGTGCATACATAGGTCAAGGTTTCCTTAACATGAATTCCTACCTATCTTATATGACACCAAGTTTACTCTTCAGGAAGTTAAATGATATATTTCAAAACACTCCTAATCTCTTCCACCAAAGCATTCAGGACTTTAGGGAAAACACAAACAAACACAAACCAGTGGCAACGGCTTTATGGAATGTATGGAGTTTAATATCTATCTCTATCTCTCCCCCACCCCCAAGTTCTATACCATTGTTGTTCCCTAAGTACTTTCAGTTTGAGATCCCACAGGGACTTCAAACTCGAGATGCATAATACATAATAAACCTTTAGCTGCTCATCCCTCAGCAACTGCCTAACAGACTGAGACTCTCAGTATAGAAGCATATACCTGTGATCCCTGGTACCTCACATGGTACCTATCAAAAATTCAGTGCTCGTTAAAAGTGTTTCCAGAAAAGAATCAAATACCCTTTCTGAACCATACATGCTCAGTCATAATAAGTAAGGCTCAAAGTAGAAGAAAACAGTCCACCTGTTGCAAGTGTAAAGCTTATATAATAGGTAGAAAGTAAGGTTGAGCTAAGGGAGAAAGTGGGAGAGGGAGAGAATAGGAACATTTTTACTGAACCTCTGAAAAGAGCCCCAGGGAGGCAATTCATTGTCTCCGAGTATAAAGCTGGGCCAGATACAGAAAAGAGAAAAGGGTAACACTTTTTTCTTCCAACATGAAACATACGTTCAATTTAAACCCTAAATAATAACAACAACAACAACAAAATGCAAAACTGACTTTCTGGTTTGCATTAAAACATTTTAAATATCATATTTTATCTGTAATAAAAATAATAACTATTCAATATATCATTAATTCTCATTTATTTATTTACTTTTTTAAGGTGCCAGGGATTGAACTCAGGGGCACTCAACTACTGAGCCACATCCTCAGCCCTATTTTTTGTATTTTATTTAGAAACAAGGTCTCACTGAGTTGTTTAGAGCCTCATTGTTGCTGAGGCTGGCTATGAATTAGAAATCATCCTGTCTCAGCCTCCCAACCTCCTGAGATTACAGGTGTGTGCTATTGTACTTGGCTCAATATAATAATATTTTTTAAGGCTTGGGAAGAAAGGTTGTTTTTTTCTAATTTTCTTTTAACTCAATTTTTAAAGTATAATTCACATATACAAAAAAATTCACCTTTCTATATTATACAACTCAGTGTTTTTACTACATACACAGATTGTACAACCTCACTATTAACTCTAGAACATTTTTTATCACCTATCAAAAAAAAAAAAAAATTCCTGTACTCATTAGCTACCTCTATTCCTTCCACTCCTAATCCCTGGCAACAACTAATTTACTTTTTGGCCATAGATTTACCTATTCTAGTCATTTCACATAATTGGACTCATACAGTGTATAGCTATCTGTATCAACTTCATAATGATTTCAAGGTTGAACCATCTTGTGGAACGAGTCTTTATGTAATATACTCCTTTGTGGCTGAATCCATTTCATTATATGAACATATCCCATTTTATTTATACATTCACCTGCTGATAGACATTTGGACTGGCCCATTTTTTGCTACTATAAATTATGTTGCTATGAACACTCACAAGTCTTTATGAGAATATATGTTTTCATAACTCTTGTTAATATAGCTAGGACCACTTCTAGGTCACATGGTAATTCTGTGTTTAACTTTTAGAGAAATTGCCAAATCATTTCCGCAGTGCCTATATCTTTTTATATTTGACCAGCAGTGTATGGAGGTTCTCGATATCCTCACCTGCAGTTATTGAATTTTTTTTCTTTAATTTCTTGGTAGTGCTGGAAACTGAACCTAAGGTCTAATGTGTACCAGGCAAGCACTTTACCACTGAGCTACAACCCAACCAGTTCTGCTTACATTTTTTATTTGTAATCATTACAATGAATGTGAAGTGGTACTGCATCATGCTCTTGATTTGGACTTTCCTAATAATTAACAATATTGAGCATACTTTCATTCTTTATATCTTAAATAGAGAAAAGTTTTATGAAACTCTTTTCCATCTTTAAAAATGGAAGTGTCTGTTTTGTTACTAAGTTCTAATAGTTCTTTATATATTTGGGATACAAGTTCTTACTGGTTATATAATTTGAAGATAATTTCTCTTATTCTATGTGATGTTTTTTCATTTTCTTCATTGTGTCCTTTGAAGCAAAAAGGTTTTAATTTTAATGAAGTCTAATCTATCTTTCTTTCTTTACTTATGTGCCTGGCATCACATCTAAGAATCCACCACCTAATACAAGGTTACAAAGATTTATGCCCATGTTTCCTTCTGCTCTATTTTGAGTCTGTGAAACAGGAGTCCAAATTAATTCTTTTGCAGTCAGTTATTCCAGTAGCATTTGAAGAGAAGAGAATTCTTTCCCCATTGGATGGTCTTGACACCCTTTTTGAAAAATCAACTGACCATAAACACTATGAGTTTATTTCTAGACTCTCAATTTTATTCCACTGGACCATAAGTCTATCCTTACATTAGTACCCCAAAGACGTAAAAGTAAGTTTTTAAACTGGGAAGTATAAATCCTCTAATTATGTTGTTCTTTTTCAAGATTTTTTCAGCCATTTTTCTGTCCCTTGCATATTTGTATGAATTTTTAGGATCAGCTTCCCAATTTGTATCAAAAGGAAGATGAAGGGGTAATGCATTGAAGCAATGTAACAATTTGACACCTTATTAATATTAACCTTTAAAATTTTGAGCCAGAATGTCTTTTCATTTATTTGGGTCTACTTTAATTTCTTTTAAAAGTACAAATTTTTGTAGACATTATCCCACACATCTTTTGTTATATTTATTCCTAAGAATTTTATTTTTTTTTAATGCACTCAACCACTAAGCAACATCTCCAGTCCTATTTTGTATTTTATTTGGAGACAGGGTCTCACTGAGTTAGTTGCTTAGCGCCTCACTTTTTCAAAGGCTGGCTTTGAACTCAGGATCCTGCTGCCTTAAGCCTCCCCAGCTACTGGGATTACAGGCATGCACCATCGCACTTGGCTCATTGTGTAGAAGATCATGTTTTCTACAAATAGAGGTAATTTTACTTCTTCCTTTCCAATCTGTCCTATTTTTCCATCTTACCTAACTGCCCTGATTAAAACATCCATGATGATGTTGAATAGAGAAGGTAAAAATGGTCATGCTTGTTTTTTTTTTTTTTTTAATTGATAATAGATAAAAGCATCTAGTGTTTCACTATCAAATAATGATATTAACAGGGGCTGGGGTTGTGGCTCAGTGGTAGAGCACTCACCTAGCATGTGTGAGGCCCTGGGTTCACTCCTCAGCACCACATAAAGATAAATGAATAAATGTATTCTGTCCATCTAAAACTAAAACCAAAAATTAAATATAATGATGATATTAACTGTGGATTTTTCTAAAGATACTCTTTATTAGGAGAAAGCTCTCCTCTATTCCTAGTTTGTAGAATATATATATATTTTTATCTTAAAGGATGTTGAATTTTGTCAAATGCTTTTTCTGTAAATACTGAGATGACCATGTGGTTATTTGTCCTTTGTTAATATGTGCATTGTTGATTAACTTCCACATATTGAAATAAATGTCATTCAGGGCAACATGTTTCTAAACAAAAATGTTTCTTGAAAATTAAAAGCACTAATCAACCCACCATTAACATCTTTATATGTATATTTCTAGTCCTTTACACAAAGTGATGAACTTACCACACATTGATAATCTATATCATTCTATCTTACTTGAAAATATGACTTTTTAATGTATGCATAGTACATATAAGGACATAAAAAACTTAATCATTCCTTTGTTATATATAAAATTGACTCTAAAACATCTGTTACAATGAACACTTTTTATTTCTTGATATAATTATCTAAACATTGAATTATTGGGTCAAAATTTCTGAAGATTTAAAAATGCTCCATGGGTATTACTAAGATTGTCACTCAAAAATAACTATCATTGCTGATTCATAATGTGGTTGGGGGAGGCATGGGAGGATTAGATGAACTCTAGATAGGGCAAAGGGGAGGGAGGGTAAGGGAGGGGGCATGGGGGTAGGAAAGACAGTGGAATGAGATGGACATTATTACCCCAAGTATATGTACGAAGACAAGAATGGTGTGACTCTACTTGTGTACAATCAGAGACATGAAAAATTGTGCTCTATATGTGTAATATAAGTTCTAATGCATTCTGCTGTCATAAATAACAAATTAAATTAAAAAAAAACTATCATTAATTCACATCAACATTGCTTGGTAAGGTCCTATTTACCACATTCTTATCAATTATGGGCACTAGCTAAACATTCTTGTTACTGTAAAAATAAGCTCATGTTTCTCAGAGACTTGAAATATTTCTTGCTATTTTAAACTTTTTTACAGTATCTGGCAAAAACTTTCCCCCTTTTAGTTTTGAGCCCCTTGATTTCAGATTTTCACATACTACATTTAAATTCAAGAGATTTTGCTCTCATAGTTTTTTTTGCTTGTGTTTCGAAATTCTGTCTACAACCTGAGATTAGATGAATACTCACTGACTATGCTTCATCAAGTTATTTTGTTTTCTCCAAGCTTTCAGTCAGGTGGAATATGTTTTTATGTGGCATATAACATGGTTATAATCTAATTTTGTACTAAATTGTGAACCATGTGTAATAACATCATGTACTACTGAATAATCTATCTTTTCCTCATAATTCTGAATGCAACTGTGCTAATTTTATCACATACTTAATTCATACCTAAACACATTCATTCATTGTGTTCCAACGAACTACCTGTTTTGTCTTTCGCTAGTACTACCTAAGAAAGAAAAACGAAGTTGAAACAGATATACAAATGAACAGCCAACCTCAAAGTTTTCAAATTGATGGGCATAAAAACAGAAAAACCAAACTCCAAATAGTTTTTTGAATATATGTTTAAGCTTTGGTTAGACATAGAGCTTTGAGTTCTTTTTTTTTTTAAATATTTATTTTTTAGTTGTAGTTTTATTTTTATGTGGTACTGAGGATCAAACCCAGGGCCTTGCACGTGCCAGGTGAGCACTCCACCGCTGCGCCACAACCTCAGCCCAAGAGCTTTGAGTTCTCTCAGACCAAAGGCTTTAAAATCTTGGTAAGGAACAAGAAGCAGGAGAAAGAAAAGAGATATTGGTTATAAGGCTGATACCATTCCCATACTTTCCTTAGTAATCCATTGCTTAATGTGGCAGAACTACAGAGTTATAAAAGTTCTATTGACAATCATGGAGTCAAGAACTGTTTCTTTGATCAAGATGATAATGAGAAAAGGGGGGAAAAAAAACACAAAAGATGATGAAGAGGAAGGTAAAGGGGGAAAAGTAGGAACTATCCACAATACAGAATCATATTAAAACATGGTTTATTCTTAATTAGCAAGAATAGCATGGTAATGATTAAGACATGTCACTTTGTCTTCACAGAGATCACAGGGAGAACACTGTGTAATTTCCCCAAATTAGCTGCCTTACCCAATGATGCATAGGAACCTGGATTCAGGGCGCCTGCCCCTAACCGTCCACTTCGCACAGATTGTCCAGCAGCATGATGTGCCTTGGCACCAGCAGCAGCATTCACATCAATGTCACTTCGAGAACGCTGCAGGCTTCCTGGAAGGGAACTGGCTTTGCTGCTGCCTGCTGATACTATGGAACACAAAACAAAGGTGATCAATATTATTTAAATAATTGTAAACAACATAAAAATCACATAGACTTGAAATCAACATAAGCTAATAAACATGATGACATATAGTCAGCAAGGAAGCAGCAGCCAATGAACAGTATTATATTAATGACAGTCTATCTCAATTTCAATCCTAACACAACGAAGATTTCTTAATATTTCTCTGCCTCATTTTCTTCTCCCATGAAATGGGTACAATGACCAATTATGACTATAAAATTCATAGGACTGTTACATAGATTAAAGAGATATTGTTTATGACTGATCTATGAAAATGAAGTGGAATATAAGATAAATACATGGAAGTAATATTATTTTTACTATCAGAAAAATGCAGAAAAAATAGCACAAAAATAGGGATATTTAGAAATTAAAGGAGGTTCTGCCACTCTTGGGCATTTATGAAAGTTAAATCATTAAATTTCTGAAATATAGTTTTTTAGTTTTAAAAAAGAAGAGTTTGATAAACCATGAATCATAACCCATTAATAGGTTGGGAAATCAACTGAATGGGTCATGACTAGCGTTTTAAAGAAATGAAACAGAATAGAAAACAGAGTGCATTACATATAAGGATAAGTACTGCTTCATGGAACTTTAGTTTATACTACATATGTATATATGCACAGTTGTAGTATACATGTGTGGCCTGAGGTTATGGAAATGATTTTTACACTATGGATCACATCAAAACAGTTTAAAGCCTATTGCTTAGAGATAAAATAGGCTATGACTCTTATTTAAAATGCAATTACCTCTTCCAGCCACACTTGATGGATTTGCTGTAGACCATTTAGAAGAAAAAGGGCGACTGCAAGGTAAAAACAAATGTTTTCAATAAGTGACTTCATTTACTATTGCTCTGACTGCAACTAATGAAATAAATAGTTTTCTTAAAAGTTAGGAAACTTCTTCATTTTTTTTTTTAACCAAAAGATAAGGTCTTGCTAAATTGTTGAGACTGGGCTTGAACTGTGATTTTCATGTCTCAGCCTTTTGAGTCACTGGGATTATAGGTGTGTAGAAATTTAAGCTTCTGGGCTGGAGTTGTGGCTCATTGGCAGAGCGCTCGCCTAACGTGTGCGAGCCCTGGGTTTGATCCTTAGCACCACATAAATAAAAAATAAAGGTATTGACAACTACAACTAAAAAATAAATATTAAAAAAAAAGAAATTTAAGCTTCCTTTTAAAAAAATCACTCAAACATGTCATCAATATCAATGGTATCTCAATTAGTTATAAATCAACACTAAAATAATTGGTGATGAATAAAGCATAAACTCTACAGAGAGATTGCTTTTATTCACTTTGGTCTTCAGTGTACATCATGGTGTCCACCACAGAGGACTCAATATTAGCATTATCCACCGCTTGTATCCTGAGGTATTTTACTTAGAAGAGAAAGAGGCAGTGTTATTATTAGCACATACCAGCATACCATAGCCTCTCACCTAAGTCATAGGGTTGTGGCCATCAGCAATTCATGCAGTTACCATGCAGCTATCACACTCCTCAATGGACTATGTGGGAGGTCAAACACAAAGCTAAGACCTACTACTGAGAATGACATACGTGATTAGACAATGCTAAAAAAAAAAAAAAATTTCTAATCATCTCAACATTTCCCTTAATATATTAAAAAACTAGACTTTAGTATAGTATTCACACAACCCATGCCTCCTTAAAATTTGGTGCCTCACCCTAAACCCTGGCCTGCTTCAGAGTTGCCAAGGCAACTAGCAGTGTTTGTAGGGCATCGAGGCTCTAAATAGAAACAAATTACAGAAAGATAAACTGACATTCTGTGAGTTGTTCTTCCCTAGGGAAATATACAAATAATTTGACACAAGACAGAGGGCCTTGAAGATGGAAAGAGGATCACTGTAAGGAAAAGGCTTAAACATTTTTAGTAATCTCAGAGGTCTAGAGAGACAGAAAATACTGCCAAAGCAGCAAGAATTTGAAGTAGCCAACTGGGCGCAGTGGTGCACCCCTGTAATCCCAGCAACTCAGTAGGCTGAGGCAGGAGGATTCCAAGTTTGAGGCCAGTCTCAGCAACTTAGTGAGGTCCTGTCTCAAAATAAAAAATACATAGGGCCAGGTGTGGTGGCATATGTCAGTAATCCCAGCAGCTTAGGAGGCTGAGAAAGGAGGGTTGCCAAATACGAAGCCAGCCTCAACAACTTAGCAAGGTTTTAAGCAATTTAGTGACACTCTGTCTCAAAATAAAAAATAAAATGGGTTGGAGATGTAACTCAGTGGTAAAGTGCCCCTGGGTTTGATTCTCTAGTGTCAATTAAACATAAAAAAATTGAAGTAGCCAACATTATGATGAGAAGAGAGTTATAGAGATACTAAATCATTTTGCCCCCTTAAGCATTTCTGGAATTCTTGAGATGTGCAAAAGATTAAGAAGGAAAACAGTGGAGTTTTTACCAGTTGCACAGATTTGTATAAAAACTCTTAAGATGACTTCTCAATCTCTTACAATTACTCCACTATAAGGTCCTAGAAATGGGCTATTTACAGTATGAATTATTTCTATAGTATCTAAATCAGTGCTTCCCAGACTTTCACAGACTATGCACATGTAGAAATAAAATATGTATCATTAAACTCTGGGTAAAGAAGTTAATCTTGCATATAATACAGCTTTGAGACAACAGATACCCCCCCAAAAGTTGCTTGAGTCACCATATTTTAAAGGCTTTAGGTGAAAACAAAGCCAACCATTCAAAAGTCAACCATTCATCTCAAAGAATGCTGGGGAACTGGGGAGAAAAACAGATCAGTTAACTATCACTTGCATGATCTTACTTGAGACTTTCTTGTGAGCTAGATGAGGACCGGTCTGACTGTGGAAGAGATGCTACACTACCAGAACTCTTTAAATAAGTTTGAAGACTTTTCTGATAAGATGGCTCAAGGGAATTATATAATGTTTCTGCTTCACCAGGAAAGTGGTTTCTGAGGCCCATGTATGTCCTGTAAATAAAAGAAGAAGGGAAAAAAAAAAGCACATTAATAGTTTTACATGATTAGGCTTTAACAATAAAATGTGCACATTCAAAGATGAAGATGAACTCAGTTTTTTAACACATTTACTATGTGTCAAGGTGAATATATTCTAAATTAAACAAGTTACTGAGGAAATACTGTAAGATCTTGACAAAACAGATTTCAGTTCAAAACCTGGCAATGTCATTTATGGGTTAACTGGGCCTTGGGTAAATTTCAAATTTCCAGATTTTTTTGGTTGGCTTAAGGAGGTAATATCACCTTTACTGGATCATTTTAAAGATTATAAAGAAACATAGGCCAAGCATCTCACACAATACTGGGTACACAATATATACTCAATAAATGATATATACTCATAAATAATAGTTTCTTTTATTCATAATAAAAGTAAACAGATTATGATGGAATAAGAATACTGATCATTACACAAATGAATATTTCAAACAGGATATCAGGTATCTAGTACAGATTTCTAAAAATATATATATTTTTTTAGTTGTAAGTGGACACAATACCTTCATTTATTTTTATGTGGTGCTAAGGACTGAACCCAGTGCCTTATACGTGCTAGGCAAGCACTCTACCACTGAGCCACGATTCCAGTACCTCTAGTACAGATTTAATGGATAAAATCAATCTCAATTTTATTGACGTGCTAGTGAATCAGAATACTTGGGACACATCTGATATTTTTATTCTCTTAATACAACGCCTTTCAAAAATGTTCAAAGCATGTTTAAAGTGTCACAAAATAGACTACAGACTTACTTTCTTGCCTCCACCCTGGCCTCAGCATCAGCATCATGAATTCCCTTCTTAATAGTTTCAACTAAGACAGCTGCATGTCTATGAAATAAATAAATCTTCAGATTCATGTAGAAAGCTGTGCATTTTAGCATAAATGATACTCTCACATGTTACATATCCATCACAAAGGGGCAGAAGAGGTGAAAAGATTAATTAGTATACAATAATAAATCTAAGATTGCATGATCTTCTAATAATCTCAAGGCATTTCATTCACATATGGTTTTCTTCTGACAATGGAGACAATATAATCTGATAGCAATTATTTTTATGGAATCCAGATCATGTATAAATGTATAATGCCTAAATTTTAAATGTTTTAATGAATTTGAGGGGGAATAAAACCTCTTTGTGTGGCTCTTCATTAACCCATCATTGTAGAAAATGATTTGCTAAGACTATGATCAATTTTGATCTGACCATATAAAATAGTAGCGGCCACAAAACTTAAAAGAAAACTTGGAATTATTTCATGTCATCAACAACAAATACTATTTCTAAAAAACAAGACGTGAAGAGATTTAAGGACTTCCATGAAAATAGAAAATCAGCAATGCACTCAATGTAAATGGAAATTATCACTGAAGTGTCAAACTTGAGAATAAGAAATATAGCCATGCAAATAGCCAGTGTCTGATGATCAAAATATGCTATATACATGTATGAATATGCCACAACAGAACTCCTTATTCTGTATAATTAATGCGCATTAATGAAAAAATACCCAATGACAAACTAGCTGCCCACATTTTCCTTTCCTTCCTCTCAGAATTACACTAGATAATATATAGTATATTACCTGACCAATGACACCAGATAAAAGGAAGCTCCTTCCTTCCCTCTATATTAAATTATTCACTACATGATTAATCGCAGCTCAGGAAATCTATCTCACATGATTTTAAATTTTTTGCCTAACTTAACTTGAAGTATCTTATATAACCATCCTTCTTAAGGGACCCCCACCCACTCCACAGAGAAAATCATATTATTATAACTGCAATGAGTAAGAGCACAACAGCACAGTTTTAAAGGAAAACCTGTACAAATAATCTTTAAGGAAAAATGAGAAATAACAGAAAACCGATACCAACAGGTTCTAAAGAACTGGTGACAACGGGGAGAAGAGGAGAAGAAGGAGGGAGAGACAAGGCATACCTTTCCAATGAATGAGTCTGCCACTCTTGTAACAACAAATCTAAAAATTCAAATGAACGCCTGAAAAATAAAAAGTTAAATTTTAACTAAATGTTGTATTAAGAAACATATTAATACTTCCTTTTTAATACTGTACTTTGTCCCCTGGATTTAAGCATATGTTTTGTATGGCTTAACTATGGAATATCTGATTTTAAGAATCCAACTATTCTTACAATAAATCATTGAAAAGTACTTAGAATTCCCTCATAAATTTTACATTAAACAAACATTTTTAAGGTAAAATTAACAGTTTTCATTTTAAAACATTTCTTATATATCTTACTATGCACTAGACATTGAAGATATATATATATACACACATACATATATATAAGCATATATATATATGCATATACCACAATGACCAAGAAAGCCATGACAATCTAGATCTTTCATTTCTACATTATTTCCTTAAATACATATGTACATTATTTTAAACCAAGTTTGTTTATTTTCTTCTAAGCCCTCCAATTTCCACCTTCAACTTTCAATCTTGGCTCTTTTTTCTTGGCTTTTTCTAATGGCACTGTTCTCATGTTATTTTCCTTCCTTTACAAACACTTTTTTCTTTCCCTACCCTTAAACAGGTACTCATCTGGTTGGTGTCAATGTTCTCTTTTATAGTTTATTTACTTGATAACATCATCCACATACTCAGTCTGCCAGATATAATTCCCACATCTATAACCAGATACAATTTTCACATCTTAGTCCTATATCTCCAGCATTAGTTCTTTGCCTCAGCTATTAAAAGTTCTAATAATAAACTTGTGGACATCACATAAGCAATAAGTGTCAACTCAGATACTACATACAAAAGAATAAACTAACTTTTATTTCTTGAATCTACTCTTTTTGGGGTTGGGGATGTAGCTCAGTAGTAGAGTGCTTGACTAGCATATGCAAGGCCCTGGGTTCAATTCTCAGCACCACAAAAAAGGAAAAACAAAATCCATTCTTTTGTCCCATATCATACAGATTAGGAAATAAGAAATTAGGAGGTTAAATTAACTTGCCCAAAGTGATAAATCTAGGACTTAAACTCCAGCATTCTGACTCCAGAGCTCACAGTCTAAAGACACCATTTCTTTCATCCATATTCTATTATCAAGTGTCATTTCCACACATGAAAGATATTTTGAATCTATTAAATAAAATCTTCAATTATTGTCAATATAGGTAATGTTCAGACCCTGCCTTCCTTTTACATAACAACTCCTATTTAAACTAAAGCTTCTCATTATTCCCTTTCAATCACTGTTAATAGCTGGAATAAAAATTAGCCTGGATGAAATTACTTCTTCACCAAAAATCTACAGTTGTCAATCACGCCTACTATCCAAATAGCAATGTCAAAATTCTGCTTCACGACATACAAAGCCCTCCACATTGTCACTTTAACCTACTCTCCACCTTGCTCCCCAAATAGTCTCATTTATACTGAGACCTCCTGTTTATCATGGGTTCTGGCTTCAATGGCCTGATACTTCTGCAGCATGTGGCATAACTTTACATATCTGCTTAGTGCACCCTAGTTAATAACTTCCCCTAATTAATGGATCATTCTCCATTTTCAAGGCAATTCTTTTTTTTTTTTTTTGGTACCGTATATTGAACTCAAAGGCACTTGACCACTGCCATATCCCCAGCCCTATTTTGTATTTTATTTAGAGACAGAGTTTCACTGAGTTGCTAAGCACCTTGCCGTTGCTGAGGCTGGCTTTGAACTCAAGATCCTCCTAAGTCACTGGGATTACAGGCATGTGCCATTGTACCTGGCTTTTTCAAGGCAATTTTCATTCCCTCTTCTCTGTTACATTCCTATTTCTCTAACTATCATTCTCCTCAATATAAGACAGATTAGTAATCTTTCCTGAAAAGGGTCAGACAGTAAATATTTTAAGCTTTATGGGTCATATATAGTCTCTGTCATATTCTTCTTCCATACTCTTTTTAAAACTACCTTGTAAAATGTAAAAAACATTTTGTTTGTAGATATTACTAAGACAAGCTATTAGCAGACTGAACCTATGAACTAATTCCTGACATGTCAGGTAATTAAACAACTGTGAGCAAAACTCTGAGCCACTCAAAGGAAATAATAATATCTTAATCAGTTTTTGTCTAACATTCAAACTATTTAAATAAATATGCTTACCAAAATTTAAAAAAGAATAGAGTTCTTAATAAAATTTCTTAAGGATTAAATGCACAAGTTTTTTTCTTTCTTTATTAGTGATGGTGATATCAAAAACAGTAGATGTCATATAAAGAGAAAGAGAGGGACAGGCAGAACTGGTTAGGCTATTTACTCTGTTTCAACCACTAGGTTAGGTCATACTAATGTGTGTCTCATTTCATCCTCACATTCTATGTAGTTCACATCATTAGCCCTGTTAACACACACAGACTCTGAGGTAGTTGGTGACACTCGTAGAATTCTAGCCTACTCCTGATTCTAGACTCTGAAACACAATGCAAGCAGCAGCCCAGAGAAATCAAAGCTTAATATGATAAAACTGAGAAATATGAGTGATTATAATAACTGCTTCATCTGTATTCCTTCACATGAGATATATAAGGTTTTATTTTAGATTTTTTGGAAGACAATTTTAAGAAATTAATGATAATCAACTTTTACTCCAAACCAAAAATTAAACATTATACAATGTTAAAGTTAAGACAAAAAAATATTTTTTTTCTTTTTTCAAAACTTACCTCTTGGAAGGGAGGGGGATAGGGGTAGGAAAGATGGTAGAATGAGATGGACATAATTACCCTAGGTACATTTATGAAGACATGAATGTTGTGACTCTACTTTGTGTACAACCAGAGATATGAAAAATTGTGCCCCATTTGTGTACTATGAACTGAAATGCATTCTGCTGTCATGTAAAACAATTAGAACAAATAAATTAATTAATTAAAAAAAAAAAAACTTACCTCCTTACAGGAACTGATTTTGATGTGCAATTGCTTGTTATTAAAGGGATAAGTCTGGGTACATGAGTATGCTGAAAAAGATATATTAGAAAAGGATGAAAAATACTGTGCACTGCATGTAGTTCTTTCTTCAAAGTAACTTAGTTACATTATAAGATAAATGACAGATTTTGAAAGAAATTAAGAAAAGTTTTCCAAAGCAAAGTAAAAATTATGATGATTCAGTTTCAAAAGGACAGCTGTGAATACAGTAAGATATAACAAACACAACTGTGAAGAACTGTTAGGATAGTATAATTCATGGCAGAGGTAACACAAAGAAGGACTGGGCAGGAACTATCACATTCTGAAGTAACATGGCTACTGTTGGTAAAAATTACAATTATGGGCTGGGTTGTGGCTCAGTGGTAGAGCGCTTGCCTGGCATGTTTGAGGCCCTGGGTTCGATCCTCCACACTACATAAAAAAATTAAATAAAATAAAGGTATGTGTCCATCTACAACTAAAATTTTTTTTTTTTTAAATTATACTGACACATCATCAAAGCAGGTAGTTACAGTAAATCTGTATTCCTAACTATTGAAATGATAATTTTAATAGAAGTTTCATTCTGGCTAAACCAGCTGTTTTATAATTCAAGTAAAAGTTCAATAGACATAATCTACTAACTTCTATTAGTAATTCTTATGCTCTTCTTTAGTGAAGCAAACACTATAAAATTAATAGTAAAGATAGGATAAAACAGTAACCTAAATATATGTATTTGATGTTATAAATCTCCTATTTTTCTTCTGACCTAATGGCTGGGTCACCTAGGAAGCAAACTCTGAGATAAAGAGTTTAGCATGTACAATATATATTAAAATGTGCCCTTGGGAGCCAGGTACAGTGGCACATGCCTGTAATCCCTGAGGCTCAGGAGAGTGAGGCAGGAGGATCATGAGTTCAAAGACTACCTCAGCAAAAGTGAGGCAACTAAGCAACTAAATGAGACCCTGTCTCTAAATAAAATACAAAATAGGGATGGGGATATGGCTCAGTGGCTGAGTGCCCCGAGTTCAACCCCAGAGCCCTCCTGACAAAAAAAAAAAAGACAGATATGCCTTAGTATCAATATAGGTGCAAGAGAGAAGGAAACAAAAATGGGTAAAGGGGTGTTGCTCAATGGTAGAGCACCCTGGGTCTCATCACCAGTACCAATCCTCCCCCTCCAAATTGAATTGTGATAAGACCCAGGATATCTTTGTTCAAAGTCATCGGGGAGTTCTGCAGCTATGATAGTCCTTCAAATAGTCTTAAATTGGTAAAAGAAAGTTAAGCCTTTACAATTCCACATCATCCATTTACTGAATGAAAGTCATAATAGAAAAAGGCAAGATGGGCTGGGGTTGTGGCTCAGTGGTAGAGCACTTGCCTAGCACATGCAAAGCCCTTGGTTCAATCCTCAGCACCACACAAAAATAAATAAAATAAAAGGTACTGTGTCCAACTACAACTAAAAAAATAAATATTAAGAAAAAAGAGGCAAGATATCAGGAAAGGCAGCTCTCTGAAGCTGAAGCAATCCTTGAGGAGGCTGGAAGATGGAGGCTGCCAGCATTGGAGAAACAAGTCTTTCATTAAAGGAAAATAAGCATGGCACGTAAGTGTCTATAACAGCTAACTGAAGCAAAATAAAAGGAAAAAAAAGTTTTAGCACTGAAGAAGGAAATATCTATAGATCTAAAGCTGTACAAGATTATATTAATGCCAGAGAATATGCTAAACTGTTATTCACCTGTTAACATTCATCATGAAAACACCTTGTGGACACGCTCCCTATAGCATCCAGAAGAATCCATTCCCTGAACGTTATTACAAAGGATACATCCCATGAAGACTCTCTACCCTTATTACACTATATAGGAGGTCTCCCCTACCACCACTCTCCTCTTTCTTTCATAACCCCCCAAAATCCTGACTGCTAGATACCCATACCCATTATAGTGGTGAAGATGTTGAGAGATTAGCCTAAGTATTGTGACGCCATCTTTAGGGGGAACTGTACAAAAGGAAAATGAAAAGTGACCTTCATAATATAGATGAAGTTTTTGACAAAATACCAAGTCAGAATAACTTACACTTGGCTTTACTAATACAAGCTGACAAGTGAAAAAAAAAAGTCTCTTAAAATTAAAAGAATTACAAAGCATGAAGAATAATCTAATGATGGAGTTCTCTGAGAAAAAAAATGAAGCACAGAGAACAGAAGATAACATTTTTTTAAAAAACCACTTGATTTATATTTTTGTAAAGATAATAGATTATTAATTACATGAGAAATTTTTAAGTAAAATGAGCATTGAAAGCAAAGTATAAAGCCTGATAATGGCAAAATGGGTAGTGCCAAAAAGAATTTAAATAATTTTTCCTGAGAACACTCATAACTGTTAGACAAAGAGATAAAAATTATTCAAGAAATGATAAATGATATTGGGGATTTCAGAATTTGTATAAGAAGAAGAAGGAAAACCCTGGGCAAATAAGAAAACCCAAGTAAAGAAATGATCTATGAAAATTAATACAAATTCAAGGAAAATTCATTTCAGTCAGAGGTAACACTATATAAGATCAGTACTACTGAAAGACAATTAATCAGACCGATTGTGGAGAAACTCACATTAAAAAAAATATTGCATAAGGCTTCCTAAATGCTGTTTTCTTATTGTTGTTTTGCTATAAAAGAATCAAATAGCCAGGCATGGTGGCTCACGCTTGTAATCATAGGCACCCGTGAAGCTGAGGCAGGAGGACCACAAGTTAGACGCCATCTTAAAAAAAACAATGGATTAGGAAGTAGCTCAGTGGTAGAGCACCCTGGATTCAATCCCTATACTGCCAAAAACCAACAGAAACAAATAATATCTCACTTTTTAGAGACAACAATAAAGAAAAGAAATTTCGAAAATAATTCTGAGAGATGAGAAAAGTAAACCTTAAAGTTCAATAGTCAAATTTGCAGTACTGTGTAAAGGGAAAATAATAAAGTCATTTTTAGGGCTGGGGTTGTGGCTCAGTGGTAAAGCACTTGCCTAGCATGTGTGAAGCACTGGGTTTGATTTTCAGCACTGCATATAATAAAATAAAGTTCATTGACAACTAAAATATATTTAAAAAATAAAGTCATTTTTAAATATGCAAATATAACAATATATGTGAGAACTGAGAAAACACTAAAGCCAAACAAGCATGATCCAGAAGCAATTAAAAATGAAAAGTAAGAGTTTATCAATAAACACTGGTCAAGAATAGAAGCAACTGAGGCTGGGGTTATGGCTCAGCGGTAGAGCGATCGCCTCGCATATGCAAGGTTCTGGGTTTGATCCTCAGCACCACATAAAAATAAATAAATAAATAAACAAAAGTTATTGTGTACAACTGCAAAAAAATAAATATTTCAAAAAAAAAAAGAATAGAAGCAGTAAAAAAATCTACAGTTAATTTCCAATTGTTAAAAATGAAACTGTATTTGTTGAGTGTAATTAAATGGTTACGGGAGAAACTGATGTAAATAAGAGAAAATATGCACATACCCTATATGTATATGTAATTTTCATTTTTTTGTGTGTGGAAAAATATGTTTGTATTGGTACAGAATATAAGTTTGGTAAAGTACACACATTAAACGGCTATAGTGTTCGGTTATACAACAGTAGAATTCAAGGGGAGAGATTTATTTATTTTATTTCTCTCTTCATACACACACACAAACACCACACATACATATTTAATTGAAGACAAATATTTTATTTATTTATTTTTACGTGGTGCTGAGGTTTGGACTCAGACTCACATATGCTAGGCAAGCACTCTACCACCGAGCAATCCAAGCCCAAGATTTATTTTTTTTAACTCTGTTTCTTTGGGCATCTCAAGATATGCATGATGAAAATATGAAGAATTTGCTGCCTGAAACATTTGTGATTTTACACACATATACGCACAAATATGTACAAGCATATATAGCATTATATTCATATATCCACATTTAGGCATGCTTACTTTACAATCTTCTGTATTACTTACATGCTTTCTATTGACTATAACGATAACGTATTGTTTTTACTATCAGAAATAATTCAAAACTGATTTTCCTCCTTTGGGGTTAAAAAAAAAAAAAAAAAGACTCTAATTACTCATTTAAGTATACTGAACTCTGGGACAAGGAGGGAGATGGAACTTACCCGAATGATGAATCTGATTGCTGCACATCCAGAAGTTGCCATGACTTTTGCACTATTGGGGACAAGATTAAAAAGGGTAGGTACAATGGCTTCAGCCCCATGATCAAACTTGTTGCCCAAAACTGTTGAAAGATGGCTAAAAGGCAAAAAAAAAAAATTATTTTAGTAGCTTAATATTAAGGAAAGATAGGACCATATAATTTTAAAATTCTTTTACTGAATTAACTTGAAGTAAACATCAAGTAAAACAACCAGCTCTGATAGCCCTGACTTTTCATCTTTGTTAGACATTTTCATTTTGATGCCTAATGACAAACTAAATGTTAACATATTTAACAAATGAGTTCAAAATCCTAATCAAATCAGTATCCCTTAAGACATTCTGCATTTCTATTAATGACACCACGTTTTTTTTTTTTGTCTGACAATGTTGTTGTATTGATCAATTTCAATACATTTTCTTGTTCAAAATACATAGTTGAGACAGAGGATAGCTCCAAAACTTCGAGTTTGTGATTCAAAAAGGAACTCAGACTGAGACCTTTTCAGTAATAAAATTTATTTTCCAGTGTCTCAACTCACAGGCAAAAATGAATTTCAAATAAAAAGCAGAGGGTTTCGGGGATTGTGGCTCAGTGGTAAAGAGCTTGCCTAGCATGTTGAGGCCTTGGGTTCGATCCTCAGCACCACATAAAAGAAAGAACAAATAAAATAAAGTTATTAAAAAAAGTAGAGGGTTTCTGCCAGTGTCTGGATGTTGTCTTCTTTTAGAGTTTGAGTTCTGCTTCAGTAGGCAGGTAAAATACTTGGTAATCAGTTTGATTAGGTAGGGTCTAGGATAGCCTTCTATTTCGGAGCTGGTATAGTAATCTTCCTATATGATGGTCTTTCCAGAGTGTCTACTAAGTGCCCTGGGCATTTGATAATGTTTCTCCATTCTGAATGGTCAGATCTGGAACCTTTCCCAGCCCCATATGAGCTCTGGGAATTGTTGTTTACCTTTCATCTCCCAGACAGGATTTCTTTCTCTCCTCAGAAAGTTACGTCTTTTATAGAGACTGGTATTCAGCTAGATTTGGGATTATATAGATTTCTACGATCTTTTTCTTTGCCTCTCTTTTCTCCAGTATTCTTCTACACATAAATTTTGGCCACCCTAGTCTCCTGAAACTCAAGGAAACTCTTTCCTCAACTCAATGAAAGTTGTTAGGCTCCCCTTGCCTTCCTATGGTCTATAAAGTGCTTCTGGGTCAAAAATGCTCTCATCAAACTGCTTAATTTGTACCTTTCAGGAACCCCAGGTCAACTCTCATCTTTGCATTATCTGATAACAGTTATTTTACATATTTTGTCCAGTCTTCTAGTTTTGTTTTAAGTATAGTTTCCAAGTTTATATCCTATGGATTTTTTCCTGTTTTGTTTTGCTAGAGATATTTGATCATTTTAGTATATCAGTATACTAACTTGTATCTAGCACCTTGCTAAAGTCCCTTAATTATGATAAATCATCTGATGATTCCCTTGTGGTTTTCCACATGGGTAATTATGTCATCAATTAATTATGGTAGTTTTACTTTCTCATAATCATCATAATTTTATCCCTTTCCCACTTTTCAGCTTTAATTTAGAACATCAGACACACTGATAATTAGAAATATTGTTAACAGGCACCTTTGTGTTTCCCATCTCAAACAACATACTCAACAACAGTACCTAGGTCTTGAGTAGTAATAAATGAGATTTGTGTGTTCCACCATCCTTATTGTATTGTGAAAGATCATAGAAAACATAGATTTGGATAAGTTAATGGTGTATGTTACAATTACAGGACAATTTGCTAAAATATCAGAGACAGAGTACTTAATAAATTAGTAATGAGAAAAGTGAACATAGTTTGTTTCCAGACCAATTAATTTTCTTCTACTAGTAGCATTGATCCAAAAATCAACCAGTAGGCTTTAGATAATATATAAACACATTTAAAATTTTTTTTTAATTTTTATTTGTTCTTTTTAGATATACATGACAAACAGAGTATATCTTCACACATTATACATACATGGGTTATAACTTATTCTAACTAGGATTCTATTCTTTTTTTAAAAAAATTTTTTTAGTTGTAGATGGACACAATACCTTTATTTTATTTATTTATATGTGGTGCTGAGGATCGAACCCAGTGCCTCACATGTACTAGGCAAGCACTCTGCTACTGAGCCACAGCCCCAACCCCTAGGATCTTACTCTTGTGGTTGTACATGATGTGGAGTTTCACTGGTTGTGTATTCATATATGAACATAGGACAGTTGTGTCCAATTCATTCTATAAACACATTTTAATGTTGGTATAAAGTTATTTTTTTAGAATCACATAAATTGAATCCAATATATAATAAAGATGATTTTGAATCATACATACTTTTTTGAGTTATTCTGTTACTTAGTACGGAATCAATAAGGACTAAATCTATTCACTAAAAAATAATATCACAAAAGGAAGATACTTACGCTACAGTAATGCAAGCTTCTCTAACAACCTGGGATCTAAGATCCTTAGCTGATAGTTTAAGAGCTCCATCCAACAAGCGTAAATGTTGGAAAAAGCAATCATACTGTGCAGCTCCAGCAACAAGGAGTGATCGAATTTTCTTAAGCTAAAATAAAGAGAATTTTTGTTACCAGTATTAAAGGTGGCAGTGCTAAAGAAAATAAAAAGGAACATTTGTTACCTAAATTACAATATTCAAACAATTGTTTAAAAAATGAGGCACACGTTTCATTGTATTTACATAACCATATTCACACTATATTTTATATAAAATATAAACTCTATTTTAGATGAATTAAATGTCCTTTCTCTTTCTGTGCCTAGGAATGGAACCCAAGGCATTAAGCATGCTAGACAAGTACTCTACCCCTGACTAATATCCCCAGCCCTTAAATGTCATTTTGTAAATAAACATACAAACAGATAAAAAGCTTTCTGGAAAACAATGTGATAGATTTAGTCATATGTCTAGTAGATATATATATATGAAAGTTCATTCATATATATATATATATATATATATATATATATATATATGAACTTTAAAGTTTTAAGGCAGTCTTTTTTTATTACAGTAAAAATTGAAATAATATTAATCATTTTAAAGTACATGATTCGGTAGCATTAAGAACATTCCCAATGTTGTATAATCATTAGCACTCTCTACTAACGAAGCCTATTTATAAAAGGGTCAAGTTTGAAAACTCTTCATCAATAAGCAAAAGTACAAAATCAAAATGACTAACCATCAGTCATCATCATGTCCACATGTTAACATTATCAAGCTTTGTAAGCAAAAGCAAATGGCTCTTGCTATTTACATAACTTTAGCTTTAAATTTTAGCATATGATTGTAAAATGTTTTCTACATGAACACTAGACATAAATACTAAACAAATCAATGGAGAGAAATAGACACAAGTGCACGCAATGCTCACAAATATTCAGAAGCTAAATTATGACTACTATTATACACAATCTTACATTTAACTCAGGTGCTTTTTAAATTTTAAAATATAACTTTAAAATGAAATAAAATGGAAAAAATAACATGGACTAAAGATGTAAATATAAAACCACAGCTATGGATATTTTTAAAAATTGAAATAATAGTTTATATAAACTTGGAGAATACAACAAAGAAAAAATTTTTGTAAACAGAACAAAATTTCCAGAAGTCATCTAAACAAGGTTAACTAAAAAAAGGTTTTTAAAAAATCACAATATGTTAGGAAAAAAATACCTGCAACATGAAAGGATACATGACAAATAATAGTAAGATAAAGGCAATCCAAAATTACGTTGGATAAATATAGGAATATGTGTTCAACCTTACTACTAGTAGTAGGCAAATCCAATTAAAAGACACATTATTTTCCTTTTTCAGGGGCAAGAATTTTAAAAACTTGATAGCATCCAGTATCAGAAAGTAGACAAACACTCTCAAAAAATTCAAGTAAGATTATGAATGACTAAAACTTTTATTCAAAATATTTTTGGTAGCATCTATTAAAATAAAATTACATTTATTCTTTATCCAAAAACCCACATTAAAATCTAACCTATAAAACACTATTGTTGCTAATATGTGCAAGGACATTTATCGCAACATTGTTAAAATGAAAGAAAATTTAAACAAACTAAAGAGCTATCAAATGGGAAATGATTTAATAAATTACATGTACATATATTAAACTAAGGAACAGATGTACACAATGATCTGCATTCAATAAATAGCTGAACAGCTATTACATGCCTGACTTCTAAACCAGTCAGAATGAATGTGGATACTTTGTTCATGGAAGGAAAGCAAATTATTAAGTAATGTATTTTGTATGATCTCATTTGTTTTCATAAAAGGCAGGACCAATTATTTTGTCATATAGGTTGAAATAATATACAGAAAATCTTAATATTTTTTTAAAAAGTAACTAAAAGTCTGTTATTTCTAAGTGGGTACTTACAAAGTAAAACAAAAAACTCTCAAGCACAAAATTTATGTTTTATGCTAACAATATTTAATGTCATGTTCCTCTTCAGATCACCTACAAAAAAGATCTTTTTGTATTTGACTTGGAACTGAAGAAAGAATTTGAACCATATTTAACAAATTGGGAGCAACATTTTCTCTCAAACATTTAAAATATTCAGACTTGCTAACAAAAGTGATGAAAAAACATCTTGTGTTCAAGGTGTCATAAAAGTCATTATTTGTCAAAAAGCCCCACTTTAATTTAATTCATCAAGAAATGTAGATTTTCATGACCATTTATAGATTCAGAGCTCTGAGAACAGAAGTCTTCAAATGGAACAGCTTCTCTGTCTTCTGAGGACTCTGAGCTACTCATTATGTGTAATATGTTCATATAAACTTGACAAATTCACATAACTTAAAGTAAAATATATAGTCTGTTGTCAATGCAAAAATTATTTAAAACTTTAGCATATACTGTCCTCAAGGAACTCTAAGGGTAAATAAATTATTCTTAACTCAAGGATATCCAACCTTTTGAAAAAACAGTGAGAAATATTTATCACAGTCATGATTAAAGGAAGAAAAAAGTCAGATAAATGGATATGCTATTGTGATATTTTGTCAATACTTTAAAAATACTGAGCATGCAAGAAAAGTGAACTGCTCTAATGGCCAATCTTATATGATTCAAGGATGGTACTCAAAAGCAACTATGTAACTTCTATGAACCAACAGCCTCCTTCAGCATACCTTCCTGGTTAGTCAATAAACTGCACAAGGGGAAAGGCTACCTGAAGGGCCAGGCAGGCACCATCTGGTCAACAAAAAACTGAATAAAAAAGTGATCCTAGGAGCTGGGGTTGTGACTCAGTGGTAGAATGCTTGCCTAGCACATGTGAAACACTGGGTTCGATCCTCAGCACCACATAAAAATAAATAAAATAAACAACTACAACTAAAAAATATATATATATATATTTTTAAAAAGTGACCCTAAATCAGAAAATGCCTGTTACTTCAGTATGATTTCCAGAAAGAAATGTTACATATTTCTCTATTTTATTAGTAAGTACCAGACAGAATTACTACTGAATGTTTATGTTTTTAAAAGAACACTGGAAAGAAGAGGATAAGAAAAGAAAAAACTTACTGCATTGGCACGTTGATCCCAGTCATGTTTGTCATCTGACAAAATTTCCCTAATTTTATTTAATGTTTCTTCAAGTTCTCGACTAGAATAGATCTTAAAGAAAAGATTCAGAATTTTAACAATATTTCTTACCATGAACAATATCAAAATTATGCCCTGATGTTTAAAGTGTTTTTTCATATAATTAAGATGTTTTGTTTTTCTTCCTTGTTAACTCTTGCAATTTCTTACCTCATGAATAACTTCAAATATACTCTTAAAATGCTTTGTAATTTAAAAACAAGATGCAAATGTACAAGAATTAAGATAAATGCAAAAATTGCACTCATATACTATCAAATAACATTGTTGAAAGACATGTTTTGAGTTAGTTTTGCTATTCTCTGTTGTGACAGACTAGCTAAGATAGCTACATGGTTTTTTTTTCCACTGAAACCAAGTGACTAACAAGTAACTATATATTCACTATGATCTCATTCATATGACAAATATTCACATAACAGGAACATATTAAGCTAAGCACTAGGAAAACTCTGATGAGTAAAAACAAACAAAATGTTTCATGTCTTTGCCTTATGGAAAATGGCAAGTAGCAAAGGTGTGAGGCTAGAACAGTTGTAGCCATGTTGCTGACCATGAAGGAAGGCAATGTAGAGGAATCAGAAATGAGATTTGAAGAGAGAAAAAAAGCCTGGTAAATAATATTTGAGTCTCTTCATCAAATAGTTCTGCTTGTATCTTTTACTCTCAACAACAATTAAATTCCCTTTTAGAGAGAGAAAAAAACACACAAATGGTAGAAAAGCATGAGATAAGGTTGAAGAAACAGATGTGGGACTGGATAACATTCTGTTAGACTAGGATTCCTGGAAATTGCTGAACTAGCTCTTTACTGCCTCCCACCTCCTCTTCACAATAGGACTCTGCTCTTTTCCAGAAAAAAAGAAAAAGGTTCCTCTGCCACCCCTAATCTTATTATAATGTACTGCTCTAGAATACAAAGCAAAGTTCTTCTTCTCTCAAAAGGAAAATAAAAGAGACAAAAATTTTTACTTCAGTAAGGGGGTACATAATTTTCTTTAAACATTCCTTTGGGGAATATATAATAAAAAGAAGTTTGTAGACCACTAAGTTAGGAATCTTTTGTAATAGGTGATTCCCAGATTTCTAATTTTTCTAGTTGACTGAGTAATGGTTTTCATATAAAGAACACTGAAAGTTTCAACTTAAGTTTTGAGGGGAGATTATGATTCCAATTTCAGACAGGTGAAGTTTCAATGTCTCTGAGACCCATGAAATGAGATGTCAATCTCAATCATTGTGGATAAATGTTTTTGGTGCTCAAGAGATGCCTGGCTGGGAGATAAAAACCTGGGTGTTATCTACATAAATGTGAGCACCAAAGTCATGGGTTTCAAAGAAGTAACACAGCAAGAACATGGAGAGTGAAAAGAGAAGGCTCAAAAGTAACTCTTAAGAAATTCCAATACTCAATGGCCAAGTAGAGAAGCTGTGTTTACATAGGAAAAGATGAAGTGGACAAAGTTAGAGGAGGGGAAAAAAAAAGGAAGAATATTGTATCACATTCACTACAACAAAACATGGATGCAGTCAACCATGTTAAATGCTTTTAGAAGATGGGAGGGAGGACAGTAAATAAAAGAATTTGATTTTCAAGAAAAAAAAAAAAGAATTTAATTTTGGTACCATAATTGAACTACTCAAGATTGGTTTCAATGGAGGATAAAGATGGAAGAGAGCAGGATAAAGTGAATGCAGATGAAATTTTAAAATAGCACATATGGGCAACTCTTCTGAGAAGACTTACTAAATGAACAAAATAACAATATCTGGAAGATATGGAATCCAATATGATTTCTATAAATCTTTCATGGCAGTGAAGATCAAAGGCAGGGCCTCACACATGCTAGATGAACACTCCACCACCAAACTATATACCCTGGCCCAGACTTTTTTTTTTCTCTTCCAGATGATTTTTTTTTTTTTAATTAAGAAACCCACCCATGTTTAATGAATAGTAAGAAGGTTTTAAAAAAGAGAAAGAGCATGGGCTTGGTGATTGTGCAAATGTGTTAAGAAAAGTAGGAAACAACAAATTTTGGAATAAAGGTAGAGGTACTAGCCTTTGGAGAAAGAAGGAGGGACTCTCTGGTCCTGGAGCAAAAGAACAGGAGTTCTGCTGCAGGTAAGGAAATAGGCAGAAATATGGAGTTACTACTTAATGGTACGGAAAGAGACAAAGTCATGCACAGAGGAGAGCTAGATAGCCATTAGTGGTTAAAGACACAGAAACACATCCAATAGCCGAGGAAAGCAGAGGAATAATTTAATATAGCCAGGAAGTCAGATTGTTATGGGCTCACTTTATGTGAATTTCACTAGAAATCATGTGGCTTTCTCCAAAACCACTGTTTCTGGGCTATGAGCATAGAAAAAAAATATATAAGTGGGGGGATCATCCAGAGTTGTACTTTTACTGCAGGAAACTCCAGAATCAAATCTTAGATGAGAAGAAAAGTAGAAGTGAGAGATGATTGAGAGTGAGTAGAAAAGACAATGGACCAAAGATACTCAATACCATGGAGAAGTAGTTGTCAAGAGTATTTGGAAAGAGTGTGGAGATTAGGATCAGTAGGATCAGTATTTGACTCTGGAAACATAGCAATAACATTCAGGTGACATCAAAATCCAATATGTGTCTACAAAGTGGATAACTAAGATGAAGGTATAGAGAAGGTCCAGAAACTCCTGAGTCATCCAAGTGGAAATTAAGTCATCAGAATGTGTCAAACTTTAGTATGATAATTGTGCCCAGCCAGACTGCGGCAGATAATAATGGCAATAGCTAACGTGCTTACCATATACATTATTTACATTGTAATATTTAATCCTCTTTAACAACCCCCAGAGTATGTAATATTAATTTCTAATTTAGGATGAAGAAACTGAAATACAAAGGATTAAGAAATCTGTTCAAGGTTACACAGCTAGTGTGGGAGAGCTGGGATTCAAATCTAGGAAACAGTGGAATGTTGTCCAAATTATAAGGAAGCTGGACAAAGAACATGAGCCTCATATAAGTGGGTGTAGGAATAATGATCACCAAGAGACAATGAAGAAATCAAGCATAATTAACTTGTTATCAATTATTAAGGACACATGAGTAAAGAAAAATAAAAAGACTTTAAAGAGTTTTAAGAAAAGAAACCAAATTTTCATTAAGGTAAGATCATTGAGGGTCAATGACAGACAGGAAGTTTCTATTTATGAAACAGATATTCCAGAGGACACAATGAAAGGTATGGAGCATTTGGGGATGGCAAAGCATCAACTACAAGGATCCAAGGGGTAATTGTGAAATAATTTTTCTTTTCCATAAGGTGAGTAGCCCTTGACTTTAGTATACTATGATATTACCATTCTGACAAGAATATACTGAACAAGGAAAAATGTTCAGTTCCAAGTAAATTTTACCAATTTTTCCTATAACACAAATCCTTGCCTTACATGAAAGGTCTGTAAAATATAAGGGGGGGGGGCTGTTTTCCTATTCTCTAAAAATGGGGAAAAAATTCAATAAAAAAACCAAAATACTCTTAAAGACATTTTTAAAGCTTTCTCACAACTTCTTAAGATCTTAAATAGCTTAAGGACAACTTTTTGTTTCAAAGGGCAAATATATGCAGTGAAAAGTAGTTTGCAAATAAAGCAATGTGAAATATTCTCAAAAAGAACGTTCAGCGTCTACACCCATCATACTGGAAAAAAATACTCTGAGTGACATCAAGTGTTGGCAAGGATGTGAAGAAATGGGAATTATCAAACTTTTCTCATAGGAGTTTTAGCTGGTAAAAAGAATCCTACAGAGTAATATCTAGTAAAGTTGAAAGATTATAACCACACAATTTCCTTCCTTGTGTTTACACCCTACAGAAACTCCTACAATCAAGACCACAGTTTAAAAAGAACCTTCAATGAAGCAGGATATGTAACAGCAAAAAGTTATTAATGACTTAAATATCCATCAACAGAAAGGATAAATGAACTGTGACATGTTCGGGCAATAGAATATCATCTATCAATTCAAATGAATGAAACAGAATCACAAATTTTAAGTTGTGGAAAATTATTTTTAAACTTTTGAATAAAAAGGCTATACCAATGTAACGTACAATATAATATTTTTGTATCTTAAAAAAATGGAAATAATACTCTCAATTATAATAAGTATGTCCACTCTACTTCAGTAAGTTCTATGTGAACATATTTCAAAGTTTTTAGTCAACAAATCTCCAACATTTTCTGGGCTCAAATCTTGTCAGCATTAAAAAAAAAAAAAAAAAATCACTAATTTTGTCAATATGAGTATTTCTTTTTGAAGCATTTTCATTCTTATATAGTCATTTCTCTTAACTTTTTCTTTTCCTTTTTGGTTCCCTGAGTAACTTTGGTTTTCTTACTTTCATTCTATTTCAATAAAAGGGAATATTAAACAATTAAATTAATTCAAGAATGTGAACTTTAAGATAAACATTATAATGTAATATGACTTAATAATATGGATTCCATTTTATTTCAGTCTTACCGGGAAGTGGAAAACAACTTGAAAATCTAATTATACCAATAAATAATAACTTTGTGCTAAGTCAAATATATAATTTATATAGTCGTTTAAGGAAAAAATGATTTTTAAAAAGGGACAAAACAAATGACATGAACAAGCAAATAGGCTATATTCAGGGAGAGAGCCAATTCACAGGTAGCTTTACCTGAATAGAAGGGACATCTGTAAAAGCTTTTATAAAATCGTCTTCATCAACTGCTCCAGCACCTCCTTCTTTCGAAGCACCTGCTAATTAAAAGGAAATCAATTTCCTAAGGTTCATTTTTAAGCATTTTAGCACTAGGGACAACATGAAAAATTTATGCCTTTGATCTGAACAAAGGCATAATTTTGAGGGATATTCCAATTTATAAGAAATCATTAAAAAAAGAAAACCTCCACTTTTCAAAAAGTCAAAGTACATGGAAATAGCTAATTAACTCTCTAAAAGGAACTAGGCTAGACTGGTTAGATAAAATGCAAATTACTAAAGCAGAGGGCCCCAATCCACATCCCCCATTCAGTGCATTAGCAAGGACACAGATACTATAAAAGAATGAACATCTTAAAAACTGAAGAGTAACTTAATACCATCAGTAAATGATGGCAAATAAGTAAGACACAGGACCTGTGTATGGTCCTATGGTCACAAAAGCATATGGAAAAAATGAGAGTCCTAAAATTAAATTATACAGATAAAACTTCCTTTATTGTATGTATTAAATTTTAAAAGGAAACAATAGGTATAGTAATTATTTAAGAGCCAGTAATTAAGGTATTATCTTTCCAAATTTATTCTTCTTTCAGATGCCAAGCCTAGCATTCACCAAACCCTTATTTTTCAGTTGTTCCTAATGATTTCTGTTAAGCTCTTGCCAGAGACTGGAAGCTGAAAGAAGAAGGAATCTGCTCCCTTCTGAATACTTCCTGTTCTTGTCAGTAAAACTCTAGTTACTCTGGCAGAGATCTGAAGTATAGGTGGCATTCAATAAATCAGCTCACTGCAGCCATCAAAGACAGTACCTGCTCCTTAGACACGTGAGTTCCAGATCACCAGAGAGTCCCTCCTCTAAGTCCCTAAGTTTTTGAGATGGGGTGTCACCGAACTGGTCTTGAACTCCTGTTCTCAAGTGATCTTGTGTCAAAATACTTCAAGTCCCAATTGCTAGAACTACAGTGCATGTCACCATACCTGGCTTTAAGCCTCTACATTTTAATAATTCTAACATCCTCATTTTGTTCCTCCAGTCCTGAGCATGGTATCTGCTTCATGTAATTGCTATCTTCATATTTTAGTGTTTTCTTTTCACATTTTTAAGTCATCGATAGCCATTTAACAATTCTTTATATAGGCCGAGTGTCCCTAACCTGAAATCTTGAAATCTGAATGTTCTAAAATCTGAAACTTTTTACTAACATGATGCCACAAGTAAAAATTCTACACCATTAAATTCTGTTGCATGAACAAAAGCATTTAAAATATTGTATAAAATTACCTTCAGACTTTGAGTATAAGGTGTATATAAAACATAAATGAATTTTATGTTTGGACATAGGTCTCAACCCCCATATTCTTATGTATATTCAAATATTCCAAAATACACAAAATACAAAATATAAAAAAAAATTCTGGTCCAAGCATTTTTGCATAAGGGCTCAACCTTTATTAAATACTCTGTAAAAATAACTGGTGTTATTTTCTCTTTCCTAACTGAATCTACAACTAAAAAATAAATATTTTTTTTAAAAAAGTAATAGCAATTAGATTAATAAAAGAGGAACTAATTCATGCTTGCTACAGAATAGTTCAATAATAAATTTAATATTTTAAAATTTCTAGATATTAAAAAGCCCAATGAAAACTAAAGTACTCTCAATTCCATCTCCATAATCAAATCAGTCTTTGTAGCTAACAGGTTAACTAAAAATTTAAATCATATATTGTACACTTTAAAACAGATGATTTTTTAACTTGTCAATTTAAAAAGTCCCAAAATAATAGATAGGAAAGTCATGAGAAATTAAAGTCAAAAGTGGCTGAATATAAAATTAATACATAAAAATCAATTTTATTTTTTGGGCTGGGGATGTGGCTCAAGCGGTAGTGCGCTCACGTGGCATGCATGCGGCCCGGGTTCGATCCTCAGCACCACATATCGATCCTCAGCATCACATACAAAAAAAAAAAAGATGTTGTGTCCGCCAATAACTGGAAAATTAATATTAAAAAAATTCTCTCTCTCTCTCTCCCCCCCTCTCTCACTCTCTCTTTAAAAAAAAATCAATTTTATTTCTAAGCAGTGGCAACAAAATTACAAACTTTAAATTGGAAAAATACTTAGGTTCAATAGTAACTAATACTTTAAGGTATCTATGAATAAACTAACCAAATGAAAACAAAAGTAAAAAATTGGGTGGGGGGAGATAATATATTTTAGTAAAACATTTAGAGCACTAAAATGGAGATCAAAGAAAAAAGGACCAATGAAACAATCTATAGCCCATGCTTATAACACTTCAAACTTCAATTTACAAGTAAATGGAGGAAACACTAACATCCAAGACCAGCAATGTCAACTACAGAGCAGTCCTGGAGAAAAGAAATCAGAGGAAGCGTCATAGAAAAGAAGATCCTGGTTGTTGCATAACATAAACATCAACTTCCCCCAGGACCAGAGTTACTAAGTAGCACACTCAGAAGGAGAGAGTATACTTTTGAACTTTGGTAGATAAAGAAATAAATAAAAGATAAGCAATGTCTGAAACAAGACAATCCCAGAATCAGTAAAAAGACCCACAGAGTTAGTAAAAAAGTTGCATTTCTATAAACCAACAGAAGAGGGCATTCTTAAACTGAGAAACAACAAACTTTTCTTCCTGGCCCCACAGAATCAATCACCTGTTACTTGTAGCCCAGGAAAATCCAATGTGTTATCAGAAAAAGAATACATAATCTCATGTCTATAATAGACTACAATAAGTAAACAAAATAAGAATGAAAATCTTTTATGCTGATAAAAGTATCTGCTTAAAACAAAATCCCAGCATGTGAAAAATGGAGGTACTTTGGGCAAAGGGAAGGGAGGGTAAGGAAGGTGCATGTGGGCAGGAATGATGGTAGAATGAGATGGACACCATTACCCTAAGTATGTGTATGAATGCACATTTGGTATGACACTACATCATGTACAACCACAGAAATGTAAAGTTGTGCTGCAATTGTGTACAATAAATCAAAATGCATTTTGCTGTCATATATACCTAAATAAATAAATTAGTTAATTTTTAAAAACCCAACAACTTAGTAGAGTAGAAACTGTAACACAATATTCCAACATGAATCAATATAATTAAGCAGCAATTATACATATGAAAGAACAGATTAATTAGAATGTCAAAAACTCTGATAAGATATAGAAGATACCAAAGGGCAACTGGTTAAAGTCTGGAATGAAAGAAATAAATACTAAAGCACCAACTACCCAAGAGAGAATTGATATAATCTGGTTGGAATAAGAAAAGCTATAAAGATATTCTTAAAGAACATTTGGGGAAATTTGAATATATAAATGACACGTGCTGAGGTGCTGTTGTGGCTCAGTGGGAGAGTGCTCGCCTAGCATGCATGAGGCACTGGGTTCGATCCTCAGCATTACATAGATATAAGATATTGTGTCCACCTAAACCTAAAAAACAAATATTTTTTTAAAAAAAGAAATGAAGTGCTGAAAGGGAGGTGAGCATATAGTTTAAAAATAAATTTACAGAAAATAAAAGGACTATGGAAAAGCTAAGTAATGTCACAAAGAAAATCAGACAAATCCAAATGAGGGACAACCTAAAAGACAACTGACTTCAGACTTCAAAATATCAGTGTCACGGAGACAAAAGCTGGTTAGGGGATTGTTTTATAGATAATATTACAGAATCTTCTTGTGTCTGAAAAAAAAATATTTAATATGGGTGAGAATATATCTCTATAGAAAGAATTTAGATACGGGATATCACTTGTTATAAATATAGGTGATTAGTGTTCACTGTATATCAAGTTTGTTGTAGGCTCAAAATTCTTCACAATAAAAAGTATGGGAGGGCTGGGGTTGTGCGGTGGAGCGCTCACCTAGCACGTGCAGGGCGTTGGGTTTGATCCTCAGCATCACACAAAAATAAATAAAATAAGGGTATTGTGTCCAACTACGACTTAAAAAAAAAAAGTGTGGGAAACTATTCACCATAAAGCTAAAATAGATACAATTACATCAAGAAAAAAAGGATAGAAATTCCAAAAACAGCCCAAAATATATTAGGGTAGTATTTCCATGGAGTAAAGGATGTTTTATTTAATTGCACAGACTTAATTGGTCATGAATAAAGAAGAAATAAATATAAATAGTTATACTACAATTTTATATAAATTATATAAGACAAAACAAATTAAATGTAAAATAATGCTTTAGAATAAATGATGTTTTGTACTTTTGGAACCGGACAGTAGTCCTTCTTATTCAAGACAGAAAATTTGGAAGTCAAAAATAAAAGGATAGGGGCTGGGGTTGTAGCTCAATGGGACAGTGCTTGCCTTGCACACATGAGGCACTAAGTTCTATCCTCAGCACCACATAAAAATAAATTAAAGATATTATGTCTATCTAAAACTTTAAAAAAAAAAGGATAGCTATTTTACCTACCATGACAATAAAAATAGAAATATGACACGAAAACATGGCATACAGGTCTGGGGTTGTGGCTCAGTGGTAGAGCACTTGTCTGACATGTGTGAGACACTGAGTTTGAATCTCAGCACTGCATATAAGTAAATGAATAAAATAAAGGTCCATCAACAACTTAAAAAAAAACATGATATACAGAGGAGAGACTAAGGAAATGCTTGCAACTTTAAATAGAAAATAAAAGGCCTGGGGCTGGGGATGTGGCTCAAGGGGTAGCACGCTTGCCTGGCATGAGTGCGGCCCGGGTTCGATCCTCAGCACCACATACAAACAAAGATGTTGTGTCCGCCGATAACTAAAAAATAAATATGAAAATTCTCTCTCTCTCTCTCACTCTCTCTCTCCCCCCCCCCCACCTTCCTCTCTCTTTAAAAAAAAAAGAAAAGAAAAGGCCTAATACTTTAAAAAATTCTACCTTGTATTTCACAGAAAATATGTTAATTCTTACTAATGGATTTAAATATACTGAACTTCACTAGAAAACCAAATCCAGGAGAGCAGAAACATTATTTTTGT